GTGCTTAGTAATATGGCCATAGCCTCTAAGCTAGGTTAGTAGTTGTACTTCTTTTCTTCATCTGTTTTATGTATGTTTCTTGCTTAAAAAAATAAAACATCTTATGTGAAATATGAATTTCTTTTTCTTTTTTTCCTGCAAAACCATTTTGTACCTAATTTAGAGAAGCTAGGTGTTATGATATGCACCAAAAAATGATTGGGTGATCAAACAAGTATGATTATGATTGGAGTTGTTTTTCTTTCTTCTGTAAATTTAAGTGCATGTCGGTTTCATACCTCACAAAACCAGACCGGATGGGCTACGTATTTTTATTTATTTAAATTATTTAAGTCCAATGCTAAATTTCTAATCCTATAATTACTATTCGACCAAAAAAATAAAATAAAAATAAAAATCCTATAATTATTATTTCCCCAAGCCCAACTTCAAAGCACCTCTCTTTTCTAGACCCAAACATCTCTTTTTGCATGAAATTGGATCATTTGTGAATTTTTAAGCCCAAAAAATAAAATTTTAGTTGACATTTGTATAAATAATTTTAAAAAAAATATTCGGCTTAAAAACGTGAAAAATGGGAAACCTCACCAAAACCAGTTTCAAACTGGACTGGCCGGTTTCATAAAAAAATATCACTAAAACCGGACAGAATCACTCTAGTTGAATAGTAGCTGTTCCGATTCTGATGTGAGGTAGAAACCGAACCGAACCAGACAGAATCACACTAGTTGAATAGTATCGATTCCGATTCAGATGTGAGGTAGAAACCGAACCGAATCGAACAACACCCACCCTTGGTCCCTACCCCCTTCTTCATGGACCCTGGAACTGCAAATCACACTGTTTTGCTATTCTTAATCAATCACATGTTGCCATGTGAAAATTTATCACGCATCGTATGCCATGATTAGATAGGACTAACAAAATAGTGCTATCCTCGTTTCACATAAGCGTTTTTCTTAACCTGGGCCGTTGACCTCCCAACCTGCCCTTCCAACAATCAAACCTACTCCCTTAACCGATGCTACAAATGAAATGAGTGACTTGTTGACCAAATCAGTTACCAGTGGATCCAACCCTATGACTACCGAACCTGACCCGAAGAAAGGCAGAAATGTCCAACAACAACCAAGTCAACGACCTATTAATCAATTTTGCTCCTACTCCGCACTCTGATATCGGCATAAGAAAGTTATTGGGAAGGTTAACTTGTGCATGCTGAATGTTTGGGATTTTAGAATTATGTTATTTACAGGTGGAAAGTTATTGGGAAAAGAGCGAATTATAGGGGAGACTATCGAATTTTCGGCAGAAGTCAAACCTTAAAAGAAAATTGAGTCAAAGTTAGAAGGGTAATTTGGTCAGGTGTGCCCAGCACCTGCTAGGTGTTGGACACGCATAGGGTTCGGCTCAAATTACAAAGTGGAATTTGGGTCAGGTCCTGTCATAGTAGGCCTCTCCAAACTATTCTAACTTACACTAATCAAATTTGTGCTTGATGATTTATAGTAGCAAATACAATGTTTTCCAAAGAAGCCAAAAAACAAAATAGTTAAAACTAACCTAATAGAAAGGCAATAAGAAATCATAGGATAAATTCAAGGATGACGGAGGCGATTAAGGCATGATATGTCTCTGTCATAGTAGGCCTCTCCAAACTAGTCTGACCTAGACTAATCAAACTTGAGCTTGATGATTTATAGTAGCAAATACAATGTTTTCCAAAGAAGCCAAAAAATAAAATAGCTAAAGCTAACCTAATCGAAAGGCAATAATAAATCATGGGATAAAATCAAGGATGATGGAGGTGATTAAGGCATGACATATAATTAAGCTGATGTGAAGACAATTGAGGCAATTACCAAGAGTTATAAGCTTCTTAACTTTAGATTTTTGGCGGTGAATGAGGCAGGATGCAAGCTGAACCATAAGCCCCACAAGATTAAAATGTTAAATTTTGACAACCGTATATTTGGTTCACCAGTAGAATGGAGTCATTATAGCATGAAGAGGTGGCTTATGGAAGTCATTAAGAGCACTTTCACCCATTGTGCCATGGCAAAGGGCAATGGCAAGTAAGGGTAAATACTATTTATGAGAATAGTGATTACCCTAGCAATTATTTTGATGCATTCCCATGTATTGCCATGGAAACCACTATTTACATGAGATATGAGGAGAGGAATTTGTATGGATTTTGGTGTGGGAAGTGAAGAACATGACTAGGTATTTATAGAAAAAAAAATCTGAATTTTTATTGGCCACTGACGTCACACTGTCATTAGCATGACGTCACACTAACGTCAGATTCCCCCAGGCAGCAGCCTATGCAAGTCTTCCCTTTGGGCTTGCCTAGTTTCATGGGCCCACTTCTTGTCATAACAAATTTTCCTTGGTGGGGATTGTTTTTGAAGCCTAGGCCCCCTTCGCCATAACAAAGGACATAGGTGGAAATGCTCTAAGGCCTAATATATAAAGGGAATTGTTGAGCTTATTATCAGATTTCTCAAAAATCATGACTGATGGAGAAAATTGAGGCATAATTGATTAGGAAATGGTCTACTCTTCTCTACATGCTTGGTATAAATATATGCTCCACATGAATTTGGTGTCCGGCTAAAAGCTTCAAAAAATGGTGGATGCAAAGATATGATTGTGTTTTTTCAAATTTACATGGTGGGTGTGAAGATAAGACGGGTGGAGAAATAGGACATAGGGTGGAATTAGCAACACTCTTTAGAGAAAGAGATAATAAATCTGAAAAAAAAAAGAAAAAAAAATATACATATCAAACCTCGGTTAGCCAATTTCATTAATTGACATGACATAGCTGCTAGGTCCGTTGGTCATCATCCAATGTAGTCAATTTAAGTGTGTTTAAATACCATTACTCATCAAAACATGAATTCACTTGAAAAACTATCCACATTCGTCATCCAGTAATTGAAAAAAAAATTCATAATTCTCCCCTAAAACGGAGATGAATTAACTAACCAACCAAATAGATATTTACCTTATTAAAAAGAACCAAATAAATATTTATATACATTTGTTCTCTTGCTCTATGAACAGATGTATATAAATAGCTAGAGTGTACATAGTGGAATCAAATCATATCAAGGATAACCAAAATGAAAGGAAAAACTTTACGGGTGTTGTACTATTTTCTGCTCTTGGCTTCATTAACCTTCAAGCCAAGCTCCTGCTCCAGTACTTTGTCAATTGGGAAAAAGTACTTTGTGCGTATCGTCAACGATCTAGACAACAAACCACTTGACTGCAGTTGTAAATCTGGTGATGATTAAATCAATCGCAGTCTTCCTACCGCTGGATCAAAGTTCGAATTTGGATTTCGACTCGGGTTTACGACTCAGTTCAATTGTGACCTGCGGTACTCAACTTACCATGCTATGATTATTGCATTTAGAGATGACGACGAGGCTCTTCTTAATGATTGTGGTGGAGTGCATTGCATATGGAGTGCGAGAGAGGATGGAATATACTTATACATGATTAATCACGATGATTATAAAAAAGTAAATTTATTAAAAGTTGTATGAGTGGGGAAAGCAAATTTAAACATGAAATTTGTCGGGCCTTGAGCTCTGATATATTTGTACTCAAAATAAATATAATAAAGGGAATTGTGTTTGTTTAGTTTCCTCTCACTGTTTTGCAACACAAGTTTGAATCCCCATTCTCTTTAATTAGATTAATTTAAAGTAATTTAGATTGTCACTTTTATTAAAAAAAATTAAAACAAAATAAGAAACAAAAGCCAATAGGATGTGGGAGTTACCTTCATCTCTCCACCTCTGTTTCTTTTTTTGTTTTTGTTTTTTATATTAAATATAAAAATATAAAACATATAAATATTTAAAGAAATATATTAATTATGAAACAAGTATCTTATCAACCACGAAAAAAGTCCGGTCGGCATGCGCGTATATATGAGGCCTCCTTTATTGTTTGCTCTTTTACTCTTCTCTTCCTTCTTCAACCGAAATCATGAGCAATGAAGAATTAGCCTACGATTTCTCTCCAGGGATTAAAGTATACAAAGATGGTCGAGTTGAAAGACTCCAAGGCACAGACATAGTTCCTCCATCAACAGATCCCAAAACTGGCGTCCAATCAAAAGACGTTGTGATCTCACAAGAACCAGCCGTACCTGCAAGGCTTTACATCCCAAAATCCACCACCACAAGCTCACCCCAAACCAAACTCCCTCTTCTCATTTACTTCCATGGAGGCGGCTTCTGCATTGAAAGTTCATCTTCTCCCACATATCACAACTACCTCAACGCCTTAGTCTCTGACTCTGAGGCCAATGTCGTTGCCGTCTCTGTGGACTATAGGCTTGCTCCAGAGAACCCTCTGCCGGCTGCTTACGAAGATTCATGGGCTGCTCTCAAATGGGTTGCTTCCCATTCTGATGGAAACAGCTCTGAAGATTGGCTAAACAGTTTTGCAGATTTCCAGCGTGTGTTTTTCTCTGGGGACAGTGCAGGGGGTAATTTAGCACACAACATGGCTTTGAAAGTAGGGTGTGAGGGATTGGCTGGTGTTAATCTGATTGGGATTGTGTTGGTCCATCCTTACTTTTGGGGCACAGAGCCAGTTGGGGAAGAGTTAACTGCCCCTGCAGCTGCAAGAGAGATCGTTTCTGCTTTGTGGCGTTTTACTTACCCTTCGACTAGTGGATCCGATGACCCGTTTTTCAACCCGGGTAAAGATTCAAAGTTGGGGGAATTGGGTTGTGTGAAAGTGCTGGTTTTTGTTGCTGAGAAAGATATCTTGAAAGATAGAGGATTGTATTACAGTGAGATACTGAAAAAGAGTGGGTGGAAAGGGGTTGTGGAGCTCATAGAAGCAATGGGGGAGGGGCATGTGTTCCATTTGGAAGATCCAACTTGTGACAATGCTGTGGCCATGGAGAAAAAGATTGTCGCTTTCTTGAATTAGAATAATTTGCCTGAGACTTTGGTGTGCTTAGTAATATGGCCATAGCCTCTAAGCCAGGTTAGTAGTTGTACTTCTTTGTTGTGTTCTTCCATCAACACATCCAGAAAATGGCGTTCAATCGAAGGACGTTGTGATCTCACAAGAACCAGCCATATCTGCAAGAATTTACATTCCCAAAACCAGCACAGACTCACCCCAAACCAAACTCCCTCTTCTCATTTACTTTCATGGAGGCGGCTTCAGCGTTGAAAGTCCATTTTCTCCAGCATATCACAGCTACGTCAACACCTTAGTCTCTGAGGCCAATGTTGTTGCAGTCTCTGTTGACTATAGGCTTGTCCCAGAGCACCCTCTGCCGGCTGCTTACGATGATTCATGGGCTGCTATCAAATGGGTTGCTTCCCATTTTGATGGAAACGGCTCTGAAGATTGGCTAAATAGATTTGCAGATTTCCAACGTGTGTTTTTCGCTGGGGACAGCTCTGGTGCTAATATAACACACAACATGGCTGTGAAATTGGGGTGTGAGAGATTGGTTGGTGTTAAGCTGGTTGGGATTGTTTTGGTGCATCCTTTCTTTTGGGGCACAGAGCCAGTTGGGGCAGAGATAACTACACCTGCAGCTACAAAAGAGTATATGGCTGGTGTGTGGCGTTTTGCTTGCCCTTCGACTTGTGGATCCGACGACCCACTTATAAATCCAGCTAAGGATCCAAAATTGGGGGAATTGGGTTGTGAGAAAGTGCTGGCATTATAGTGAGATACTGAAAAAGAGTAGGTGGAATGGTGCTGTGGAGGTCATAGAATCAAAGGGGGAGGGCCATGTGTTCCATTTGTTCAATCCAATTTGTGACAACGCTGTGGCCTTGAAGAAAAAGATTGTTTCTTTCTTGAACTAGAATGTTTTTTTTTCCGAAACTTGGGTGTACTTAGTAATATGACAATACCCTTTAAGCTAGGTTTGTGGTTTTGGTTTCTTTTCTTCATCTGTTCCATGATTTCATCCCTTGTATGTTTCTTGGTTGAAATAAAAGCTTCTGTATGTTTCAAAGACTTTATACCTATTACTGCATAAATAAGATGTCAACAAAGCAACCCCCACTCGAGGTCAGAAAAATACCAAATTGTAATTAAATTTGGTAGTGATCTAGTGTATGCCACTTCACATGTCAATACAGAGTGTTTAGCTTTGGATGATCAAACAAGTATGAATATGTTTTGTGTTGGGTTTCTTTCTTCTGTAAAATATTAAGTATGAGAGATTGCTGGGTTGTTACTTTGTTATGTCTTCATATTGAAAAATATGGGTGAGTTTTGTTTTGAAGACCAAAAAAGTGAATACGGGTGAGTTTTGTTTTGTTTTGGTTTTTTTTTAAAGAAGAGAAGAAAAATTAGACTAATTTGAGCAAAGCCAATCAATACTGTCATGATTATTAGTAGGTGCTTTAAGGCCTAAAGGAGAAAGTTGATTCCAAAAGTTGTGAAGAATAGGAACAATTAGCAAATAAATGATTATAAGTTTCAGGATGTTGTTGACAAAAGGGACAAATATCAGGTAAATTAGAAAAGCTTCTAAGCCAATCACGAGTATTTAATCTTTTTTTAAAAATACAAAAATCCAAGTAATTTTTTTAATTTTAGGAGGCAATTTTAGATTCCAGATTTTTTTATAAATATGAATTATTAGTGTACTATGGGGCTTGAACTCAAGATCACTTGTGAGCACACCAAAACTTGTAAAAATCAAATTACATTACTTAGCAATACACTAAAATTAGGTGAATATTGGTGGATTTTAAAAAATCCTAAAAAGGTCATTATTTTAGTTTGGTTCCATTTTTTTACCCTCCTTTCACATCCACCAATTCTAAATCATCATTTGACCAAAAAAAAACCAATTCTAAATCATTAATACCCACATGTGTGTGTTCGTGTCCCCACCCCCTTCTTCATGGACCCTGTACCTGTAGAAAAACTTGTGGCTGTCTCTGTTGACTATAGGCTTGCCCCAGAGCACCCTCTGCCAGCTGCTTATGATGATTCGTGGGCTGCTCTCAAATGGGTTGCTTCCCATTCTGATGGAAACGGCTCTGAAGATTGGCTAAACAGTTTTGCAGATTTCCAGCGTGTGTTTTTCTATGGGGACAGTGCAGGGGGTAATTTAGCACACAACATGGCTTTGAAAGTGGGGTGTGAGGGATTGGCTGGTGTGAATCTGATTGGGATTGTGTTGGTCCATCCTTACTTTTTGGGGCACAGAGCCAGTTGGGGAAGAGTTAACTGCCCCTGCAGCTGTAAGAGAGATGGCTTCTGCGTTGTGGCGTTTTACTTACCCTTCGACTAGTGGATCCGATGACCCCTTTTTCAACCCGGGTAAGGATTCGAAGTTGGGGGAGTTGAGTTGTGTGAAAGTGCTGGTTTTTGTTGCTGAGAAAGATGTGTTGAAAGATAGAGGATGGCATTACAGTGAGACACTTAAAAGGAGTGGGTGGAAAGGGGATGTGGAGGTCATAGAAGCAAAGGGGGAGAGGCATGTGTTCCATTGGATCAATCCCACTTGTGACAATGCTGTGGCCATGGAGAAAAAGATTGTTGCTTTCTTGAATTATAATAGTTTGCCTGAAACTTGGGTGTAGTTAGAGATTTGTGGTTTTCCATTTTTGCATGTTTCTTGGTCAAATAAAACATTCTGATGTTAAATATGGAACTTTTTTTTTGTCCTGCAAAATCAAGAAATGCATTTATGGCTAATTTAGGGTAGGATTGTTTCAAAGATTTCATACCTACTACTGGATGTGAAGTGAAATTGTGCAAGTTCTGCATAATAAGTTGCCAAACTGTCACATGTCAATACAGAGTGTTTAACAACATCAGCCATGGATTTGTTTTGGTGTGCTGCTGAGGAAGTTTATTTACCTATCTTTCGCTTGAACACAACGGAGGAAGCATGCAATTGTCGAGCAGTGCACAGTGCACTCTTGGATAATCAAATATGAGCACTCGAATAGTGGATAATCAAGAACCTATAAAATCGATTGAAGGGACTCCTTTTTTTTCCTTTTTTTTGGGCATAAGAACGCCCGTGCCTTTTTAGTTTCTATTGTTTTGATTAATTTTTTAAAATAAATTAACTCAAGAAAAGGGGAAAATTTGTTGGGTTAAAATAAGAATGCTGCTATTCTCACCCCCTTGTTTTATTTTCCCACCCACCTTATCTTCAAAATTTTAAAGGCAAATTTACCTCGTTGTAAAATGACTGTTAAGAACTTAACTCTTAAGTTAACATTGTTAGAAAATAAAAGTACAAATAAAAACAGAAAATTAGAATAAATAAATAAAAGAGCCTAGCAAACAACCCCCAGACTACCCACCCAACCACATGACAACCAACCCAACCTCCCTTCCTCACCTGACCGGCAGCCACATCATCAATTGCCACCTAAACCAAATGAGTTGCTCTTGTAAGATTCCCAGTTGCCCTCCTTATGCACATAGTTTAAGCGTGTTCCACCCAAAAAAACGTGGTATGATATTCATGAAAGAAGAGTTCCGCTGTGTGATTATTGGAAAAGTGAAAAGAGCAGTTCGCTCTTTCCTTTTTTCGGTGCTACCTTTTTCTTTCCAAGGAATGGGGTTGGGATGTATAATAACCTTTTTTCTTAGGATGCTCGGAGACAACTCCTAGGTCAATTAAGTATACTAAATTCACACATACTACAAGGATGTTAGGACTCGAATCCTGAACATTTTCTGGAAAAGTAATTGCTCCAAGCCACCACATTAGTGAGTCATTTGCCTTTCTTTAGTCAATATTAAATATGAGAGATCAACTCTGGTTTGTTAATTTGTTACTCGATAGCAAACAATCTCATATAATCTTGATAAGATATAAATGAAGTAGAATTTTTTGTCGATAACTCTACGTCAAAATCAAATATCTGAAAGGACTTGTCTGTCCTTCTATTTGCCAAAACTAGATGCATTTGGGGAAGACGAAAATGTCCAACAACAACCAATTTGCATTTTTTAGAATTAATTTAAATGGTGCATAAAAGTCCATCAAGTCCTCAACACAACACAACCATACATTTTGCACCCACTCTCCACTCTGCTATCTGCATAAGAAATACAGAGAGAGAGGCCTCCATTATTGTTTGCTCTTATACTCTTCTCTTCCTTCTTCAACCGAAATCATGAGCAATGAAGAATTAGCCTACGATTTGTCTCCACTGCTTAAAGTATACAAAGATGGTCGAGTTGAAAGACTTAAAGGCACGGACATAGCTCCTCCATCAACAGATCCCAAAACTGGCGTCCAATCAAAAGACGTTGTGATCTCACAAGAACCAGCCATATCTGCAAGGCTTTACATCCCAAAATCCACCACCACAAGCTCACCCCAAACCAAACTCCCTCTTCTCATTTACTTCCATGGAGGCGGCTTCTGCATTGAAAGTTCATCTTCTCCCGTATATCACAACTACCTCAACGCCTTAGTCTCTGAGACCAATGTTGTTGCAGTCTCTGTTGACTATAGGCTTGCCCCAGAGCACCCTCTGCCGGCTGCTTACGAAGATTCATGGGCTGCTTTCAAATGGGTTGCTTCCCATTCTGATGGAAACGGCTCTGAAGATTGGCTAAACAGTTTCGCAGATTTCCAGCGTGTGTTTTTCTATGGGGACAGTGCAGGGGGTACTTTAGCACACAACATGGCTTTGAAAGTGGGGTGTGAGGGATTGGCTGGTGTTAATCTGATTGGGATTGTGTTGGTGCATCCTTACTTTTGGGGCACAGAGCCAGTTGGGGAAGAATCAACTTCCACTGCAGCTGGACCTGGAGGAGAGTTCATTTCTGCTTTGTGGCGTTTTGCTTGCCCTTCGAGTAGTGGATCCGACGACCCCCTTATAAACCCAGCTAAGGATCCGAAATTGGGGGAATTGGGTTGTGAGAAAGTGCTGGTTTGTGTTGCTGAGAAAGATGTGTTGAAAGATAGAGGATGGCATTATAGTGAGACACTGAAAAAGAGTGGGTGGAATGGGGCTGTGGAGGTCATTGAAGCAGCGGGGGAGGAGCATTCGTTCCATTTGGGAGATCCAACTTGTGACAATGCTGTGGCCATGAAGAAAAAGATTGTTGCTTTCTTGAATTAGAACAATTTGCCTGAAACTTTGGTGTGCTTAAAAATATGGCCATAGCCTCTAAGCCAGGTTAGTAGTTGTACTTCTTTGTTGTGTTCTTCTTTTCTTCATCTGTTTTATGTATGTTTCTTGCTTAAAAAAATAAAACATCTGATGTGAAATATGAATTTCTTTTTCTTTTTTTCCTGCAAAACCATTTTGTACCTAATTTAGAGAAGCTAGGTGTTATGATATGCACCAAAAAATGATTGGGTGATCAAACAAGTATGATTATGATTGGTGTTGTTTTTCTTTTTTCTGTAAATTTAAGTGCATGTCGGTTTCATACCTCACAAAACCAGACCGGATGGGCTACGTATTTTTATTTATTTAAATTATTTAAGTCCAATGCTAAATTTCTAATCCTATAATTACTATTCGACCAAAAAATAAAATAAAAATAAAAAAATCCTATAATTATTATTTCCCCAAGCCCAACTTCAAAGCACCTCTCTTTTCTAGACCCAAACATCTCTTTTTGCATGAAATTGGATAATTTGTGAATTTTTAAGCCCAAAAAATAACATTTTAGTTGTCATTTGTATAAATAATTAAAAAAAAATATTCGGCTAAAAAACGGAAAAATGGGAAACCTCACCAAAACCAGTTTCAAACTGGATTGGCCAGTTTCATAAAAAAATTTCACTAAAATCGGACAGAATCACTCTAGTTGAATAGTACATGTTCCGATTCCGATGTGAGGTAGAAACCGAACCGAACCAGACAGAATCTCACTAGTTGAATAGTACCGATTCTGATTCTGATGTGAGGTAGAAACCGAACCGAATTGAACAACACCCACCCTTAGTCCCTACCCCCTTTCATGGACCCTGGAATTGCAAATCACACTGTTTTGCTATTCTTAATCAATCACATGTTGCCATGTGAAAATTTATCACACATCGTATGCCATGATTAGATAGGACTAACAGAGCCAGTTGGGGAAGAGTTAACTGCCCCTGCAGCTGCAAGAGAGATCGTTTCTGCTTTGTGGCGTTTTACTTACCCTTCGACTAGTGGATCCGATGACCCGTTTTTCAACCCGGGTAAAGATTCAAAGTTGGGGGAATTGGGTTGTGTGAAAGTGCTGGTTTTTGTTGCTGAGAAAGATATCTTGAAAGATAGAGGATTGTATTACAGTGAGATACTGAAAAAGAGTGGGTGGAAAGGGGTTGTGGAGCTCATAGAAGCAATGGGGGAGGGGCATGTGTTCCATTTGGAAGATCCAACTTGTGACAATGCTGTGGCCATGGAGAAAAAGATTGTCGCTTTCTTGAATTAGAATAATTTGCCTGAGACTTTGGTGTGCTTAGTATTATGTTATATGTATGTTTTTTGCTTAAATAAATAAAACATCTGATGTGAAATATGAAAGATTGGGTGATCAAACAAGTATGATTATGATTGGTGTTGGTGTTGGTGTTGGTTTTCTTTCTTCTGTAAATATTAAGCATGAGAGATCAAATGGTTTGGATAGATTGCTGGTTTGTACTTTGTTATGTTTATCAGAAAAAGAGGGGCTATTTTGAACACTCAAACTTTATAAGAAGGTGAACCACGCAAGTCATTCTCAGTCCCCTGGATATAATGGCGATCAGTCAAATGTGCCTGCTGGGTCTATCCATGGCCCTTGCAAAAACGTGTACCTGTAGGGCCCGTCACTTTGGCCAAGACCTCAGTGCAATTGGTAGTAGCCCACCTACTTGATGTGAGATTATATTCGTCCCATTCATGACTTTTACCCCAATAATATGCAGCAATAGTATGATCATATCATAGTAACTCAAACTCAAACTCAAATTCTCCATGTTCGGAAATGGGTTGGTTCAAATGGATCCTTTGCCCTCCACGACCTCCACAGCCCCCTGCTCAGTGCAATACGATCCCGTTGGCTTCGATACATCCTGCTCAGCAACACGAGAACCAGAACTCTCTCTCAGCCGTCCCATGGAACCTCAAGTCATTATGTCTAAAATTTCTATTAGTTTTTATTCGTAATTGTTTCACAACCACATATATAAACATTTCAAGTAGGAAATTTCTTACAAGAAAAGAATGAAATTAGAGATCCATAGACCATATAATTAGAATATTAAACGCAGACCTTATGGAACAAATACAGAGTGTTTAACATTATGGAACAAATATAATACCAGTAAAAAAGAAAACTACACATTGTATTAAACCTATATAACCATGCATGTGAATAAGTACTTCAATTTTATATTTTGTTTTTTTGTTTTAAGATTTGAATCAAATCCCTGTTCAATTTTCTTTGAACAAGTTTTGCTCAAAACTAATAATAATCCCTCTAGGTCTCATAGGTTTCTCTCTGTTTTTTTTTCCGTCGATGCGGTCTTTGGAACTCTTCTTCCTCTATGGCATAACTGTTTTAAATAATCAAGAAGAATTTTCAATTGATGGGGATCTTAACTTTATTTATTCATGATTTAAAAAAAAATAAGATATGGGGATATTAACTTAAATGAGTTTTATTCATATATTTATCAAAGGTAGCTCCTGCGATAGGAGAAATTATATAACCTATATATATATATATATATATAAAGCAAAAGGCAGAGAATGATAAAACATTCAAAATACCAAAAATACCATTGGTTAATTTATATATATAAAGCAAACGGTAGAGAATGGTGAAACATTCAAAATACCAGAAAATGTCATTGGTTAATGCAAACATTAAGAATTGAAATTATTAATTAAATTAGGATAATATGGTAAATTCACACTTTTTCATATTAAAAAAATTAAAATTAAAAGAAAAATCAGATAATAGATCATATTTTTATGGAACACAACTAACCATTATCTTTTTTAATTCTAAAAATAAAAAAATAAAAAATAAAACCAATTGGCACATGCGTGAGCATGTGCTAAGGGGCTAGTTCAAATATTAAGAATTGAAATTATTAATTAAATGAGGATAGTATGATCATATCATTAGTAACTCAAACTCAAACTCAAATTCTCTGCCCTCCACGACCTCCACAGCCCCCTGCTCAGTGCAATACGATCCCGTTGGCTTCGACACATCCTGCTCAGCAACACGAGAACCAGAAATCTCTCTCAGCCGTCCCATGGAACCTCAAGTCATTATGCCTTAAGTTTCTATTCGAAATTATTTCACAACCACATATATACACATTTCAAGTAGGAAATTTCTTATAAGATAAAAACTAAATTAGAGATCCACAGACCATATAATTAGAATATTAAACGCAGACCTTATGGAACAAATACAGAGTGTTTAACATTATGGAACAAATATAATACCAGTAAAAAAGAAAACTACACATCGTATTAAACCTATATAACCATGCATGTGAATAAGTAATTCAATTTTATATTTTGTTTTTTGTTTTAAGATTTGAATCAAATCCCCGTTCAATTTTCTTTGCACAAGTTTTGCTCAAAACTAATAATAATCCCTCTAGGTAAAGGTTTTTCTCCTTTTTTTTCTTTTTCTTTTTTGTCGATGCGGTCTTTGGAACTCTTCTTCCTCTATGGCATAACTGTTTTAATCAAGAAGAATTTTCAATTGATGGGGATCTTAACTTTTTTATTTATTTATTATTTATAAAATTAAAAAAAAAGAAAAAAAGAAAAAAAAGAGATGGGTATATTAACTTAGATGAGTTTTATTCATATATTTATCAAAGATAGCTCATGCGATCGGAGAAATTATATAATATTATAGTAATATGGTGACGTTGTAGTATTTTGTTTAATAACTTATTTCAAATTAAAATCAATATATCTGAAAGGACTTGTCTTGTCGTCCTTTTTGACGAAAATGTCCTTCAAGTCCCCAACATCATAACCATAAATTTTGCTCCTGCTCTGAACTCTGCTATCTGCATAAGAAAAACAGAGAAGAGACAAGGCCTCCATAGTTGCTTGTTTCTTATTCTCTTCTCTTCCTTGTTCAACTCAAATCATGAGCAACGAAGAATTAGCCTATGATTTCTCTCCGATGATTAAAGTATACAAAGATGGTCGAGTTGAAAGACTCAATGACACAGACAGAGTTCCTCCATCAACAGATCCCAAAACTAGCGTCCAATCAAAAGACGTTGTGATCTCACAAGAACCGGCCATATCTGCAAGGCTTTACATCCCAAAATCTACCACCACAAGCTCACCCCAAACCAAACTCCCTCTTCTCATTTACTTTCATGGAGGCGGCTTCTGCGTTCGAAGTTCATCTTCTGCAAAATATCACAGCTACCTCAACGCCTTAGTCTCTGAGGCCAATGTTGTTGCAGTCTCTGTTGACTATAGGCTTGCTCCAGAGAACCCTCTGCCGGCTGCTTACGAAGATTCATGGGCTGCTCTCAAATGGGTTGCTTCCCATTCTGATGGAAACAGCTCTGAAGATTGGCTAAACAGTTTTGCAGATTTCCAGCGTGTGTTTTTCGCTGGGGACAGTGCAGGGGGTAATTTAGCACACAACATGGCTTTGAAAGTAGGGTGTGAGGGATTGGCTGGTGTTAATCTGATTGGGATTGTGTTGGTCCATCCTTACTTTTGGGGCACAGAGCCAGTTGGGGAAGAGTTAACTGCCCCTGCAGCTGCAAGAGAGATCGTTTCTGCTTTGTGGCGTTTTACTTACCCTTCGACTAGTGGATCCGATGACCCGTTTTTCAACCCGGGTAAAGATTCGAAGTTGTGGGAATTGGGTAGTGTGAAAGTGCTGGTTTTTGTTGCTGAGAAAGATATCTTGAAAGATAGAGGATTGTATTACAGTGAGATACTGAAAAAGAGTGGGTGGAAAGGGGTTGTGGAGCTCATAGAAGCAATGGGGGAGGGGCATGTGTTCCATTTGGAAGATCCAACTTGTGACAATGCTGTGGCCATGGAGAAAAAGATTGTCGCTTTCTTGAATTAGAATAATTTGCCTGAGACTTTGGTGTGCTTAGTATTATGTTATATGTATGTTTTTTGCTTAAATAAATAAAGCATCTGATGTGAAATATGAAAGATTGGGTGATCAAACAAGTATGATTATGATTGGTGTTGGTGTTGGTGTTGGTTTTCTTTCTTCTGTAAATATTAAGCATGAGAGATCAAATGGTTTGGATAGATTGCTGGTTTGTACTTTGTTATGTTTGTCAGAAAAAGAGGGGCTATTTTGAACCCTCAAACTTTATGTAAGAAAAAGAGGGTCATTCTCAGCCCCTTGGATGCAATGGCGATCGATCAGTCAAATGTGCCTGCTGGGTCTAATCCATGGCCCTTGCAAAAACGTGTTTTGTATAACAGACCTGTAGGGCCCACTACTTTCGCCAAGACCTCAGTGCAATTGGAAGTAGCCCACCTACTTGATGTGAGATTATATTTGTCCCATTCATGACTTGCAGCAATAGCATGATCATGTCGTAGTAACTCAAACTCAAGTTCTCCATGTTCGGAAATGGGTTTGTTCAAATGGATCCTTTGCCCTCCATGACCTCCACAGCCCCCTGCTCAGTGCAATACGATCCCGTTTGCTTCGACACATCCTGCATGTTAATAAGTACTTTAATTTTAAATTTTGTTTTTGTTTTAATATTTGAATCAAATCACTGTTCAATTTTCTTTGAACAAGTTTTGCTCAAAGCTAATAATAATCCCTCTAGGTCTCATACGTTTCTCTTTTTTTCTTCTTTTTTTTTCTGGTCGATGCGGTCTTTGGAACTCTTCTGTTTTAATCAAGAAGAATTTTCAATTGATGGGGATCTTAACTTACTTCAAATTAAAATCAATATATCTGAAAGGACTTGTCTTGTCTCTCTTTTGACAAAAATGTCCAACAACAACCAATTTGTTTCATTAGAATAAATTTAAGTGGTGCATTAAAGCCCTTCAAGTCCCCAACGTCATAACTATAAATTTTGCTCCTGCTCTGAACTCTGCTATCAGCATAGGAAAAACAGAGGAGACAGAGGCCTCCATAGTTGCTTGTTTCTTATTCTCTTCTCTTCCTTGTTCAACTCAAATCATGAGCAACGAAGAATTAGCCTATGATTTCTCTCCGATGATTAAAGTATACAAAGATGGTCGAGTTGAAAGACTCAATGACACAGACAGAGTTCCTCCATCAACAGATCCCAAAACTGGCGTCCAATCAAAAGACGTTGTGATCTCACAAGAACCGGCCATATCTGCAAGGCTTTACATCCCAAAATCCACCACCACAAGCGCACACCAAACCAAACTCCCTCTTCTCATTTACTTTCATGGAGGCGGCTTCTGCATTCGAAGTTCATCTTCTCGCAGACATCACAACTACCTCAACGCCTTAGTCTCTGAAGCCAATGTTGTTGCCGTCTCTGTTGACTATAGGCTTGTTCCAGAGCACCCTCTGCCAGCTGCTTACGATGATTCATGGGCTGCTCTCAAATGGGTTGCCTCCCATTCCGATGGAAACGGCTCTGAAGATTGGCTAAATAGATTTGCAGATTTCCAACGAGTGTTTTTAGCTGGGAACAGTGCTGGGGCTAATATAACGCACAACATGGCTGTGAAATTGGGGTGTGAGGGATTGGTTAGTGTTAAGTTGATTGGGATTGTTTTGGAGCATCCATACTTTTGGGGCACAGAGCCAGTTGGGGAAGAGTTAACTACTCCTGCAGCTGCAAGGGAGTATATGGCTGGTGTGTGGCGTTTTGCTTGCCCTTCGACTAGTGGATCCGACGACCCGCTTATAAACCCAGCTAAGGATCCGAAATTGGGGGAATTGGGTTGTGAGAAAGTGCTGGTTTGTGTTGCTGAGAAAGATGTGTTGAAAGATAGAGGATGGCATTATAGTGAGACACTGAAAAAGAGTGGGTGGAATGGGGCTGTGGAGGTCATGGAAGCAGCGGGGGAGGGGCATTCGTTCCATTTGGGAGATCCAACTTGTGACAATGCTGTGGCCATGAAGAAAAAGATTGTTGCTTTCTTGAATTAGAATAATTTGCCTGAAACTTTGGTGTGCTTAACATGACCATAGCCTCTAAGCCAGGTTAGTAGTTGTACTTATTTGTTGTGTTCTTCTTTTCTTCATCTGTTTTATGCCTTGTATTATGTTTTATGTATGTTTCTTGCTTTAAAAAATAAAACATCTGATGTGAAATATGAATTTTTTTTTTCCTGCAAAACCATTTTATACCTAATTTAGAGAAGCTGAGTGTTATGATATGCACCAAAAAAAGATTGGGTGATCAAACAAGTACGATTATATTTATGATTGGTGTTGTTCTTCTTTCTTCTGTAAATTTAAGTATGTGGGATCGACTGGCTTGGATAGATTGCACTTTGTCATGTTTATCAGAGAAAGAGGGGATATTTTGAACTCTCAAACTTCATGTATGAAAGAGGTGAACCGCACAAGTCATTCTCTCCTCCAAGGAAATAATGGCAATAAGTCAAATGTGCCTACTGGATTTTGCAAACCGTAAGACCTGTAAGGGCCACTACTTGGGCCAAGATTGCCCCGCTATTGTCAAAAGCTTAACGAAGGAGGTTCATTAAGGCCATTGAATCTATTCGGGTTTGAGATTTTAACTAAAAAAGACATCGGTGAAATTAGTAGTAATCACCTATTTTTAAGTTGTAAATGATTGTGGCATCCCATCCATAACTTGTACCGAGCAACATAACCCCCAACGATATGCAACAGTAGTGTGATCATACAATAAATAATCTTCGGAGATATGTTGTCGGTAGTCAACCTTGTGGTATGTTTGGAATTTCTTCACTGCGTTGTCAAGTATTGATGAAGCATACGAAATCTAAACTAAGGGGAACTTTCAAGTTTTAGTTTGCTACTCAAACTCAAAATATCTATGTTCAGAAATGGGGTTACATTGACAACACATTATCTTAAAAGATAAAAGAAAAACATGAAATAATATAGGAAATACGCATTCAGTTTAACCAAATCAAGTTCTTCTTCTTCGCATTGGCTCTCTGCATTTCAAGAACCCAAACAACAATGGCAACAAGATCAACAATATCAAAAAATTGTATATATCCATTCTAAAGAACTCAGTGATTCAAGACCCGAACTGCACTACTTTGGTAATATGTCTTCGGCCTAGATAGATACAGTGATTCCTTCTAGCACCCCATTTTTTAATTTTTTTTAATTTTTTACTTCCAATTTGTATCAATATGCTTTTATATACTTTGTTTTCTTATTTGAGAAAAGAGACCAATTGTATTCTCTAATCTTAGGTGTGATACATATTGTGCCAAACATATGAGAATTGAGATGAGCAAGAAAAACTTGATACGCCACCCGTTCGTAAAGAGAAAACCTTTACTTCCTTTTTCAACTATTGTCAAAGGTTGTTTTTTGTTCTCTCTTTATTATGCGGCAAGTTATGGGAAATCTTTTATGATCTTTTATTCATTGAGGTTAAATTTGTCATTTGCTTAATATTTTTTTTAATGAAATCATCAAGAAGAGTATATTAGTGTAAATAACTCTTTCAATTATCAAATGCTTCAACATATTCCGTCTTCCCCTAAAATAGTTTCATGTAACCAAGAAAGACACAACGCAACAAAATAAGTTATGTAGTACAAGACATGAAAGAAACTAAGAAAATAAGCGATTGGAAATTACAGCAGATTTGATTTTACATATATACTGAACATGTGCAAGACTATATTCACTAATCTTTGATCTACATGCCTTGCCCATCTCTTCGCAATGTCGACATGACGGTTTGGACCAATGCAACTTCATAATTTTCTTTATTGCAAAGGTTGATGATATGTCTGGAATTGATGTATAGTCATGCAGCTTGGTACAAGACTATAATTACTAATGAAAATAATTAAATAAGGCTAAGATATTATATAACTACAAAAAATAAAATTAAAAAACTATTTATTGACTTAAAGAAACTAATTTTATATTTAAAAACAGAAAATAATACACTTTTGAATTTTAGATAGTATAGCCGGGCGGCTATACGCTTTAAATATACGAATTTATTTTAAGCGTATAGCCGCGCGACTATACTATTTAAATATTCAAATTTATTAAAAGCGAGCGGCTATGCTATTTAAATACTCGTAAGATATTTCAAAACCAACAGTTGGAGGAGACTCAACCAAAAAAAGGGTCGGAGGAGAGTCCATCATCTTGCTCCATCCGCAAAGTGGGAGGATAAGACTACATGGTATTTAAAGATAGTGAGTAAAATTAGCTTTTATTAAATATTCTACAAATTCTTAAAATCTATATATATGACAAGATTGTTTTCCCTTAATGTTGCAAATAGATGCACATGCCAAGAAAGAAAAATTCCTACAATGTTATCCATAATTGTGCTCATTGTTCTCTTCTCTTCCATGGCTCCAACCATGAGCCAGGGCGTTGCCCCTGATTTATCTTCTCCCATGAGCCATGCCGTTGCCATTGATTTCTCTCCTCTCGTGAAAATATATGTAAACGGGACGATCGAGAGGCTCATAGGAAAATCAAGCGTTCCTCCATCGCTTGATCCTAAAACTGGCGTTCAATCTAAAGACGTTGCAATCTCTCGAAAAAGGGGCATATCTGCAAGGCTTTACCTCCCCAACACCGTCACCAACTCCACCACCAACTCAACCCAAGGCAAACTCCCTCTTCTTGTTTACTTTCATGGAGGTGGCTTCTGTGTTGAACATGCCTCTTCTCCCACATATCACAACTACCTCAACTCCCTAGTCACCGCGGCCAACGTTGTTGCTGTCTCTGTTGACTATAGGCTAGCCCCAGAGCACCCTCTGCCTATTGCTTATCAAGATTCATGGGCTGCTCTCAATTGGGTTTCTTCTCATTTTGATGGTGGAAACCGCTCCGAGGAGTGGCTTAGTAGATATGCAGATCCACAGCGTGTGTTTTTCTCTGGTGACAGCGCTGGGGCTAACATAGCACACCAGATGGCTCTGAAATTAGGCTCTGAGAGATTGAATGGTTTTAAGCTGAATGGAATTGTGTTGGTGCATCCATTTTTTTGGGGGTCACAGCCAGTTGGGGCAGAGGCAACTCTGCCTGTAGTTGTGAGCTTGTATATGACTGCATTGTGGCGTTTTGTGAACCCTACAAGTTTTGGACCCGATGACCCGCTTTTCAACCCTGCTATGGATCCGAAATTGAGGGAGTTGGAGTGTGGGAAAGTTCTGGTTTTTGTTGCTGGGAAAGATGCGTTGAAAGATAGGGGATTGTATTATGGTGACGTACTCAAAAAGAGTGGATGGAAAGGGGTTGTGGAGGTCATTGAAACAAAGGGGGAGAGCCATGTATTCCATTTGTTCAGTCCCCCTAACAAGAATTCTGAGGCCATGCTTGAGAAGATTGTTTCCTTCTTGCATCAGTCTTGATTTCCATAGCCTCCAAAGCGAAAACATCTTAGGTGTAATCAGGTGTATATAACTGGTGGCTTCACCTTTTTCTTATTTGTTTTGTGCAAGTACCCTCTAGTTTTGTAAATAATGTTTATCCCTGCAGAGTGTTTACCATTCTGTAAGTTAGGAGGATACCTGTGTGTCACTTCATGTGCCAACACAAGAGTGTTTTAACATTTTGTAAGGAAATAAGAATGTACTTTATATACGATTTTTGATGATTTGGGAAGATTGTTGGTTTGTTACTTTACTATGTTTATAAAATAAAATTGAAAAGAAAAGAAATCAAGAGGATATTTAAAGTCTTATAACGAGTTGAGATCTTCGGTTCCTGATTCGTCTATCTCCTCCCTATCCCCCATGTATTTGAGTCACATTAGTCCCAAATTATTATGAAAACACCCTATTTTTAAGTGCTCGTTTGTACCCTTTCTATCAAAGTGAGATTGACCAATCATGCAGTTATGGCTACACTGGTCCTCGGTTTTGATCCATACAATACCTTTTCCTATTTTTGGGGCTTCAGCTCCCTTGTTACCCAAAAATAATGGAGTCATGCCTTACATAACCACACATTTAATTACGATTAATTCTAATTAATTATAATGTGACACGTAACACTCAAAAATTTCTCCACGTTGAGTGCGATTTGTAATGCAACACCATAAGGTGGTGAGCAAAATTAAATTCTTCACACAAATTTTTTTAACTCTCTGTTTGTGTTTCGTATTCTCTTCTCATTTTTATTATTTTGTAATTTTCATTAAGGAAATAAACTTGTCTTCATTGAATCCAAGCATGAGCAATGAACTAGCCCATGACTTCTCTCCTCTCATCAAAATATACAAAGATGGACGAATTGAGCGGCTCACAGGCACAACAACCCTTCCTCCATCCTTAGATCCCCAAACCCGCGTCGAATCTAAAGACGTTGTGATCTCAAAAGAACCAGCATTATCTGCCAGGCTTTACCTCCCCACAAAATCCACCACCAACTCCCCCAACAACAAGCTCCCTCTTCTTGTCTACATCCACGGAGGCGGCTTCGTGGTCGAACACGCCTCTTCTTCCATTTACCACAACTACCTTAACGCCTTAGTCGCGGAGACCAACATCGTTGCTGTCTCTGTTGAGTATAGGCTAGCCCCAGAGTACTCTCTGCCTGCCGCTTACGATGATGCATGGGGTTCTCTCAAATGGGTTGCTTCCCATTCTGATGGAAAGGGCTCTGAAGATTGGCTAAATCGCCATGCAGATTTCCAACGTGTGTTTATTGCTGGGGACAGCGCCGGGGCTAACATAGCACACAACGTGGGCTTGAGAGTAGGCTCTGAGGGGTTGGGTGGTGTTAAGCCAAAAGGGATTGTGTTGGTGCATCCATATTTTGGGGGCAGTGAAGCCATTGGGGCAGAGCAAGCTCTGCCCCCAGTGGTAAGAGAGTACATGGTTGGTTTGTGGCGTTTGGCTTACCCTTCGACTAGTGGATCCGATGACCCGCTTTTCAACCCGGGTAAGGATCCGAAACTCGGGGGATTGGGGTGTGAGAAAGTGCTGGTTTGTGTTGCTGAGAAAGATGCTTTGAAAGATAGGGGATGGAATTATAGTGAGGTACTGAAGAAAAGTGGATGGAAAGGGGCTGTGGATGTGATTGAATCAAAGGGGGAGAACCATGTGTTCCATCTGTTCAATCCCACTTGTGACAATGCTGTGGCCTTGTTAAAAAGATGGTTTCTTTTATTAATTAGTTTTATTTTTTCCATTGTATCAGAACTGTGTTATGAAGCCAGGTTGATGGTTTTCCATTGTTGTAATTTCTATCAGCTTCTTCTTTTCTTCATCTGTTTTATGCCTTGTACTGCTACTATGTTCTAAGTTTCTTCGTCAAATAAAGCAAACTGCCTTGAGGATGGATGGGATTAATGATTGTTTACTAAATCTAAAACACAAACTAATTTTCCACAAATCATGCATCAAGTCACTTCAAATCAAATTTTGAGTACTTTTTCATCATCTTCCCTATTTTATTTCTGAACCTTGATATAATAAAAAACACAGAAACGTACATATTATAGTACCAAATTCCCAATGAATCAAGATTGGGATCCAATATAACCATTAGGTGTGATCACTCTGAATTACAGGGCATGAATTGATGAATACAGCAAGTTCAAGTTGAATGCTTGCTTTATAACAGAACTAAAGACTTATTGAGACAACCATCAATTTAGAAACAGAGAACCCAATTTCAGGAATTTATATATCCTGATTGATGAAGGAAGCAACCTTCTTGAGCAAAGCCACAGCATTCTCTCCAGTTGGGTTGTTCAAATGGAACACATGATCCTCCTCTTTTGTCTCCACAACCTCCACAGCCCCACCCCACTCACTTTTCTTCAACAACTCACTATAATACCACCCTCTTTGCCTCAGCACATCCTGCTCAGCCACACAAACCAAGACCCTATCAGCCCCCAATTTTGCCAGTTCCGGATCCTTACCCGGGTTTATAAGCGGGTCATCGGCTCCACTACTACTTGGACAAGCAAATCTCCATATACCCTCTGCCCTTGCTCTATTCTCAACCACATGAGTCTCCCCTTCAATTGGTTCTGACCCCCAAAAATATGGATGCACCAAAGCTATCCCTTTAAGCTTCACACCAACCAACCCTTCATGCCCCAATCTCAAGGCCATGTGATGAGCTATGTTTGCCCCAGCACTGTCACCAGCAAAAAACACACTTTCAAAATCAGCATATGAATTGAGCCACTCTTCAGGGCCTTGCCCTTCAAAATGAGATTGAACCCAATTGAGAGCAGCCCATGAATCATCAAACCCTAGAGGCAGAGGGTTCTCTGGGGCCTTCCTATAATCAACAGACACAGCAACAACATTTGTCTCAGCAACTAAAGATGTCACATAGCTATGGTAATAGGCACAAAAAGGTGACCCCATGCAAAAGCCACCTCCATGAAAGTACACAAGGAGAGGAAGCTTTGTTGGGTTTGTGGTGATTTTGGTTTTGGGGATGTAGAGCCTGGCTGATACCCCGGTGTCAGGTGAGATCACGGCGTCTTTGGATTCAACACCGGTTTGTGGATCGAGCGAGGTGGGAACAATATCAGTGCCTGAAAGTCTCTCCACTCTACCATCTTTGTATATTTTGAGGAAGGGAGAGAAGTCTTTGGCTACTTCATTGCTCAAGCTTGCATCCATGGAGGTAGAGGAGGATGAGTACAAGCGGATATTGCAGGACTTTCTGTGTGGAAGAGAGAGAGGTGTGAATAATGAAGGGGGCAGATTCAATTTGAGGTTCCCAATGCATGTGGGATTTTTTGGTTTTGGCCATAAAGACGTGGTTAGGACACGACATGTTCCCATCGATCTCTGCCTTTCCAACCAACCAGCAAATGATAAAAGGTCACAACAATATCTCCAGCATCTATATTTTTTTGCTAGCCAGTGAAAATGTCTTCTGTGGCTATGGAAATCTACATCAGAGGTTCCCTCATAGTTTGGGAATGTAACAATTTTGGCTTATATTGGACTTCTACAGATTGGATTTGACAATTGGCTTGTTGAACCCTTGCTTTTCATGGTCTGAAAAATGACTGGACTTATTACAAATAAACTAAGTAATTATCCAGAATAACATGAGATAAGCCAACTTCAGTCCATCATCCTAAGTTTATAGTGATTTGTCTGGCATTTTAACATCTGGCGTATATTAAATTAGTATGTCACGGGATGTTATGGGTGTACTACCACATTAATATGTCACGGGGTATTACGGTTGTACTGATACATTAAATGGATAAAAATCTCAGAATTATATGGTTGTCCCTGGCATCTGCTTTCCATAATTTTTGGAATGTTGCTATTGCAATTAATTTTTTTAGTCGATGTTCCAATTCATTGGAATCCCCCCAAAAGGTGGAGAAAAAGACAAACAAAGTCTGCAATTGATTGGCTGATACAAGAGCCAAATCTTGAGATAACTGGTCCTATGAAAATCATCTTAGAAGAAAGCCAAAATTTCTGACAAAATTTACGGAAATAATCAAGGGGGCCGTATACTTTGCATGGTCCCAAGGACCACTTCAATGTCACTGAATTATTACTTTAGTTTGCACATGGTATCACTGAAATAAGTCATGTACAAAAATTATAAATGGATTGTCATTAAAAACTCATGTTAGTAATCGAATTTCGTTACTCAACCGTGTTAATCGAATCTATTTATTAATCGTGTCGTGTTCAGAATCTAGGCATACTAATCAAATAAAATTGAATAATACTCGACTAAAGTCTTATTTTTCTTAAATTTATCTCCAAAGTTCACATTATAGTTGTTCCTGGCTAGTGAACAAAGCATGTATGAGAACCAGAGAGCATTATAGCAAGCAAGCAAACAAGGTAAAGTAAATGGATGTGATTACAATGCATGTTGAAAATTTCAACTTCTTTTTTTTAAGGTGGGGTAAGTTGGTAAATACCTGCCTAATTTTGGTTAATAAAGGAACCAAATTTCTGGATCAAATTGGTAGCCTTCTCACAATCAGGCTTCATGAGATGAAACACGTGGTTCTCACCTTGATGCTCCACCACCTCAACACTCCCACCCCACTCACTCTTCGCTAGCTCATCATAGTACCGCTGGCCCACCTCCCTCAGATGGTCTTCAGCAGCAAAAAATATCAACATCCTCCCACACCCAATCCTTGCCAGATCCTCTGCGGGCGGTTTCAGCCTACGATCCTGCAACCCACCGTTCTCTGGACACATGTAAAGCCACATCTCATCATCCTCCTCCAGACCCCCAAAGAACGGATGCACCAGAACAATCCCTTTAACCTTCACACCCGATAACCCATCAGGCCCGACCCGAACCGCCAAATTGTGCGATATGTTCGCTCCAGCGCTGTCCCCACTTATAAAGACCCGGTCAAAGTCAGCGTACTCGTTCAACCATGGCTCAGGTCCATTCCTGGCCGAATGGGACACGACCCATTTGAGAGCGGCCCATGAATCTTCGTAGCAAGCGGGTATAGGTCGATCCGGATATAACCCGTATTCGACAGACACCGCAACAACTCGGGCTTCAGTGACCAGTGAGGCAACGTGGTTGTGGTAGAGCGGGGAGAAGGCTGACTCGAAGCAAAACCCGCCGCCGTGGATGTAGAAGAGGACGGGGAGTTTCCGAGTCGGATCATGGATCTTGGGTAGGAAGATACGGGCGGAAATAGCGGGTTCGGGTGAGATTATGATGTCTTTGGATTGGACCCCGGTGACGGGGTTGTTAGAAAGTGGGATTTTGTGGGTACTGTAGAACTTTTCGACGTGACCATTTTTGTATGTCCTGAAGAATCGAAATTCACGATCGATTTCATTGCTGGTTGGCTCCATTTTCAGAAATGAGAGGAATTTGGTACAGTGGGAGGGAGAAGATGGTGGAGCAGAGACCAAGACAATTTAGAGTGGGTTTTGATCTAAGGAAGAAAAAGCAGAAACTTGAAAAGAAAACAAAGTGAGTGGACCGACCTTTTCTTTTGGTCAATTTTTATATTTGTCGGGGTCGTGCGTAAATGATTATTTTAAATTTTAATAAGAGGATTGCTAGCAATCTTCTCTCTAACCTTCTCTTTTGAACATTCTCCCTTCTCCTCGTGACAAGTATCATTTTCCTTACACTTAAAACAATGTCATTAATGTATCACACAAATTAATTTTTATTTTCCAAGTGTAACCTTTTAAAATGTATTGACTTTTATATTTCCTTCAATTTATTCAATAGCACATTATTAAAAATTAAATAATAATAAATAAAAAAAGAAAAACGTCATTTTTTTTTCTTTAAAAATAAAGTTTGTTTCAAGATGTTGTTATCATCTTTATTTTGTTTTTAACAAAACACACGTTCTCTTTGGGAAAAAAAAACTTTAGTTTTTATTTTCTTATTTAATTTTTTTAACAAGGTGGTAATAAAGTTGTAAAAAAAATTTAGCTTGTTATTAAAAAGAATTAATACATAAGGGTAAACTTGGGAAACAAAAACTAGTTTGTATGATGTATTAATGACATTGTTTTAAGTGTAAGGAAATTGACACTTGTCATGAGAAGAGAGAAAAGGTCCAAAAGAAAAGGTTAGAGAGAAGGTTGCTAACACTCCCCTTTTAATAAAGGCAATCACTTTTTTCATAAAGCAAATTAATGGTTTTTTTTTCTTTCTCAAATGTTATGTTACTCATGGGTTTGGTTTGGTCTAATGTTGAACGGCATTCATTGTTATGTTACTTGCTATTTCATCTGTGTATTTTGTGTATGAACTCTTCATTGTTCATAATTTTATGTAATTGGATACTATATGAAGTTCAAAAGCCATAGGTAATGACATGATGAATGTGTTGTTCAAGCTTGATCATAATTTTTTTTTCTTTTGTTGGAAAATATATTGTATTGAATAAATATTATAAGATGTGTAAAATAGATAACCAAACTAATTAATCTACAACTCAATCGTAACGATAGGAAACAAGAGCAGAATCTTAGTTAAAAGACTCACGAATTGATCAGAAATCTTCAACTATTAATAGAATTACTTATTACACTTGAAGTTAGGTCAAGGTCATATGACATTTCTTATTTTATTAGTTCAAGAGGAATATTCAAATTTAAGATCTCGTTCGATATTCAAAAGAAAAACACTATTAGGCAAATAATTTAGTCGATTGATATACTGACAATTGAAATTTTTGGACCGCATATTGATCATATTACATGAAAACATGTTAACTTTCTGTAGCTTGTATGAGAATGAGATCATACACACCAAAGAAAATTGATGAAATTAAGATGTTCCAACTTGTTCTTATGAGGGGAAGGGGTACTTTATTTTTTGTTTTGTTTAGTCACCCACCAACCTACTTTTGGTTGATGAAGGATCCAAATTTCTTGACCATCTCTACAGTCTTCTCACATTCAGGTTTGAACAAGTGAAACACGTGGCACTCACCCTCATGCTCCACCACCTCAACACTCCCACCCCACTCACTCTTTTTCAGGTCATCATAATACATCTGCCCCGCCTCTCTCAGATGGTCGTCCGCAGCAAAAAATATCAACACCCTCCCGCACGACAGCCTTGCGAAATCCTCTGCGGGCGGTCTCAGCTTGGGATCATGCAACCCACCGTTATCTGGGTACGTGTAGAGAAACATTTGATCATCCTCCTCCAAGCCCCCAAAGAACGGGTGCACCAGAACCACCCCATCAATCTTCACGCCCGGTAACCCGACCGACCCGACCCGAACTGCCAAATTGTGTGATAAGTTCGCTCCACCACTGTCCCCGCCTATAAAAACCCGGTCAAAGTCAGCATACTCGTTTAACCACGACTCGGGTCCATCCCCGGTAGCATGGGACGCGACCCACTGGAGCGCAGCCCATGAGTCTTCATAACAAGCGGGTACGGGTCGCTCCGGGAACAACCCATATTCAACGGACACCGCAATTGCGTGAGCTTCAGCAGCCAAACGGGAGACGTGGTTGTGATAAATTGGAGAGAAGGCGGACTCGATGCAAAACCCGCCACCGTGGAGGAAGAAGAGGACGGGGAGTTTTTGGGTCGGGTCGTGGATCTTGGGTAGAAAAATACGGGCGGAAACGGCGGGTTTGGGTTGAATTATAACGTCCTTGGATTGGACACCCGTGATCGGGTCATTGGATGGTGGGGTTTTTTGGGTGTCGTAGAATTTTTGAATGCGACCGTCTTTGTACACCCGAAAGAAGCGAAATTCGTGAAGGACTTCGTTGTTGATTGGCTCCATTTTCAGAGAAAACAAGAAGGCGGGGTAGAATTCAATTAGATGGAGGGGATGAAGATTATGGTAGGGGCTCAAACGATGGATGACTTAAAAAGAAAATGTAGCGATGCAACTTGCAAAGTGGGGGGCATCTTTTTTGTTTTTGTCCTATATTTAAAGGTTTAGATAAGGTGGTTGTGTTGTTTTTTTTGGCAGGTTTTATCTGTAAACAAAGTAATCCACTTTTTTGAACCAAAGCAACCAGAGATCCTGAACTTTTGTTTGCCAAATTTCCAAAAGAGTGAAGGCCCAAAGGGCATCTCTATCTAATGAGTGATTATAGAATACTGTGGTGGTGTTACGGTAATGTGATACATATTTCGCAAATATTCTATTACACAAATCTTATGATCGACATTGAAATTACAAACTCGCCCAACACAAGCCCAACCTAGTCTTGATTTATGAAAGAAACCACCTTTTGGACCAAAGCCACAGCTTTGTCACAGCTTGGGTTGAACAAATGGAACACATGGTCCTCCCCTTCACTCTCCAAAATCTCAACCACCCCACCCCACCCACTCTTCTTCAATGCCTCATAGTAAGTCCAGGCCCTGTCCCTCAAAAAGTCCTTCTCAGCCACAAACACCAACACCCTTCCACACCCAATCTCCCCCAATGTCGGATCCTTTCCCGGGTTCACTCTCGGGTCGTCAAGCCCATTACACTCCGGAAAAATAACCTCGAGCAGCTTATCGGGCTTTTCGTTCCCAAAAAACGGGTGAAACAAAATCATCCCAACTATCTTCGCCCCGTTCAGCCCATGGACTCCTGCCCGATGCACCACGTGGTGCGTAAGGGTGGCCCCGGCGCTGTCCCCGCCCACGAAAACACGGTCAAAGTCAACATAGTCGTTGAGCCAGGTTTCGGGCCCATTACGATTCGAATGGGCCGCGGCCCATTGGAGTGCTTCCCATGAGTCTTCATACGCAACAGGGAGTGGGTGCTCGGGGGCACGCCTATAGTTCACAGACAAGAGAACGACGTTTGCTTCGGATGTTAGCAAAGCGGCGTGGTTGTGGTAGAGAGGAGAGTAGGGGGACTCGATGACGAAAGCGCCGCCGTGGATGAAAACAAGGAGGGGGAGCTTCCGGGTCGGATCGGGGAGTTTGGGTAGGAAGATGCGGGCGGAGAGTCCGGATTCGAGCGAGAGGACGATGTCTTTGGATCGGACCCCGGTTTCCGGGTCGGTGGAGGGCGGGACGGTATCGGTGCCTGTAAGTCTTTCGACGCGGCCGTCTTTGTAGATTTTGAAGATTGTCGGGAACTCGACTGATATTTCGGTTGAGGAGGATTTTGGGTCCATCGCAGATGAGAAATGAGAATTGTTGTGTAAAACTGAAAGACTTGTGATTTTTCTTGGCAGCTAAGGCCAGAGGCTTATGTCGGTATATCGGGTGGTTGGAGCAGCTGAAAGTAATAATTATCTTCTTTCGTCTGAAACACGTCCACCAATCCAACGGGTTGAGCTTGAGACTTTTTATTTTAGGGGTAAAATAGGGATTTTAAAACTTGTTGGGTTGGGGGAGAGGACAAGTGTTGGGCCCAAATAGAAACACCCATCGTTTAATTCAAATAATTCATTAACTTCAGTGCTTTGATCTAGTTTGTTAATGTCCATTGTCAATCCTTGCAAGTGTTCAATCTAATCATGAATCACCAGTGTTTGAGACCCACACATTTATTTTCCTTTGCGTTTCTTAATTTGTTTTTTTATTTTTTACTCTTAAGATTTGATAATTTTACATGACACTCGAAACTTTTTGCACTCTCACATTTGAATTATAAAGATTAAATTAAACTAATCGTGTTTATATTGTTTACTCTATCGACGGTTTGAACAGTATTGGTTTGCCTTGAATATGCCTTTTCAATGGTCATGATTTTTTGTAATCTTATCCATGTATTTTGCGGTGGATTAGAGTACATAATATGAGAGTGTGCTAAAGTATGCTTGAGCATGATTCTAAAGGATTTATTAGATGACCCAATAGCTGAGCAATTAATATTTTGAAATGAATTTGGATATGACCGTCTCATGGGTGGTATCATAATCCCCTTTTCTTATACAAACAAGTGAATGAAGTGAAGGTACATCACATACGGATGAGAACCTTGGAATAATGCATAGAGACTAATTAATTGTGAGTCAACATGGTCTTTTGAAATAAATATGAGGGATGGTTCTTTGAGAAAAGCCCGGGTGTACGTAGTAGACATGATAAACACAAATTTGTCTCATAAGAGAGAGATAGTAGAGTAGATTAGATTAATGTGGCAAATAAAAATGATAAAGATATACTAAGTATGTGTACTTTTTAAGTAAAGAAAGAGGAACTTTCTGTTTTCTTTTCTTTTGTTGCAAAATATAGGAATGAAAAAAAAATTAAAGACCTGCAGAGCACTGGAAAAGAAAAGCGATACATTCTCTTTCGGTTGGTGGACCAGGCCATCTTCAGAATCCGAAGACATCCAAGTCCACCTTTCGTCTTGTTGAATTATTTCGCGCGGTGTGGACACGGTATAATTATTTCAACAATGCTGTCCTTAATTTACACTCTCCACTGAAGGTTCACTGCAGGTAGCTGGAAACTACGACTCCGTTGCGCGCTGAAGGTAGCAGGAAAGTGCTAAGCAACAGGCCGCCGTGAGAAAGTTGATTAGTACCCTTTATATAGAGTTCCCAACTCTTGACAGAGTTTTTCACATTTGCTTCGATTTTATCAGTCGAGAGCAAATTTGAGGTTAAGCAAGAGGCGCATCCAACTATCAAACAATATGGCTTACAACATCACCACTGAACCAGCAGCCTCTTCCTCTTCTCCTTCCACCCATCAATGGAAATATGATGTCTTTCTTAGTTTTAGAGGTGCGGATACACGCTTCAGCGTTGTAGAACCTTTGTACAGCAGCTTGCACAACAGGGGAATTGACACCTTCTGGGATGAAGATCAACTCAAAAAAGGAGATATACGTACCAAGAGAGATTTTTGAAGCAATTGAAAAGTCAAGGATTTCTGTCGTCGTATTCTCTGAAAACTATGCCTCCTCAACTTGGTGCTTGGACGAGCTTGCTAAGATCATTGAATGTAAGAATTCACAGCAGCAAATTGTTCTGCCGATTTTTTACGACGTGAATCCCTCAGATGTAATATACCAAACGGGCACTTTTGGTGGAGCATTTGTTGAACATGAAGACAGATTCAAGGATGATTTGGAGAAGGTGTCGCGATGGAGGGCGGCTCTTACGGAAGCAACAAAGTCGTTTATTGATTAATTTGAGGATTTTCCACTTTTTCCCAATGATTTTCTGGAAGCACCAGCGTTGTCTGGGATGGTTGCACACAGAGATGGGTACTTTTCTAACCACTTACTGGCTATACATATATATTTGAGGATTTTCTACTTTTTATGTTGTTTTTAACATAATCTATTGATAAATTTAAAAGAAAATACTTCTCTCCTAATCATGACTGTTGTTTTTATGTTGTCTTTCATCCACACGATAATAAACCTTAAAATTTGAAAAGAAACAATTAAAAATCGCTCATTGATATTTCATTATTGAAGTTTTAGACAGAACGTGACAAAATCACCGCACAACATTTAGATGTATTAGATCTGGGATGTTTGGGTGGTCACTATTATATTTTTAGGGTAATTTTCACTTTAATACGGTAAAGTTTATCGATTTTTAGAGTTCCATGCATCAAATTTTTTTCGTTTTAGTCGCATACACAAACTTAATTTTTTTTACCACTTTCATACATACCGTCAGTCTTTTCATTAATAAGTCTATTAATTGCCGACGTGGCAACATCCCCACTCCAAATTCTCTGCATCCCAAGCCGAGCCCCATGGTTGCCAACACCATACTCCTCTCTTACCCTGTCTCTCTTCGACAGTGGCTATAGACGACGATGGGTCTAGGTCGGAGGAGATGGTTTCCACAATGATGCTCCCTAGTTAACTGGAGAAAGAGAGATAGGGATAAAATGAACTTGTGTATCTTCAAAAAATGAAAACAACATTTTATCGTTTTCAACTTTTGTTCACAAAATTGGATTTGTTTTTAGAAAACATTTTGTGAGGGAAAACGAAAACGATCCACTGAACGTGTATTTGCCGGAAAACAGGGAACATAAACGGAAAACGAGCTAAAAAACATTACCAAACGGGCCCTAACAGTTTGTTCCCTATCTTTCTTTCTTTCTTTCTTTCTTTTCTTATTTTTTTGGGGTCCCAATCTTTCAAAAGTTGGCAAAAATCAACCAATGCCATATGGACAAACTAATAACAACTATTTAGAGAAAAACGTAACCTTCTAGATATAGGTAGGTCATCTTTTTAATCGAGTAAATCTTCCATTTTTTGTGGGATTATATGTTCTTTGCCTTATTTAAACATTTATATAGCAAAATTCGATTTCATCTATTGATTAAGATGTTTTTAAATTGGCAGGTATGATGGATACAAATTTATTAATGCAATCATTGAAAAGATTTCACGACAATTAAACCGTACATATTTGGCATATGAGACTGACTATCTAGTTGGAATAGACTCTCGCCTGCGAGAAGTGAATGATCTTTTAGGTGTTGGAGTAGATGATGTTCGCATGGTAGGTATATGGGGGATTGGTGGAATGGGTAAGACAATACTTGCTAAAGTTGTTTATAATCAAGTTGCCCATAAGTTTAAAGCTTCCTGCTTTTTGGGAAATGTTAGAGAAAATTCCAAGGCACCAGGAGGCTTAGTCGAAGTACAAAAGAGTCTTCTTTAGAGTAGTTCCAGCAGAGGGCTGAGCCCAAGGTTGGGGGTTGGGGAAAAAAAATTGGTGTTCCAGCAGACAACCCAAGCTTGGGCTGGGAGTGGGTCCCACGAAATCGGGTTGGCCCTCAGGCCAGTTCAGCCCGAGCTCAAGCCCGAGGGTTGTTGCTGACGTCATCACTACAGTGCCCACGTGCTACAGTGCTGCTAAAGTCCACGTGTCACGCTCTGAGCTCTTCGATTAGATTTTTTTTCTCCAATCCAACGGCAGCCAATTTTTGTGCAATAAAAAAATGAAAAAAAATCCAATTTTTTTTATAAAAAAAACCAAGAAATTAATGATTTTTTTTTCTTCTATAAATACCAAAATTTTATCCGATTGAGATATGAATTTTATAATAAATATTGACACGTACGAACCCAAAATTCTTATCTGAAAATATTATCCAGATTAATTGTTTAGGTAAACAAATTTGTGAAAAAAATAAAAAAATGAATAGTAATTGCTCTTTGCCATGACAACAGGTGGAAACACACAATACTATTTGCAAGGGCAACCACTATTCATGTGAATAGTGGCTGCCCTAACTCCCCCCTTGCCATGACAAGGGACAAATGAGTGGAGTTGCTCTTATGACATTCCCGGGCTGAATATACTGAGAGTCACAAATGTTGATTCAGGAGTCAATATCATTAAGAGTAGGTTGCACGGCCAAAAGATTCTCCTAATTATTGATGATGTGGATCAATTGGACCAGTTAAAATACTTAGCTGGAAGCTCTGATTGGTTTGATGCCGGCAGTAGAATTATCATAACAACAAGGGATCAACATTTGCTTCATGCTCATGGAGTTGAGTTCACGTACCAAGTGAAGGAGGTACAATCTGATGAAGCTTTGGAACTCTTCAGTTCTAATGCCTTCCGAACAAGTAGAGTTCCGGATGATTATCAAGAACTCGCATGTAGTTTGGTAGGGTATGCTCAAGGGAATCCATTAATCCTCAAAAATATGGGTTCATCTTTATATGGGAGAAGTATTGAAGCATGGCTCTCTGAATTAGAAAGATTAAAAAATCTTCAAAGCAAGGTACGCACAACATGTATTGTCTTTTCAATATTTGACTGGAGAAACGTTTTATATATTAGTTTGTTAATGCAATTTCTTTTTCAAACAAATGAAGCTGAAAGTTACTTGACTGGAGATTAAATGAAGCTGAAAGTTACTTGAAGATGTGAGTTGTATATATTAATTCTCTAGTATTGACGATGTGACAGTGAGTTGTATGTATTAAGTTTTCTCACAATTGATTTTCCATAAAATAGGGACTAAACGAAGTTGGAAGCCTTGAAATGCCTGAAGCTGACAAGTCTGAAGCTGACGACGTCGATGTAAGTACAATACACACACATGAATGTCTTATTCAATTTGACAACCATATTCTTTTACCTATTTTTTTTTAATGCAATTGCTTTTCATACAATAGGGAGTAAAAGCAACCGAAACCAATAAAGGCTCTCCTGGAGGAGATGAGACCAGCCCCGATACTCAAAAAAGGACTAACTTGGCGATGTTACAGCACATATAGGTATGACCAACAATATAAGGGCCTGTTTCGCATTTGAAATTGGGAAAATGCTAGGCTTATCACATTTTTCATACCACATTGTGTACCATCTCTCTAATAGAGGTGGGTCCCATTGTATTGGTGGGCTCCACCTCTATTAGAGAGGTGGTATATAATGTGGTATAAAAATGTGGTAAGCCTAGCATTACTCTTTGATTTGAGTCCAATTTTATAAATTCAAAAACAGATTTTAAATCCAAAGACTCAAAAACTCGTTTGGTAGGCTCATTTTTAAAAACCCGAACTCAAAAAGACCCCTATTATTGAAAACAAAATAAATGAGTTTTTCTTGAATATTTTTTCTCAAAAGATCCCTATTTTGGTTTAAATTTGATAATGGGTTTCTTTTGATTCCCCTATTCCTGTTTTGTGACCTTATTGTTCCAGAAACTCAAATTTTATGACTGGCATAGATCTATTATTGTGAATTTATGATTAATTAGGATAGGTAGTCCCAATAGATGGAAGGTTGAGAAGCTCATATGAGAAATTTTAGAAGCTCATATGAGAATTTTTATGGCAAGGCCAAGAAGAGGGAAATAAGTGCAGTTGGTGAAGTGGGAGTTAGTGTCAAAATCTAGGGGTAACGTAGGTTTTGTGGTTGAAAATTTGGTTAAGAGTAATGCTAGGCCATCTCTCTCCAATATGTACCAGCCTAAGTGCTCAGTTCAGCTTTCAATATGCAGGACTAATTTTAACTAAAAACATACAAAACACCTGAATTCATTTGGATTAGTTAAAATCAGTTTGTACCATTTTGTTCCCTTTTATACATGAAAGAAGTCTCTCTTTATTATTGAATATTTTCCCCAGGTATTCAATTATTTGGAAGAAAAAAAATCTGCCTTTTATGAGTGATACTGAATAAGATGAGAAGGTTGGTTATTTCTAGTAGAAAAAGAAAGAGGAAAAAGAAACTATTTGAGTACTTCTTGCAACTCTGAACTTGAGTTGATGGAGCTTTGGGAATTGGGGTGTATTTCCTGTGAGTCTGAGTACATTGCTGGAGTTTGATAATTCTTGTTTGCAATAAGGGATGCGGCTAATAAGCCTTTTAAAAAAAAATGATAAGGCTAAAATACACTGAACAACTAATTTCTGTTCTGAGTACGATTCAAATCACTCTGTTGAGGAAGTTCTGAGTTTGAGGTGTTACAGTTAAAAACAAGGTACAAAATAATAATCATAAGAAAAAATAGAAGCTCTAAGGGCATTAAGGGTTTGTGGTCTTCGTGGTAAAGTAAGGTTTTTACTTCTTATGCTCTTATACTTGGCATGGTGTTTGGGAGATGTGCTGTCATGGCAATCTTTTGGGTGGTGTGGGTGGAGAGGAATATAACTTTTGGAGGGGAGCAAGGGATGTGGAGGTGGATCTTCTATGGGATAGGCTTCGTTTTTGGGATTCCCTTTGGCCGTTGGTATCTTCAGAATTTAAGGACTGTTCCTTTCAAGCTATATTGTATGATTTGAATTCTGCTATCAACTACAAATTTTGTTCGTCTGGTGCCATGTATCTTTGTTGAGTTGTTTGTCCAGTATAGCTAGACCAGTGGACAACCCTTGTATTTGTTCAGTTCTCTTTTTAATGAAATTATGTTTCTTATTACAAAAAAAGACAATGAAGTGACTGAGAGAGAAGCAGGAAACAGTACATACTCTAGTTGAAAATAGATTACAAAAACCAAGAGGACGTCTTTTCTTCTTTGTTTTTGTTCAAAGGGATACTTCAATCATGCACATTAAGTCATGCTGCCTATGATTGAAAATTCTTATCACAACTTTGATTAAATTTATATTTGTTTACCATGTTTTTCTTATTCTTTATTATATTTGTCTTTGTTATAGAGGATGGACTCAAATTAAGTTGACAACAGTCATTCAAGTTCTGAAAGTGATTCATCAGCTCATTTGGATGATTCACTTGCGTGATTATAGCGTTAGAGGCAGACATCCAAGGGAGGCAATGTAATTATTCAACTGTAGGCATTTATCACTACATAACGTTATTGAAAGATGCTTCGGAGTGGTAGATAAAGAAAGCTCTAAAGTGAAAGCTCTGAAGTGAATCAAGAACACATCCATTTGCATGAGGACAATGCTAATGAAATGAGTGATTCTAGAGATCATATAGCTGGAGTAATGTGGATGAATTATATTCATAATTATTACTCTTAAAATTTATTTAGTCTAGTATGTTTGAATTTAATATGAATTATTTAAGACTTGAAGACCAATTGAGCTTGTCAATCATATATGTATGTTATTAAAATAGTATGTTTAATATAATTTTGATAAAGTTTATTAAAATATCTTAATTATAAAAAATGAAGAAGAAAAAAATGTTTTCAAGAATTCAACCAAACAAGTTTTCAAGTTTTAAAGATTCAAAAACAATTTTCAAGTTTTAAAGATTCAAAAACAATTTTCAAGTTGCATACCAAATAACTTTTGGAATCTTAAAAAATGGATTAGAGAACTCCTTGTTTTAAAAAAAAAATCACAGTTTTGAGTTCTCTACTTGGATAGGATACCAAACAGGCCCTAAATGAACACAATGTTTAAGAAAACATTGAAATACAATGCTGAATCAATTTTATTCTAAAGAGCTTATTTGAGGGTTCCTCTGTTAAGTTTATTTGAGGGACACTTTTGTAGAGCCTTTACATTGTATTTTAATGATCAAAACGGTCTCTGACTGGAAAAAAAAAATCCAAATGGTCTAATTTTCAAGTATTCCCTAAAAAATCATTCTTGCAAAAAAAATAAAATAAAAACTCAAATATGAAATCATTTAACCATTGTTTGAATGCTTATTATTTATTGACCCAAAATAGTTATTTTATTGTTTTCTTGAAGTACTATATTTGTGAATTTTGTTAGCCGCAACTATACAGTCTTAATAGTTTTTCATTTATCTAATTATTTCTCTAAAGATGATCTTTGAGTGAAGACTTAAAATATAGATAGTTTGGACCATTGAAGTAGAATTAAAATAGGACCCACAAGATGTCCCTCAAATAAAATTATTTAAAGAATCCCTCAATAGTATCGGACTAGAAGAAAACCTTCAGCAAAACCTTTTTATTTTCTATTATATTAATTTGTTTATGCAATTGCTTTTTCATACCAGGTACTAGAAGAACCAAAACCACCAGAAGAACCAGACCCGGCAGACAATGATACCGGCGACCCAAAGGTAAAAAAATCTTCAACGTTTTTATTTAAAGTAAAAATATTCTGCTGTCTTTTAAAGACTGTAAGGCATACTTTCAAGAGATCAAGTTGCTTGTCAACCGGATGAGTTGAGGGTACTGCATTAATTTGAATCACGTTTGTATGTTCTTATCATTTTATCCTTTATTTTTCTTTTCAAGTTACTGTATAAGTTAAGTTTGTTGAGAGTTTATTCCACGTCTGAAATGGGAAGCCTTGTATAATTGTTTAAAAGCCCCGAGCCTCTTCAGTAGACTCTGGATTGGATGCTCAGATTTAACCATCGTGAAGATTAACCCTTTTCTTGAAGTCCTTGATAAATTTGTTGATTAATGTACAAGACCAATATGGTGGTCAACATTCATAAAATTTAGTTGAGGTTAATCTTTTTGATGGATGCCTTTTTTAAGCTCTGTTGAATATGTAACATAACCAATGTAGTGGTCAAACTCTTAACAATAGTTAAGCTTTCATTTGCACATATTTATTTCTGCGATCTCTTGTAACTTTAATTAATCATATTACTAATTACTTTTGCAGGGCTTCTCAGACTGGATCTTTTTAATCATTAGCCTCATCCTTGAGATTATTTCAGCGATATGTGATCAGTTTTCCTCCTCAGAAAAGCCCAAATTTGCAGTAATTGGTGTGGTTTTGGCTATTCTGGCTCTGGTCATTTGCGTCTCTAAACAAATTTACAGGGGTAGTAGAAAAAGAAAAGACGAATCTGGGGGGTGCCAAATGTTTTTTTGTCCTAACACAGACCGTCTTTTTGGTACTTTGCCTGACCTTTTTGGGTTAATTTGTGGAATCTCCCAGGGCGCATCTTCCATAGTTCAATGCGTGTGCGTGCTTCGGCGTAAGGATAATCCTTTTAAAGTAAACCTTTTGCCTGTCATATTTCTTATATGTGTCGGTGGTTCAAAATTATTTGAGGACTGTAAAAGGTGCACCGATTATAGCGGGTCGAGGAGTCTGGGGAGGGAGATCCGGGCGGAGAGTCAGGATTCGGGCCAGAGGACGATATCTTCGGTTCCGACCACGGTTTTGGGGTCGGTGGAGGGCGGGACGGCTTCGGTGTCTTCAAATCTTTCGACGCTGCTGTCTTTTATTCGGAAGAGGGCCGGGACCTCGAATGAGATACAGGGTGAGGGGGCATTTGGGTCCACCGGAAATTAGAACAGTTTCTTGGCAGCTGAAATCAATGGTTATCTTTCGTCTCAAACACGTCCACCAATCTAACGTGTTGAGCTTGAGACTTTTATTGTAGGGGTAAAATAGGGAGTTTAAAACTTCTTGGGTGGGGAGAGGAAAAGTGTTGGGTCCAAATAGAATTACCCATTGGCTTTAAACATCAAGTTTTCATTAGATGTTGCTAATTATAAAAGGGATATAATTGCTTTCCTGTACTGTATTTTGAGAAGAAAAACTATAGTGAAATAAATTATTAGGTACATTTTTTGTTGTTCTTTTTTGTTGAGACTGCTTTTTTGCTTTAAGTCTAGCTCACTCAAATTATACTCTGTAGCCCACCCAGAGTAAACCTAGTGCTATTGAATTCACATATAACGAAATTGATTAGGACAAGTTGTGAGTAGCACAAAATATTTTATGAATCTCGAGCCTATATGTTTGAAAAATATGAGAGATACCTTTAGGACCCACTATAAATATTTTTTCAACGATTTGAACTATTTATTTTTTAAGTCTATATTTATAGATCATTCTTGAAAGGCTTTTTATCATAAATGGTCATTAACGTTTAAGATTTTATCACGAATGGTCCTTGAGGTTTTTTTGTGACACTAATAGTCCTTAACGTTAGGGCTTTTTATCACAAATGGTCCCTCCATTAAAAATTCTGTGAAGTGTATGATGTGGAAGACAAGTGGAGCTCATATGTTCAATCACATTGTGACATGTGGATGGAAAAATAATTAAATAAAATTTTTTTTCTGAAAATTCCTTTTTTTTTTCTACAACTTTTCATCCCCCTTCCTCTACTCCATCTCTCTCCCCCTTTGCCCTCGCTCTCCATCCTCTGCCCCCTCTCTCCCCCTCTGCTCTCCTTCTCTCCCCCCTGTCCTCTCCTTCTCCCTCTGTAAAAATAATAATATAACCCATATATCTTTCTCCATCTTTGTATAGTGGTATATAAATCATAACCCACAATCCCCCTTTGTTTTTTTCTTGCCCATTGCCTGCCCTGCAAGAAACTTTGGGATTCTTTTATTAGTCTCTGTTTTTTTAACACAGCCACCCGCAAGCCGCAACCCACACCCAACTCCCCTACCCTCTCCCACTGTATTTTCTCTCCTCCTCTACTCTCCCCCTATGTTTTTAATTATTTTAAGTTGTTTGAATAAATATTTGTGTAAAAGGAAATGTGAAACTACCTTGTGCAAGTGATTATTTTGCAAAATATACAGAGGGCGAGGGGTGGGTTGCAGGTGGGTGGGCAGGGGGTGGTCGGGCTATAGAGGCAAGGAAAAAAAAACAGAGGGAGAGGGAGAGCACAGGGAGGAGAGAGGGCAGAGGGGAGGGGGAGAGAGACAGAAGAGAATGGATTTTCATAAAATTAAAAAAAAATTATTTCTTTATTTATTTAATCCACATGTCATGATGTGATTGGACATGTGGGCTCCACTTATTACACTTAACAGAATTTTTAATGGAGGGACCATTTGTGATAAAAAAACACTAACGTTAAGGACTATTAGTGTCACAAAAAAACCTCAAGGACCATTCGTGATAAAATCGTAAACGTTAAGGACCATTTGTGATAAAAAGCCTTCTTGAAAAAATTTGATAAATCAAAAACTGTTTTGACATCTAATTATTGTGTCTTACAAAATTAATGAACACAATACTTCAAGAAAGTACTAAAATTTCAATAATTTAATTGAGTGGTCAAATGATATTTGAATGAATATCTACGAAATAGAAGAATTAGATTAGTGAAATAAAATACGGAGTGGGTCTTACAAGAGTGTCCATCAAATAAACTTATTTGAGGGATCCCTCAATTGAGCGACACTTTTGTATGGCACACTCCACATTGTATTCTAATGGTCTCAGCCTTTTGTGTTAGGTATTCCCTCAAAGATCATCCTTGCGAAAAATACTCATATCCAAAACTATTTAACCACTCAATTAAATAGTTTTCATTTTAGTATTTTCTTGAAATACCATGTTGGTCGATTTTGTTATTCGCAATTAGATGTCTTAATGCTTTCCATATTATGTAATTTTTTGTAAGGATGATCTTTGGATGAATACTTAAAACATAGATGAGAACCCTTGTATAATTGTTTAAAACCCTTGTATATAGCTGTGTAACGATGACTTCTTTACTAAGCTAACCTGCTTAACAGACTAACTAATCACACTAATAAGCACGTGAAGAGCTAACAAACTTGCCACCTCAGCAAGGACACGTGTCAATAGTAACATCAGCTAACATGTACTTCATGGCGGCCTGTCCTTCCATTGAGACGAGCAATAGAAGAGTGGAGAGCACTACTGCCTCAAGATCCGACCTTCCATTGCAGTTAACAGGCGTTGAGGCATCCGTGTTAGAGGGCTTAAGCCAAATGCAAAATCTTGTGAAGGAGAATCCAATTAAAGAGGACTTGGGTTGACATTGGACTGTCTGATTTGATAACCTTTATCCTTGGGGACTCTGACAACAAAGATCTGAAGAGGAAGATATGAATCACCTTAAAGAGCATTGTAGAAGGGCATGAAAGAAACAGGGTAAGCATCTTTCTTTGATACTCCTATATTGTTGCTTCGTATTTCCAGTTAGAAATCAAAGATTTCCTTTTCCTCCTGTCTTTGCATCTTGTAGGGCTCGTTTATGCTGACACATATGGATAATATTACACAAACTATCAATTCAGGCTCTGGCAATCAACATTAATTAGCATTAGTTCTGATGAGCACAAGACTGACTGATGAGTCAAGGCACAGGACAAAGGTAGTGGTCAAAATCATAACCTAGACCAACATCTTCTTTTGCCTATTTAATTAGCATAAATTAAAATTACTACAAACGACTTTTGCAGGCTACTTGGATCTTTTTATTCATTAGTCTCTGCCTAGAGATTTCGTCAGCTGCGTTCGATCAGTAAGCCTCAGTATGCACTATTTGGTCCGCTGTTGACCATTGTGGCTCTACTCACTTGCATTTGGGAGCTCTTTTACAAGGGTACAGAGGAAAGAGTTGAATTGAAGAGGTGGGGAATGTTGTGGTGGTTTTATTATCCACCTCCTCGTGACACGCTTTCTGATACTCTCTCCGACATTTATGGATTAGTTGGTGCCATCTCTCAATGCATTTGCCCCACAGTTCAGTATGTTTACCTCCATCGGCACGCTGAGAACCCTATCAAACTATCTTTTTTGCCTGTGATCTTTGTTATATGTTTGGCTGGTTCAACACTATTGAGGAACAGAAGCTGCAACGAAAGAGATGAGACCCTTGAACATACTACTTAGACCAAGTCAGATGACCATTTGTTGCTGTAAATTTTGGCATTCACCTTTTGCCGTATGCCCGTTTTGTATTGTGAATTTAAGTATAGTTTGTCTGTGTGTATTTTTTGAACTTTTAAACTATCTTCATTTAAACATTCAATTATATAAAATCAATTTTATGCATGAAACACTACATATAAAATAAGTATATTCAATGAGGCTTGACAATTGTAGTTTTTCAATTGTCTAGAGCAAGACTAACACTTTTTTAAGAATGAACAAATATGCATATCAAAAACTATTTTTTCATTAATTTGTCATTAACAAATACCACGTGAAATACTTTCATTTTGTTTTGGATGTATGTGTGTATCTTTTTTTGTTACAATGTATATGTATACATAAAAGATTTCTCAAGTTATATTTATACAAACCAAGATTAAACATACATTTAAGGGCTAACGACAAAAGACACCCTGCTGGTTTGGGGTGGTTTTCAATATGGACTCCAGGGTATCAATTTTATCAATTTACACCCTTACATTTGCAATATCGTCTAATTTCATCCTTCCGTTAAGTTGACTGTGTGGTCAATCGTTAAATGCTGACATGTCTACTGTGGGACCCACCTCCTAACCCACTAATTATTTTTAAAAAATTATATAAAATGATAAAAACATATAATTAAACAAAAACTAAATATAAAAAAAACAAAAAAAAACCAAACACACAGCCATATTGAGAACCACCCCAAACCAACAGGGTGTCTTTTGTCGTTAGCCCTACATTTAATTATATGAGACAGAAACTATCTCTCCCTATATAAATTAAACATAAATATAAATTATAAGTAATATATAATATATACTATATAGGAAGTAAAAATTAAAAAGAAAAAAAAATACATTTGCCTTTTGTTGGGCCTTCTATTCCATCTCTCTCTTTTTCTTTTGGGAAATAGTTCTAAATGCCACCCTTTTTATAATTGTTTCTGAAAATACCACCTCTCCCCAATTTTTTTGCAACTATCACCTATAAATATATATTTATTGTCCACTTATTGCACACATATCACTTTTTTTTTCTCTCTCTCTCTCTCTCTCCATCTAGCTAACTACCATCTTCTCACGAAGAAGAAGATCAAGAACAACCTACAAAACCCAGTTCTTCCTCTTCCTCTCTGTTTTCTTCTCTACCCAAATCCAAACCCCAATTTCGTCTCTCTTTGAATCCCCTTCTGCAACCTAAACAAACCTAAACAAAACCATCTTTTCTGAATATGACAGCATGTGTTGGCATTAGGTGGCCATTGTTTGAGCATTTTGGTCCAATTTTGGGGGGTTTTGAAATCTGGGTTTACATGCCCTCTTCAAGAACAGCAATCGTATTGTGATTTTATTGCGGTTGTATTGTAGTCATATTGCTTTTGTATTGCTATGGTATTGCTGTATTGATTTTTTTTTGGTGTTTTATTGATATGTTACTGTAATTTAATAGGAATATATGTTGATATCATTTTTCTTTATCTGCTTGTGATTTGAGTAGGAGTTGAGATTATTCTTGGCTGAAGTATTATTTACGATCTCTCTCTTTCTCTCTCTCTCTCTGCTCTTTGTATTTTTCTCAACATTTATGTGTTAATTTAATGTATGGTGTTTACACCATAATCAATCGAGCATATCTAGCATCAAAGCAACTAGCACCAAGAGCATCAACACCATGACACGTGTCACCACCACAACGACTTGCACAAAGTCCCACATCGGAAATCTACACAAACCTCCCACTTTCACCTCCCTATAAATAGGGAATAATATCCATGTGAAAGGGGGACTTCCTCTCTCCACTTAGAAGAGGATCCGGGCCTTAGAGCTAGACCTTAGGGCCGGGGACTCTCTTCTAGATCCATAGCCTGGGCATCTCACTTGTCATCTTTATATTCGGGTCCAACCCCATGTACAAATGTAGTCATACACCATTAATGAAAACATACTTCTTCGTGGACGTAGCCCATTCATTAAGGGTGAACCACGTATATCTTGTCTTCTTTACATTTATCGCTTGCCCATGTCCTTACACACATGCTTAAGGTCCTCACCTTCATTCATCATCCATCACACATCATCACTAAGTTGGACTCAATTTTGGCCTAACCATTTTGAGCATCAACATCTGGCATTGTTTTGGAACCATAATCATTGTCAATCTCATTGTTTCTTTAAAAGATTGTTGTGAAATTGTTACTTCATTTTCTTCTTTTCTTTGTTTTAAGATATTTTTGTTTGGAGAAAAAGAACTCTATTTTTGTAATCTAAAAGACTAGGTACTCATGGTGAGTGTTTTCTAATCAATAAGATCCAGACTTTATGTATGTCAGTTTACTACTTTTGCACTTAAACTTTGGCTGTCTAAAATTTGAAAATTCTTGTATGCCATCAATGCATCTATGTCACACATCTTGGGTAAGAGGTATTCTTCAATTGTGATGGTTTGCTTTGTTGTATGTATTCAAACTGCCTCAAAATGTTTTCATTAGTGTCTTGAGTTCAATACCAACAAAAGTTTTTAAATGACAAGAAATTATGAAAAGCTTATACATAACAGACATATAGTTGAACATAGCTAGAGTGTATATTTAGAAGATGTCATTGTGCTTCAAATTAGCAAATTTGTGGGGTGAAAACACAATGGTTGACATGTCATTCTGCATTTGATGAAAATAATTGATGACTTTGTATCGAAGTATACTCATTAAATATCTTAGATTCTATCAATGAAAGAAATATTTGCCTTCGAGAGCTTCATGTTTTTCGGTTTGTTTATCTTATATTCTATAAATGAATGAAATATTTTGGTAGATTGGAGAGACTAGGCTTGAGCAGGTGCAAGAGTAAAAAGGATGATGCTTCATGTAAATTCAACAATTAAATAGGAGATTTTTGTTTTCAATTTGTTAATTCTTGAGATACTTGGTCATTTTTTAAGATTACGTGAAATAAAAAACTTGTATTGAATATTATTGTATAGGAGACCATGTAATTATTTTGATACCATTAAATGAAATTTTAATTCAATTTACTTGAAAACTTTGGGATCTTGAGCAAGATACGGCAGTCACGTATACGACAGTTTTGAAACATAAAAGACGATAATGTAAGAATGGTTAATTTTGACGATATCCATAGCTGCTTCAACTCCATTATAATGTCATGTAGATTATAAAGTGGCAATAGACATGCAATACAAAAGCAATATGAAAGCAATAAACAAGCAATAAAGTGGCAATAGACAACCAATGCAAAATCAATAAAATGGCAATAAACAAGTACCGTATGGATGTCTTTGTACTCTCTTTCCCATATTATATATTGTTCTAATTGTTGAACTATTACAATATTCAGTTGCTACATATAATAAATAGTACATAAAAATAATGACCATGTATGAAAATTTCATATCATTATAATAAGGATAAACAACCGAAAACCCCCTGGACTATATCGACTATCAAAATGTCCCCCCTGGATTATTTTTTCAGCCAATTTAGCCTTCGAATTAAAATAAATCACCAATTTCACCCCTGCCGTTAGTTTTTCCCAAATTCCATCCAAATGCCCGTCAAAAACACCACGTGAAAGGCACGTGAGGCGTCTCATGAGGGTAATATCGCCATTCCCTTCCCTCAGCCCTCAGCCCCCTTTTATTCGAATTCAGACATGGAGATTCGACAGAAACCATCCCTTCTTCACAGAACCCACCCTTGATGACAGAACCCAACCCTATTTGCAAGCGTTCCAACCTTCTCACGTCGCTGATGTTCATCAATGTCATGAAGAAGAGAAGAAATTGCAGTTGAAGATAGGATGCATAGGAACAGACGTGCAGCTTCTACCGAATCAAGTTCGACCACTTTTATTACGAAGGATGATATAGTGCGTATCTGTCGGTGTGGATTTGAGGCTGAAAAGATTGTTTTCTGGTCTGATGAAAATGCAGGGAGGAGGTTATATGTGTGTTGTAGAGAGAAGTATGGTGGTGGCTGTGGTTGGAAGGCTTGGAAGGACCCAAAAATGTCTGAGCAGGCCAAACATGTCATATGTCGATTGTTGAGACGAATCAACTCATTAGAAGAGAAAAGAGCTAAAGACAAGAAGATTGTGCAAGAGCTAAGAGACAAAGAGAAAAAATTTCGAAGGCTGCTGCTGAGTTATTTGGTTGTGATTCTGTTGTTGTTTGTTTTAGTACTGAGCTTTTCATTTGGTTAAAGTAGGTTAGGTTTTGATTTGGTTCAATGTAGGTTAGTTGATTTGGTTGAATGTAGTGGCCTTTTTGTGCCTTGTTTTGGCTTAACCAATGCAGTGGCATTTGGATTTGGTTTAGTGTACATTTTGATGTTAAATGTAGATTGCACAATTTCTGGATGAAGTTTGAAGTTTCGACCAAATCTGAATTTAGCACAACTTCATAGAATTGTCTTTTAAGCTTGTTTAAATTGGATACTTGCATGCATAACACAAGCCAAGGCAAAATACTCATAAACTGCAAACATAGTACTACAAAAGCAAGGGAAATACACTAATCCAAAATTACAACAGAAACAGAATTCATTCAAAAGAGCCATCTGTTCAAAATATACATTCCAACCCAACTTAAATACATCCAAATTCCATCCAAAATAGCCATCAGTTCAAAATACAGTGGGGGAACTTCTACTACAAAATATACATTCCAACCTTGCTTAATCATCCAAAATCCATCCAAAAAGAGCCATCTGTTTAAAATACACACATCTACCAGCCCATGTATTAAAAATATAGATTCCAAAATCCATCCTAATCCATCAATGTATTTTACCTCCATGGCCTTGCCCTTTTTGCATGGGATTTGAACCTTTTCCCTTGTGGCTTGGAAGTGTTTTGAGTGACATTGCTTGGACCTGCTTGTGAAGCTAAATTGCAAGGAGCTGATTGTGTAGTAGGATTGGTTCCACTTGATTGGGTAGCAACATTGGTTGGAGCTATTTGGCTTGCAGTGGCTGCAGCCCTTGTCAACCCTCCTCTAATTGCCTACAAATGAAATTAATCACAATTAAAACAATTGAAATGAATCACAATTAATCACAATTTCACATCATTTACCTGTTCCTCTTCAGATGGATGGACTGAGCTGGTTCCTCTGCCTCTTCCTCTCCCTCTTCCTTTCCCTCTCCCTCTGCCTCTTCCCATATTGCCATATGCCCTTCCACAATTAGTAGCATTATGGCATTCTCCTTCACAGACTAAGCAATAGATTACAATTCCATATCTCATAAGTTTAGTGGCACCTTTTGGGATCTCATCAACAAGTCTAGTCCTTGCCTTCTTTGGCCTACCAATATGTTTGTGATACAATGGGGGTTTAATTGACCTATGCCCTGATTTCCTCTATAATTGTTGGCTTGGCATTGGTGAAATGTAATTGCTATAAGCCTTATCATAAGCTTCTCTCTTATACACCTTATTCACATAAGTCATTGGGCTCCTCTGTTGCCTTGATATAGCAGTCATGCAATGGCAACGTGGGATGCCACAGAGATCCCATTTTCTACAAGAGCATGAGTGAGTATTTAGATCAACTGCATATTGCCCACCAAGCATATGAGTGACTTGAAACCTGTTTCCACCTGCATTCTGTGCAGTGCATGAGCCACTCTCTTTCAAATTCTTCTCAATAATCTGAAATATCCTTGGCCCAACTCTTTGAGTCCATTTCACCTCCTTTTGTCTTGCAACTCTCAACATCAAATAGGTTCTGATCCTTTCCACCATCGTGATTATTGGTTTATCTCTTGCCTCCAAAATTGTTGAATTGAAGCATTCACATAAATTTTTCAGCAGTATATCACACTTGGGCCCAGTAGTAAAATGTGACCTGCTCCAATGAATTGCAGGCCTATCCTGAAGCCATGCATGAGTTGGGGCAGATATTTCCATAATATTGTCCATCTGTTTATTGTACTGCTTGAACTTTGGTTGCCTCAAACCTCTCTTCTTCCCATCTTCATCTCCACTATCTTCATGCAAACTCTCTAAGTCTGATGTATTATAACCATCAGTGTCACCCTCACCTGGTTCAGCAGACCCATCATCTTGCTCTTCAGTCACAACATACCTATGAAAATTCATGTTGTACTCTTCATCACTTTGCTCAAACTCACTATCTATGAAATCACCATCTTCTTCCTCATCCTCCCCACCTTGCTCAGCTTCATCACTTTCTACCTCAACTTCTTCCTTTGCCTCACCAAATTCTTCATCTATCTCAACATCCACGAACTCATGTTGCCCATTTTCTTCATCACCATCATATCCAAGAGCAGTGTGTTCATCTTCATAATGTTAAGCATTTTCACCTTGTGCAGAGAATACTGGGGATTGAACATTTAGAGGCCTAGGTGCTGGATTGTCAGTTATGTATAACACAAACAGCTGCCTCGGCACCAACTTCAATGCTCCAAAATAATCCTTATATGTCCTAATTTCAACCCAGCCATTTGTCCTGTGCTTGTAATAGTATTGAATGTTCTGCTCATCATAACCAAGGTGTTTAATCAGTTCAAATAATTCAAGCATTGAAACCTCATCTGCATCTTGCCCATCAACCCATTGTACAATATATCCCATATATAAACCATCAACAAAGTAGCCCCCATGGTGTACTTCAAGTGTGAACATGTCAGGATTAGCTGCACAACAATAAATTTTCTCATTAATTTACTATCTACCATATACAGTACAATATACATTTACTATCTACCCTATACAATACCATATACAATACATTACTATTTACTCTATACAATACAATACAACTTAGACAAAGAACCCGACAAACAATAAGCAAACAACATGCATAGGGACCACATTCACAACCCAACCTAAGTCTCAGTCAACAAACAACAACCATAGGGACCACTTTCTTCCTTTTATTATGCTTTTTCATCAAGTCCAGCAATGAAATCTGTCAGTAAAACCCAAACAATTGCATCAAATAAATAAACTAAAGTACGCTACCTACTGTATATGGGAGCTTCCCCACCATCTCTGATTTTCATTATGCCTTTACCGTCGCACCTTCGTTTGGAATCTTCAAGTCACAAACTATCTCCCAAAATCGAATCTCTCAGTCGCAGTGTCTTTCTCACCCTTTTTCGAATCTTTCAGTCGCTTTCTCTGTCCTTTTTTCGAATCTTCAGTCGCTTTCTCTCTTTCAGTCTCACCCTTTTTCAAAACCCTAACTCTGATTTGGGAATGGATTTGGGAATTGACCTTCGAACGATTCAGTCAAAGGGGGCTAAGGGCTGAGGGAAGGGAATGGCGATATTACCCACATGAGACGCCTCACGTGCCTTTCACATGGTGTTTTTGACGGGCATTTGGATGGAATTGGGGGGAAAACTAACGGCATGGGTGAAATTGGCAATTTCTTTTAATTCGAAGGCTAAATTGGCTGAAAAAATAATCCAAGGGGGACATTTCGATAGTCGATATAGTCCAGGGGGGTTTTCGGCTGTTTACCCTTATAATAATGACCTCAAAAATAATATCAAGTACATTACACAAATATTAGAAACATACGGCTCCACAAGAAGAATACATGATATCTTATGTCCTTACTAATTCTTGGGGCCTAATAACAAGTATAATCAATGATGTGTACAGTTTGCTGCAAGTTTGCTTAGCATTTTCATAATAGAAGCTTTGCTTTTGTCTTCAGAAGGCATCTCAAAGAACTCCTTGTCTACACATTACATTATGCACAAAATGGTCTCCAATGCCAGTGTAAGACTTGCACATCAGTGTCTGCACAAACCAGCTAAAACACATTGTGTAATTGTTAACCTCAAATTTGTTCTTCACAGGGAAACGAGTTGGGTGCGGCTTTTTCCTTGTGCAATTTGAAAAGAAAAAGAGAGAGAAACATAAATTGTCAAGACAAAACTGCAACAAATTATAATTTGGTCAAGTACTCACCATCGGGAAACAATATGCTTTCAATGAATAAATAACATATTAATTTTCAACCAACACTACTGCACAACTCATCTCAGAAACATGACTGAGATTTGACAAACATACAGGTAGAAGATCCAATCCATTAAAACACTCACATTCAAAAAACGAACCTAAATTATACGCCAACTCAAGCTACAGAAACCCAACTTGTTAAGCACCAGTCAACAAGTTTTGTAGGCAAATTGAAATCAAGTAGAAATTACTTCAGCAGTAACACCTTCATTTTTTCAACCAAAGATGCTAGCTTCCTTTCAATATCAAAAAGCACATTCAATTAGTCCAAAGATGTGGGACATAGATGCCTAGTATTTTAGATTACAAAAACAGAGTTCTTTTTCTCCAAACAAAAATATCTTAAAACAAAGGAAAGAAGAAAATGAAGTAACAATTTCACAGCAATCTTTTAAAGAAACAATGAGATTGACAATGATTATGGTTCCAAAACAATGCCAGACATTAAATTAACACATAAATGTTGAGAAAAATACAAAGAGCAGAGAGAGAGAGAGAAAGAGAGAGATCGTAAATAATACTTCAGCCAAGAATAATCTCAACTCCTACTCAAATCACAAGCAAATAAAGAAAAATGATATCAACATATATTCCTATTAAATTACAGTAACATATCAATAAAACACCAAAAAAAAATCAATACAGCAATACCATAGCAATAAAAAAGCAATACGACTACAATACAACCGCAATAAAATCACAATACGATTGCTGTTCTTGAAGAGGGCATGTAAACCCAGACTTCAAAACCCCCCAAAATTGGACCAAAATGCTCAAACAATGGCCACCTAATGCCAACACATGTTGTCATATTCAGAAAAGATGGTTTTGTTTAGGTTTGTTTAGGTTGCAGAAAGGATTCGAAGAGAGACGAAATTGGGGTTTGGATTTGGGTAGAAAAGAAAACAAAGAGGAAGAGGAAGAACTAGGTTTTGAGGGCAAAGCTGTGGGTTTTGTAGGTTGTTCTTGATCTTCTTCTTCGTGAGAAGATGCGTAGTTAGTTCAATTTAACATCAAAACTTACATATTCCCAACAATTCATTTTCTGGAGAAGCTGTTCTTGAAGAGGGCATGTAAACCCAGACTTCAAAAACCCCCCAAAATTGGACCAAAATGCTCAGACAATGGCCACCTAATGCCAACACATGCTGTCATATTTAGAAAAGATGGTTTTGTTTGGGTTTGTTTAGGTTGTAGAAGGGATTCGAAGAGAGACGAAATTGGGGTTTGGAGTTGGGTAGAGAAGAAAATAGAGAGGAAGAGGAAGAACTGGGTTTTGAGGGCAAAGCTGTGGGTTCTGTAGGTTGTTCTTGATCTTTTTCTTCGTGAGAAGATGGTAGTTAGCTAGATGGAGAGAGAGAGAGAGAGAGAGAGAGCTATTTCCCTTTTCTTTTTCCTTCTTCTTCCGCTCTTCCTCTGTCTCCACCTCTCCCTCTTTTTTTAATTTTTGTCTTCTTCTTCTCTCCATCTCTCCATCACTCCCTCTGTCTTCTTTTCCTTCAATCTGTCTCTGTCTCTTTTTTTCCCTTCTTCTTCCTCTCACTGTCTTTCTTTTTTCTTTTTTCCCACTTCTTCTTCTTCTTCTCTCTCTCTCTCTCTCTCTCTCTCTCTCTCTCTCTCTCTCTCACGCTGGTGATGGTGGTCTGATTGGGTTGTGGTGGTTTGATTGGATATGGGTTGCACTGATGCTGGGGTCGATTGGGTGTTGCCGTGATGCTGTGGCTTTTGGAGTTTTTTGCGAGTGGTGTCAGTCCCACGTGAACTACAAACGGAACTTCAGTTTTTTTTTCCTGCTCTTCAAATATCTTCACCTCAACAAAGTTTTACAAATCTTGAAGGCTAGCCTATTGTACGCAGGCCTGAAACGTTAAAATTGTTTTGGGCTTCTTTTTATTTCCCTCATTTGGGCTGTTAACAAAATTTCCCGTTGAGATTTTTGCAAAATGCATAGTTATGCATATAAAATCTCTAATACTAATGTTTTCCGAAAATTTCCGATTTTTCCGATATATCCGAGTTTTTGGAATCGGAATAAGATTTGAAATTCCGAAAAAATCGGTATTGGAATCGAATAGTATATTGAATTCCGAAAATTTTCAGATTGGAATTCAGAAGACTAGTTTTTGATCCGTTCCGGCCGAATTAGAGGCCTAGTAATTGGGGTTGTTGAGAGCAGTTGAAAGCAATGGTTATCGTCTCCAACACGTCGACCAATCCAACGGGTTGAGCTTGAGACTTTTTATTTTAGGGGTAAAATAGAGATTTTAAAACTTGTTGGGTGGGGTCGTTTAATTCATTTTATTTGTAATAAAAGATATGGTAATTAATTATTATTTTTTTTTATGATGATAAAAGATAGAGTTGATGTAATGGGCACATATGTCTTTTTGGTAATTAATTTTTATTTTATTTTATTGTAAATGAAACATATCCCTTTTATATTACTTGTAAAATAAATACTAACTTACTCATGATACTAACACAATAATAAAAATATTATGTAATACACATTTAAAAATTGAAAGAAAATCATTATCTTCATGTAATACTAGTTAAACTTTCAGTTAAGTTTGAATCAAGTAATCTATTCATTTCTGCTTGGGTTGGAATCATTCTAAAATTGTTAACTCTAGACGAATCTGTTTTGCAACAACCACATGAAAAGCCCTTCACACCTGTATACGCATATATGTGTAGTTTATTCATAGTTATTAGAAGCAAAGCAAAGTTAATACGTATTATGCCTTAATCATATATATAAACCCACACATATACATATGTAAGTCAATACTAGAAACCACATATTATAATTATAATCTAACTAATTAACGATGAATAGCAAACCAAATAAATCCCTGAGCTATGAAGCACCATAGATCAGCACTATCAGGGCCATCAGCAGCACCGAACTTGAAATTCTGTCTTTGCACAACGCTATCCCATCCATCTATTAAAGCATATCCAGTAAGAATTTCAAACTTAACTAAACTCAACTCAGTCGTACGGTTCGGCTCTTCTAGCAACTTGACTCTAATTTTACTATTTGGCTCAAACTTAACTAAACTCAACTCAGTCGTACGGCTCGGCTTCGGTGGGAACATTGCGCTAGTGGGGTAGCCCTATTAGTAGGGCTCGTTACATCGTATAAACTAAACGTAATTCTGGCAATACGCATTACTCTGTTAACTCCCATATTGCTAATGGAAATCTTCATAGCTTGAGGCATGTTACGTATACTTGCCATATTGATTAGGAATTATAGTTGAATTGAATTCCATAGGCCTTACTGTAATTGATATTGAGTTCTTGACGATCATTAGACCAAGTGGGAGAATGTTAGACGTGTAGATGTCTAACTCATTAAAGTGTAGTCTTATAATCATCAAAGGATTCTAAGACTTGATATCAATTAGGAGTTCAAGTGCAACTAAACCTGCAGCTCTATTTAAGTTGGTGTTTCAAGGCTAATATAAGAGCTAGAAGGATTCCTATTTAATTGTGTATTAGAAGTTATAAATTTAAAGCAATAAGGACTTCTTTAGAGTTTCTTGATGGGCAAGACTCTTAGGTATATGCATATAAATACAAGTGCCCCTGCTCAACCGATAAACCCAATCCACACAAAAGAATTCACCCCATATCTGGAATGAGTGTATGAAGGGATCGGATTAAGGAGATGTGCTCTTGTATATTTTTGATATTCGACAATTCTAATGGAAGACCACAGATGTGTGTTCTATCATGTGCAACAATTATAATTTACAAGGATGAGAGGGGAGGATAGGAGGGATGAGTAACAAAAATGAAAACAATTCAAATAGATTTCAGTTTTTTCATTTTATATTTTCACTTTTGTTACTCCATCCTCCCATCATTGTCTCTCATCTTCCCTCTCAATCTCTTCTTCACTCTCATTCTCATTTCATTCTCTCTCTTTTTCCTATATACTCTAACACAAAAAATGAAAACTAAAAACTAAAATTGAAATAATTATCAAACGGCCCCCAAATATCTGTTAAACAGATTTATCCGAAATTAGAATGATATGACGTCTAATAAAAATAATAAGGTTGATATACATTGTTATATAAACTTATTAGCCCAGTATACATAAACTTATTAAATCTAAAAAAGTCCAATTTTTCATTAATTAGTTGTTGACAAGCAATAAAAATACACATTAAATACACTTTCAATTTGTTGACCATATTTTCATTTTGATAATATGTGTTTCTCAGTTGCATTTAATATGTATTTGTTTTATGATAATACTTATTGGAAATTAGTCAATGAAGTTATGCATGTTTTACATGATTTAATATTTACTTTTATTCTAGAAAGACTATAACAAACGATAGGTACTGTTGAGGCCCAAAAAAGTCCATGGTTAGGCCCAAATAAGTTTCTGGCCCAATATGATATTGTATTAAGAAAAGTCACATATCGGAGTACACGAAGGCTCGTCATATACAAGTCATAGTCCAAAAGCCATGCTAAATAAATAATTTGTCATGCCAAGGACTGAGATAATATTATAAAATACAAGCTCATGCTAAACTAAGCACCATGTCCCTCTTCAAGGATGATAAAATTGAAGCACGCCAAGAGACACGCCACGCCAAGCAAGGAATTATTATTCCGCACCTAATCACGCCACAAGCTTAAGTGGGCCCCAAGCCACTCGAATACTCGGGGCTTGGTTGAGTGGGTTGTGGTATGGATGGTAATAAATTGACATGAGGCCCATTGATGGGCCGAGAAATGGAAGTCTCGGGTTGCTTGGGAGCCTCGAGACTCAAACCCATTTCCTAAGCCCAAAACATGTGGGTGAGCACAAAGGAGGAAATAACCTATTAGCTTAACCAAATTAGCCCAGCACCTCAACAAAAATAGGCCAACACTTGTTGAGGTTAGCCCATTTATTTTGACAAACCAACCCATTATCTTAGAAGGCCCATACAATTAGAAAAGAGAAGAAGCCAAAGCATCAGCTCCTTGCTGGAAAAATAGAAGCCATGAAGGAGATGTCCACATATGCAGAGTTGCTGGAAAGGAACAAGTTCCAAGCACAAAACATCCAAAGAACCACATTTCAGAGCAAGCTTCCCTCTCTTACTCCCAAAACCCAGCAATTTCGTGCTCAGCCCATCCTTTCCTTTAGTTTTCTCTCTTGGCAAGCTGTTCTGACACTTGACAGAATCTGTCAAGCTGCCGAAAAAAAGCACTCAAGCCATCTTTTCTCTCTTTCCCTCATTCTCAGCCAAATCAGCTTGCAAACATCTTATTCCTCACCTTAAACACTCCCCTTTCTCCCTAGGAAGCCATATTTTCCTCTTTGATGCTAAACTCATGTTGATTTTGCTTCCATACCACAAGCCTCTCATGTCAAGCTAGAAAATTTATCTATAAGCATCAAGAAATCATCTGTAAGCTGTTGTTATTTTAGTTGGTGAAGGTAACCAAGGTGTTTTCTAAGGCATCTTTGTCCTTTCGAAGCATTCTTGGGGCTTGATCTTCGAACTCAGGCTCAAAGGGCAATTTCATTCATCTGCCCTTTACGGCAGCCCAGCTCGTTTGTAGTTGCCGGAAGAAATAAAGCCCTTACAGGTAAACAAACAAAAAAAAAAAAAAAAAAAAAAAAAAAAAAACAACTTAAACCCACCCCATTGTGTTCACGCTAAAACTAAACATATAGAGATAAGGCTAACTTACAGGTGATGTGGATGGTTCGGACTCGAGGAGCCTTCGGTCCATGGCATCCTTCTTTGGGGCGCGATGCTGGATTCGGCCTGAGGAGAGAAACGGTAGGTGAAGTCTGAAGCATCGGTGTGGTGCCGACCGAAGACCCTCCGATGCCAACGTTAGTGACTAAGAGCAATTCTATTGACAGTGTGAAAGCACAAATCAAGTAAACAGTCTTACATTTTGGCTGGGCCAATGGGCTTTATTTATAGAGGGTGTTGGGTGGTCACTTAATACTTAGTTTCGATGTGGGACTCGCAGGAGAGTCTTCGACGGTCGACACGTGCCCTGACAGGCCTTGGCTGGAGTTCCGAGGTTTTCTGACAGAATCGGCCAGATGTGCTGACTGGTCATTCGGCATCATGTGCCGAAGATTGGTGCAAGGGAGTCGATCGTTAACACTTACCGAATTAAACGACCATGTATGAATCGGTGGTGTATGCCGATTAACCATTCGACGTGGCTCACAGGGTTGGTCTCAGCCTCGTTCACCTTCCATATGTCATGATGTGAGTGGGGGTCAGATATGATACAAACACATTGAAAAATTAATATTTCATTAATGATTTCAAATTATTATGTTAGAAATGAGAAACGACAATGTGGCTTGTGCCCCTTAGAGAGAGAGAGAGAAGAGATGATACAAAATTTGGCTTTTTTTCTTAGTTTGGATTTTTCATTTTGGTTGCTTTTCTAATTAAAGTCGATAGCTACTACCTCTATTCGTTTTCTTCAAGACTACACCAAGCCAACGTATACGTACCGACGATTCTAAGCGCATAACCATAATGTAGAGTAGAATTGGTAAATAAATAAAGAAGACAAGGGTATTTATGTAAATATCTTGAAAATTTCAGACCCCCTCCCTCCCTCCACCAATGAATTTCCACAAGGGTCATGCTCATCCAGAAAAAGTAATAAATTAAACGAAGAAACAAAGAACGCATCTCTACTTTTTCTTCTTGCCAAACCCCCCAAATTAAATAAATAGAAAGAAAAAAGCCCATCGCAAGGAAAACTATAACCAAAATCTTTTTTATCTGACATTAACTTGAAACCACGTGCATCTAAAACACCTTTTACTACTCCCCCGGTCCTTGGGGTAGTAGTAATTAACAAATCAAAAGCCCACTCCCTTATGTCTCTTTTTCATGAGGTCTTATTATAATAACCAGCCTTGTCGGTATTGGGGTTGAAGAAATGAAAACAATGGTCCTCCTCTTTGGTGTAAAACAACTCCACAAACCCACCCCCCATCTACTTTTCTACAGTCTCATATGATACCTTCCATTCATATGGTTGTTTGAGTATTATTTTTTGATGATATGGGGCCGAAGACCGAAAAATGAATTACAATTGCTTCTAGGACAGACTGTTCCCAGGCTGTGCTCGTTGATTTCACATTCATGCCGCGTTGAGCAAGAGGCCTATATATATACACCATTCCCAACTATTTCAGCTCATGCAATTATCCAACAAAATGGATTCCAATATCACCACTGAACTAGTAGCCTCTTCGCCTTCTCCTTCCACCAATTCTTGGAAATATGATGTCTTTCTTAGTTTTAGAGGTGCGGATACGCGCTACAGCTTTACAGACCATCTGCACAGCAGTTTGCTACGCAGGGGAATTAACACCTTCATGGATGATGATCAACTCGAAAGAGGACAAGATATATCAGAAGTGCTTAATCAAGCAATTAGAGAGTCGAGGATTTTTATCATCATATTCTCTGAAAACTATGCCTCATCAAGTTGGTGCTTGGAAGAGCTTGCTAGGATCATTGAATATAAGAATCCACAGCAGCAAATTGTTATCCCGGTTTTTTACAAAGTGGACCCCGCACATGTAAGAAACCAAAGGGGCCCGTTTGATGAAGCATTTGTTCAACATGAAAGCAGATTCAAGGATGATTTGGAGAAGGTGTCGCGATGGAGGGCGGCTCTTAAGGAAGCAGCAAATTTGGCTGGGATGAAAGTTAACAATTTTGGGTACGTATATTTCTAACCACTTATGTATTGGCTATATATATTTGAGGATTTTCTACTTTGTATGCTCTTCTTTAAATTTAGGGCTTGTCCAATATAGATCCATACATTTTCTATTTCCTAGAAATATACTCATCACTCTATAAATCTATGTATAAAACCCAATTTCAAATTTAAATGACTAGTAGGATATAAGAGGTCGTAGTATTTCTATGTTTTTACATTATTGCCACCAAACTTCATATTTTATTTATAATTTATTTCAAGCATTTCATTAACTATCATAATTGTAATTAATATACTCCCTATTAATAGCATATCAATCACCCCATTTCTTTTAGTTGTCATTCCCTCTCACATCTCGCCCCCTAAAATTACAACAACAAAAAAAAATCTGTAAATTACATATCCAATAATGTACCTATGAAAAATATAATATAAATATATACATATAAAATATAGGTATATTATTTACCAAAAAAAAAAAAAACAAAGTCAGTTACTTTGTAATTGCGTATATTTTTCATAATTAAAAATAGGTACACAATAATTTATATAAAATATAGGTACATTATTTACCCACAGGTAAATTATTTTACAATATACCTGTAAATGTGTATAGGTACATTATTTGGAATAGATAATTATGTACACTTTTCATACTAGGTAAATTATGTTTTTCATAAAACAAACAAGTAATAGGTACATTATTTTTTCAACATAATTAGTATGTACAGTTTTATTCATAAACAATTATAAAGTGGATTATTAGTCATGTATAATTCATAAAAAGAAAATAACATAAACATTTTATTAAACAAACCGATTACCTAAATTTGAATTTATTGTTAAATTTTTTTAAAATGTTTCAAAATTAATTCCTACATCCATTACAACCATTTGGAGATCTTTCCAAATTCAACATCTGTCATTATATACAATCCAATTAAAAACTGTTTCCATATTGATTCCTACATTAATATACAAAATGCAATAATGGCTTAGTTGGGGGGTATTTTTGGAATTTGAAAAATACAATAAATCAGATTTTATGCTTAATTAGGTAACTTGCTGAGTTGGATCCTAGTCATGGGTTTTTACTTATACAAATTGGGTATTATTTATAGGAACAAAAAGTGAAGGGTTTTAGGTACGGCAAATTGAATTTGAAGGGTGTAAGCCAAATTTACTATTAAATTTAAATGACAAAACTAGAATCCATCCCTCGTTCCCTCCTTTAATAATGTAGATACTAAAAATAACCCTCGAACTATAGGGATATTTTGAGAGTCATATACAAACTATCAATTTTTCATGAACGGATACCCGAATTCGATCTTATAAACCCTGCATTGTTTATAAATGCCTACGTGGAAAATTATGTCTCACTTTATGCTTATGTGGCTTTTAAATTTAAATTGAATTATTAATATTTTTTTTAATAAATAAATATAACCCCAATTAGGACATGGGTGAGCATGTACCAAGGGCTAGTAAAACAAAAATTCAAATTTGCCTCCTGACTTTCATCCACAAGATAATAAACCTTAATTTGCAAAGAAACAATTAAAAATCCATCATTGATATTTCATTATTGAAGTTTTAAACTGGACGTGACAAAACAACCGCACAACGTCTAGTTACATATGGAATGTTTGAATGGCCACGATCTGTTTTGGGGTGGTGGGTTATGGTGGAAGTGGGTGATTGATTGTCGGTGGGGTTGGGTTGATTTTCCAAGGTGGTGGGATGTGGTGGGGTTAGGAAGAAGAGATGACGGTGGAGGGGTTGGGTGGGGGGGAAGTAGTTTGACCTTTTTTAATATAATATATGTTAATTTATTTTTCTCTGTATTATTATATTCCTGTTATTTGAAGATATTTTATGAATTATTTCTTTTAGTGGACGTGGAGCCTATATAAGCTTAAAAAGATTCAATATTTGCCACATAAGCATTTATCAGCAATTTGTAGGATTTATGTGAGTTTGTGTATGCAATTGTAAAAGGAAATATTTTTGCTCATCAATTTAACTCAATATGTATCATCACCATCATTTTTCTTAATACTTGACATGTGTTCATAGGTATAATCATGGTTAACTTTTTACTTTGTATATGGAACCATGATTATGCATATGAACACTTATCAAGTGTTGAGAATTGTGGTAAGGATACATCTTGAGTTAAAATAGTGAGAACAAATGCTCTCATTTGTAAAAATTCATTATTTTTTCTCTTTTTAGAGAAAAAAATGAAACCTTCTAGATATAGGTAGGTCGTTCAAAAAAAAAAAAAAAAAAAAAAAAAAGGTAGGTGGGTCGTCTCTTAATTTTTAAAATCATCCACTTTTTGTGGGTTTATATATTCTTTGCCTTATTTAAACATTTATATATATCGATTAACATGTTTTTAAACTGCAGGCATGAATCCAAAATTATTCATGAAATCACTGAAATGGTTTTACTAAAATTAAACCGTGTCTATTTGACATATGGGACGAACTATCCAGTTGAAATAGATTCTCGTCTACAAGAAATGAATGATCTTTTAGGTGATGGAGTAACTGATGTTCGCATGGTAGGGATATGGGGGATGGGAGGAATTGGTAAGACAACACTTGCTAAAGCTGTTTATAATTCAGTTGCCCATAAATTTGAAGGTTCCTGCTTTTTGGGAAATGTTAGAGAAATTTCAGAGGCACAAGGAGGCTTAGTCCGACTACAAAAGACTCTTCTTCATAACATTCTCGGGCTGAAAATATCAATCAAAGATGTTTATTCAGGAGTTAATATCATTAAGAGAAAGTTGTGCGACAAAAGGGTTCTCCTAATTATTGATGATGTGGATGACTTGAACCAGTTAAAATACTTAGCTGGAAGCTCTGGTTGGTTTGGTGTGGGCAGTAGAATTATCATAACAACAAGAAATCTACATTTTCTTCATGCTCATGGAGTTGACTTCACATACTTAGTGAGGGAGGTAGAATCTGATGAAGCTTTGGAACTCTTCAGTTCTAATGCCTTCCCAACAAGTAGACTTCCGGATGATTATCAAGTACTCGCACGTAGATTCGTAGGCTATGCTCAAGGGATTCCATTAGCCCTCACAGCTATGGGTTCACTTTTATATAAGAAAAGTATAGATGAATGGCAGTCTATATTAGAACGGTACGAAAGAGCTCCTGCCTCAAATATTCATGAAATCCTCAAAATAACTAAAAAGGCACTGGACCATCACATCAAAAGACCCGAAGAAAATGTCCTCACCAATGTTGAAGAACATGCTGGGGTACGCATAATATATATAAATATATATATTCAAATTTATATAAACGTACATTTATATATATGTATTACTCCGGTTCTCCAGAAGTAGAAAGACTTCAAGGAAAAATTTCTGAAACTTATAACGAAGTTACAGTGAGTGGAACAGACAACACACACACACATATATATAGTCTTATTCAATTTGACTGGCAAAAGCTTTTTCCTTTTCAAGTATTAGTTTGTTAATGCAATTGTTTTTTCATACAATAGGGACTAAATGAAGTTGTAAATACTGCAAAGTTGCTTGGAGTTGAGACATTCTCCCGTACTCAAGAAGAAGAAAGGATTCAAGGACATATTAATAGAACTGACGATGTCACAGTAAGTCAAATACATACTGGAATTGACAAGGAAATATATATATATATATATATATATACACACACACACACATACAGTGAGCTTTATTAAGCGATCCCACAAATAAGCAAATAAGTTTATTTGAGGGACACTCTTGTACGGCCCACTCTGCATTGTATTTCACTAATCCAAACCGTCTATTTTTTAGATAATCATTCAAAGATCATCTCTACAAAAAATTAATTGAATCCGACATCATTTGACCACTAAATTGAGTTATTGGAATTTTAATACTTTCTTAAAACACCGTGTTTATTGATTTTGTAGGACACAATTGAATGTCGAAACGGTTTCCGATTTGTCTAATTTTTTACAAGAATGATCTATGAATATAAACTTAAAAAATAGATAGTTTGGATCGTTGAAAAAAAATTCATAGGGGACCCTAAAGGGTTATTTGAGGGATGCTTCAATAGAATGGTACTGTATATATATATATATATATATATATATATATTTCCATTTGATTGATGAATTCCTTAAATAATTTTATTTGAGAGACACCTTTTAGGATGCCCTATGAATTTCTTTCAGCGATCCAAACCATCCATTTCTCAAGTCTTCGTTCATAGATAATACATGCATAAAATTTGACGAATTGAAAATCATCAAGGCATCTAATCACAAGCAACAAAATATATGAACATAGTTCTTCAAGAAAATACTAAAATAACAATCATCTAAGTGAGTGGTCAAATGGATTCATATTCAAGTGATTCTTTGCAGAGATAATCTTTGAAGGAATATCTAAAAATTAGACAGCTAAATTAAAGAAAAACAATCTATTGTGAGACCTATAAAGGTGTCCCTCAGATTATACGCTTATTATAAATTGAAGCTCTATATATAATAATTTGTTGAATCAATGGTTTTTTTCATGAATAGGAACAAAATGAAGATGAAAACAATGTAAACTTGGTTGAAGGAGATGAGACATTCTCCAGTATTCAAGAAGAAGACTTGCTAGGAAAACCTCCTGGAACTGATGATGTAAGTAGAATACATGTATATAAATATCCATATATGCACATATGTATTGTTTTACACAATTGGAATAGCAAACCTTTTTATTTTTTGTTTGTTAGTTTGTCCTTGAAGTAGAGAAACCATTTTACTTTTTTAAATATTACTTTGTTGATATAATTATTTTTTTCAAAAAATAGGCACTAAACAAAGTTGAAAACACTGAAAAGTTGGTTGAAGGAGATCAGACATTCTCCAGCACTCAAGAAGAAGATAGGCTTGAAGGAAAAATTCAAGGAACTAACTATATTACAGTGAGTAGAATACTCATGCTCTGCTACAAATTCTTTTCTTCCTTCATAGATCATCCTAGTAAAAAATCAAAAAAATTGAAAATCATTAAGGCACAGAGTTGGGAGCAATAAAATGGATAAACACAATGTTTCAAGAGAACACTATATTAACAACCATCTAATTGAGTGGTCAAATAGGTTGGGATTCAAGTGATTTTTTGTGAACATGATCCTTGAGAGAATATCTAAAAACTAGACGGTTCGAATAATTGAAATACAGTGCATTCTGAGCTCTGTGAAAGTGTATTTGAGGAATCCCTCAACTAAAGCTCATTGTATACATATATATCCATTATGCGGTCCTCTTCTATTGAATGATTCCTCAAATAATTTTATTTTTTTATTTTCCAAACCCGATCTTTCTTAGTCTTCATTCATAGATCATCTTTACAAAAAAATTAGACAAATTGGAAATCATTAAGGCATCAAATTGTGACCAACCAAATAGACGAATACGGTGCTTCAAGTAAGCACTAAAAATTGACAACTGTTAATTTGAAGTGGTCAAAATTCATTTTCGTATTCAAGTGATTTTTTTTTTGTAGAGATGATCTTTGAATCAATGTATACAAGATAGAAGGTCGGATTATTGAAATACAATGCGAGTGGGTCCTATGAGGGTGTCCCTTAAGTAAGCTTATGAGGAATCCATCAAATGGACAATCAAAACCTTCTACTTTTTTATATTATACATTTGTTAATGCGATGGTGTTTTTTCGTAAATAGGGACAAAATGAAGATGAAAACACTGAACAGTTGGTTGAAGGAGATAAGACATTCTCCAGCAGTCAAGAAGAAGACTTGTTGCTTCAAAGAAAAACTCCTGGAACGGACGATGTGAGTAGAATACATGTATATAAATATTTATATGCACATGTATTTTCTTACACAATTGGACAAGCAAGCGTTTTTATTTTTTGTTTCTTCGTTTTTTTCTTGAAGTAGCAAAACCATTTTACTTTTTTGATATAATTATTGTTTTCATAAAATAGGCACTTTACAAAGCTGAAACCACAGAAAAGTTGGTTGACGGAGATGAGACAAACTCCAGCAGTCAAGAAGAAGATAGGCTTCAAGGAAAAATTCAAGGAACAGACGATATTACAGTGAGTAGAAGAATAACTAGGCTCCCTTACAAATTTTTTTCATCATTCAAAGATCATCTTTGAAATCAATTGAAAAAATTGAAAATCAATCATTAAGGCACGGAGTTGGTAGCAACAAAATCGACGAATACGGTGCTTTAAGAAAAGACTACTTTAACAACCATATAATTTAGTGGTCAAATGGGTTGGGATTCAAGTGATTATTTGTGAAGATGATCCTTGAGAGAATATCGAAAAACTAGGCGGGTCGGATCATTGAAATACAATATGTGCTGGGCTCTATAAAGATGTCCCTCAAATAAGCTTATTTGAGCAATCTCTAAACTAAAGCAAACTTTATATATATATATATACACACACACACACACACATAGAGCTTTCGTTGAGGGATCCCTCAAATAATTGTAGTACCCACTCAGCCTTGTATTTCACTACTCCAAACCATCTATTTTGTAGATATTCATTCAAAGATCATCTTTATAAAAGATCACTTGAATCCGATCATCTCTACAACCAAAACCAAAAAAAAAAAAAAAAAAAAAACAAAAAACTCTTCTCTCCAAAACTCTCCTCCCTCAATCTTGTTTCTCATTTGCTTGAGAGAGAAAAAAAAAACTTCTTTCTCATTTAAATTTGACAGTATGAAAAACCTCAAATATGAATTCAAGTTGGACTCATGGTTTCTTCTCATTGCTTCTAGACTTGTGGACTCCAAATCTTAATGGTTCACCAAAATCCCATCACCTCACAAGATTATCTAACCAAAGATACCTACAAAATAAGAAGTAAAAATAGCCAAATAATTTATTTTTTATTTACTTTTGTAGTTTGATTGTTTTATATCTTAAAACAGGAGCCAAATGAAGCTGAAAGCACAAGTACTCAAGTAGTAGAAACAGTTGAAGCAAAAATTCTTGGAACTGAAGATGTGACAGTGAGTTGCTTACATATTAATATGAGTGCTGCTAAGTTTCTTACATATCAACTTGTGTTTGGCGGATTGGACAAATGTTTTAGTATAATATTTTGATTTTATGGATTTTTTAGTTTTTTATTCTCTGCATTGTAGCTTCTGAAAATATTATGGATAAATATTTTATGTGAGTTGAGGTTTCTTCCTTAAGTCGTTAGAAGTCATTTTACAAAGAGGTAAATTTGACTTTAAAATTTTGAAGATAAGGTGAATGGGGAAATAGGACAAGGAAGTGAAAATAGCAGCACTCATTAATATTTCCATATATATATATATATTGTCTTATTTAATATATTATTCTCCATAATATATTATTTTTTTACTGCTATTATCCTCCATAAAATAGGGAGTACTAATTGAAGCTGCCAGCACTAATTGTTTGCTCGAAGGCGATGAAACATTCTCCAGTACTCTGGAAGTAGAAACTCTTCATGCAAAAATTCCTGAAACTGAAGATGTTACCGTGAGTTAAAAAAACATATGTATATGCACATATACATTGTCTTATTCAATTTCACAAGCAAAACCTTTTTACCTTTTTATATGTTATTTTGTTAGTATAATTGATTTTTCATGCAATAGGGAATAACTGAAGCTACAAGCGTTGAAAAGTTTCTTGAAGGGGATGAGGCATTCCCCACTACTGATGCAGTAGAAAGGCTTCATGAAAAAATTCCTGGAAGTGATGGCGATATTACAGTGAGTGAAATATATTGTCTTATTCAATTTGGCAAACAAAGCCTTTTTTATTATATTAATTTCTAGCACGATTGCGTTGAAAAGTTTATTGAAGGTGATGAGATAGCCTCCGGTACTCAAGCATTACAAACACTTCAAGGAAGAAGTCCTAACACTGACACTGAGGATGTCACAGTGAGTACAATATATATACACATATGTATTATCTTATTCAATTTGTCAAGAAAACTCCTTTTATTTATTTATGTATGCATGCAATTGCTTTTTCATACTATAGGGAGTAAATGCAACTGAAGGCACTGAAGGGTTTCCTGGACGAGATGAAACCAGCTCCGCTACTGAAAAATTGGAAATGCTACGTATCCATATTGACGATGTTATAGTAAGTATTATATATAATCTGTTAATACACATATGTATTCAAATTTACAAACAAAACCTTTTTTATATATATAATTTGTTAATGCAATTGCCTTTTCATACTAGGAACCCAAACAGAAAGCAAATGAAGGCGTGGTAGAAAATACATGTTGGAGTACTACTATTAAAAGCTTCTTATTAGATGTAAAAAATCTTCCAACTGTCTTATTTTTCCTTCAGCAGAGAAGATTTTGTTGATTGTGTGGCTAATTATCTTTTTTGCAGGCCGATACGGTGGAGTGGATATTTTTAATCCTTAGCTTCTTCCTGGAGATCCTTGCAGCTATTTGTGATCAGTTTTTCTCCCCAGGAAATCCCCAGTTTGCACTCACTGGTATGTGGTTGGCTTCTGTGGCTCTATTCTTTTACATCTGCGAACTCATTCTCAAGTGTAAAAATGGAGAAAGCTCAAGCCCGCGTTTAGAAATGTTTCCTGACATTTTTGGATTAATTTGTGGAATCTCTCAGTGGCTATCCACCATAGCTCGGTTTGTGTGCATGCTTAAGGGCATGGAGAGTCCTTTCAAAGTAAACATTCTGCCCGTCATCTTTCTTGGGTGTCTGGGTGCGCGCAAACTAATTGTCAATAATAAAAGGTGCAAGACAGAAAACAGGATTGAGCTGACCTCCATAGTTCATGTCCCCAAAAACGGACCAACTCCAGACGAAGCACAAACCGAAAAAGGATCCTGATTTGGGCCTCCATGCGAAGAAAGGCCTCTTTTAACGAAAGACTCCTGACGTGGTCCAAGTTCTTCTTTCTAAATTTGACGGCCCAACATATTCTATTAATAAAAGCCTGCAACAAAAAGAAAAATAGGGCACACCACCAACCAACGCGTCACAACATTTGTGCTGCGTAACTTGTATGGGAAAATAGGCGCGAAGAGGTATTAAAACATAGGAGGTTTTGGAGGAATGACTGAGTCTTTGTTGTGTATTGATCTTTAATATACGTTCGATTCTTGGACGGGTATATTTCTAAGGACCACTTACTAGCGTTTCTATTATTTAATTTATTTATTTGTTTCCAATTTCTTTATTTTGTTAAAAAAAATTCATGCATTTTAGTACTTAACAAATTTGCTCACACATTATTACATAACAAGAAATCAAGATAAAAATTAATCAGAAGTAAAAAGAATCGAAATGGGAAGGAGAGACGAGAATATGAGATTATAAAATTGGAAAGCAGTTAGACAAGATTTCTTCGGTGTTGTTGTACCCTAGCATAGGTTTTCAATCATCTAGTCCAAGGAGAAATACTTCCATGAAATAAGGATAGTATTTTGTTATCTTTGACCAATAATGTTATGACACATGTGATAACACTTCTACTTAGCATAGCATTATTGGTCTGAGATAGGAAAACAATGCTATCCTTTTTGCAACTATGTTTTTCTCCTAGTATAGCCTACATGTCATACATGGGCATCAACACATGTACTAGCATCACAAGAAAAAAATTATATTAAATTTGGTCGCCAAATAATGGAACATTTTACATTGACGATATCATACTTATTATAAACAATGGAACTTGTAATGAGTTCATATATAAATAAACGAAATATACTGCTACATTGATCTCAAATTTGTGAACTTAGATCTGGCCTAACGAATTTGGGTCGCCTTTTTGGCCTAATCTAAAATAGCAATTCTTTCTTAGGTATTAAAACCCAAACTAAAATACTCAATGTCTCACATACTAATTAGTAAAGTTAATTATGTCTAATACCTAATTTTTCTTTTAAAAAATGAAGTCAGAAACTATAAAGCAACTTGAATGAAACCAAACATAATGGAGGTTGAAAAATGAACAAAACATAAACTACAATGAAAACCAAAATCAAAACCCAAAACATAAACTACAATGCATGAAATGCCCAACCAAAATTAGTGTTCCTTCTATGTGTTTGTTGAAATGTCCAACTAAAATTAGTTCTTAACCCAAAAAACTGAAGCATGCAAGCATAAACCCATTCAGATCTAAGAAGGTAAAATACCTAAAACTTTATGTAGGGTGTAGAATATGCAATGTAGTTTCTGAAATAGACGAAGAAAAAGAGAGTTTCTTATATTTTCGTCAATATTGGTGGTCTATTTGAGAGTTGAATGAATGAACAGTAGGTACCGTATTAGAGCGTTGATTTCCTTACCTTTTTTGTTGAAAGAGAGAATGAAGAATCGACTTCATTGGTGGTCGTCGCCATTGGTGGTAGCGATCGCCTGAGATTTTTGGGTAAGTCTGAACTGTTGAAACAGTTTGTGAATGTCAAGATGAAAGGTCACACGAAGAGGTTTAGGATTCAATTTGAGTATGTCGTTTTTGGGTCTTTTGATATTGTTTTGACAGCTGTTGGTTTTGGTTTAAAACTAAATACTGAAATTTGATAACAATGATAAATGACATATGTTGTAATTTTAATGTTCTTTGATATGATTTTGGTAAAAGTAGGTATTAGTTTTTTGTCTTTGGCCTTATGTTAATTAGGTAAATTGTATCCCTATCTTCCAAATTAGTAACTATATAGTGTCTTAAAATGAAAGCTCCCTACAAAAAATAGGTAGAGAAATATTTCCCAGCCAAGATTCTTTAACTGAGTTCAGAAGTCGGCGTAGCAAATCGTGGTTTTACAAGAATGTTAACCATGTTCTATCAGAAAATACAGTAAGTAAATATATGTATACCATATGCAAAATAAATTTTCTTATTGAAATTTTAACGGAAAATAGTTCTAGAATTATTTGAAACACTTTCACTATTATTTGACAAATAACTTGCTGCTGTTTTTTTTTTTTTTTTTTTTTTTTTTTTTTTTTTTTTAGGGAATAAATAGAACTGAAGACATTATGGTAAATTTGCGTGTACCGGATGAGACATTGAGCGCTAAGGTAAAATGTCTTCAACTTACTATACAACACATTTTTATTCTTTTATTTTTATTTTTGAGACCGCCTCCCTTCCTTTTTTTTTTTTTTTTTTTTTTTATTGGCCGCAACCGCATCGAGTTTCAAAGTATTTGAAAGTACATTCACTCGTGGTTATTTTTCAAGTGTGTATATTTTTGGAATTATGTTGTAAATTTTTTTAAATCTTATCATTTGGTCATTCCTTAGCTTTCTAGTTCGAAGGGTCTAACCGTGTAGGATTGGGGCTGCACGTGAGGGAGGTGTCAGCTTGATATACATTGTTGACTTATTTTATGACAGTTTAAGTTTTTTGACGTAGCGTGACGAGGACAATAGATTGACTAAAACTTTAGCCTAGAACATGTAACTCTGGAATTCACCAAGAAGATATGAGGAAACCTCAAGGTTTATTTGATTAATTGGAATATAAAAAACATGACCCTAGTCACAGATAAAATCTACTTAAATATTCCTAGAAATTCTAGGAATAAACAATGAATTAAAATAGAAAAATAACAAAGTTTCCAAAAAATGTAAAAAGTTTAACACTAGAGTTCGGGCTGCTAAACGATCTCAAATGCCCGAAAAAGCCGATACATCATAGCAAAGTGATGTGTTTTGCCCAATTTATCCTTACGCACGCGTCTCTCCAGCTCCTCTTCAATTGCTTTCCCCATCTGTTCTACATCATTTTTCGAGCCTAATGGTTTTTGAATAGTCATAACTCATGATCATAGTTAACCTACATTTTCTTTTGCATTGTTCTTGCTTGTTAAGTTTTAGTTCATTGTATTACTGATTTATTTGTAGGCTACTTCAGCAAAGTGGATCTTTTTACTCATTGCCATGTGCCTAGAGATTTTGTCACTTGCTTTCGATCAGGTTTCCTCCCCAAGGAATCCCCAGTATGCTGTATTTGGTGTGATGTTGGCTATTGCTGCTGTACTGACTTGCATCTGGGAGCTCATTTACAAGGGTAGAAAGGAAAGAGTTGAATTGAGGAGGTGGAGAACGTTGTGGTGGTTTTATTATCCAAGACCCCAGCGAAGCCTATTTGGTGATGTTCTTGATATTTTTGGATTACTTGGTGCCATCTCTCAGTGTGTTTGCTCGACAGTTCAGTACGTTTACTTCATTCGGCATCATCAAAATCCTCTCAAAGCCTCCCTTTTGCCTGCCACATTCCTTATATGTTTGGGTGCTTAAAGATTGAGTTGTATTCAAACGGACAAGACCGATGAACAAAATGCATGACCATGGGGATTTAGCTAGGTTATGTCTCAACTTCTTGTCGTAGTTTCATTGGTTAGGTTTTAGTAATTGTAATTATTTGAGCATAATCTGAATCTTTTATTGGATGAGAGAGCTATTTCCCCACGCAACTCATGCTGAGTTTGCTGAGAAAATTCTAAAATGTGCCTCTTATTAATATCAGTGTTTTGAAAGGAATTGCAATAACATTTGCTTTGAGAACTACAGATGATAATATGCACAAGCGGCTCCACCATGATAATTAATGGACTTTTTGATCTGGGCCATTTACTTTGAGAATTAAAATACGAGCCATTACGATACCATCTTTGAATGGAGACTTTGAAGAGGTGGAAAATCATAGTTAACTTTATGGCATGTTTAGTAATCCGTAATTGGATTATGAGGAATTGAATTGAGGATGAATTGAATTGAGGAGGAGTTGGATTGAGGAGAATTAGATTCCGAATTCCTAATGAAGTTGTTTACTAAACCATATGAATTGGGGATAGTTAGATTCTGGATTTGTATTGAAGTTGTTTACTAAACCATATGGAATTGAAGTAGAAGTGGTGCTAATTACTAAAATGTCATCGTTGTTTGGTTAAAGTATATGACATATTTGGAATTTTGAAAATTGTGTGAGGATATAATGAGAAAAAAAGATGAATTCCTAATGGGTTACTTTTCCATGAATTAGAATACCATCTCCCACCCAAGAATTAAATTCCTCCAAAATCAGGAATTCAATTCCTAATTTTGTGTGGACCCCTCCTTAATGTGAAGTAAACGCAGAAATCCTACATAAGTGGAATTCAATTCATGATGAGAATTACAATTTCTGATTAGTAAATACACCATTATTGTTGTTTGAATAGAAAAATAGAAACACAAAAATGAAGAAAAAAAACTATAAAATGTCAAAAACTAATTCAAAATATTGAGTGAATGACATAATAAATCATGTATAAAAATGAACCCAACACCTGCATGTAGAAGATGTGGTTTTGAGGAGGATTTGGATTCCATATCTTCTTCTGGCTCATATTTTAATAGCCAAATAATTATTTTTAAACAGTTTTAGAAAATTTATCTGAAACTAGAATGGCGACTAACCAAAAGTCTTTTAGAATCGTAATATTTATATACATTATTAATTCATTTTCTAATAATTAATTTTGTGAAATTTAATATTACATTGTTGGTCGGTTTTTTTATTATTATTAAAAGCTTAAACTTCTAGAAAATTTGGTTGTTTTATCAACACATCGTTTTATAAACCACACAGCTCCACACGCACAGTACACGGACAAACTACAGACAGAGTATAACTAAGAGTCAACTAAGAATAGGAGAGACCTTTTTCCATTTCAATTTTAAAACACATCTTGACAAAGTCTCATATGTCTCAAAACCCTAACCTGCAGTTTCTTGTTATTTTCTATTTTATATATTTTTTACTATAAGAAGCTTCAAATATTCGATTGAGTCAGTCGGGACCCAACCCACACACCATTTGGTTACCCAAGTCGTGTGGCAGTTTTCCCATTTGTTCAAATACACACCATGTTTCTGAGGAGTTAAAAGGTGAACGGTGTTGCATGAGAGAATTGAGTTGGAAGATTATGTGGAGAAGTTTTAATTTGTGTGTGAGGTGTCTTTGTTTTTGTTTTTTAGGTTTTATTAATATATTTTGGGATTTTTGTAATAAAATAACCTTTGTTTATTTTTTTGCATAACTGATACATCACGTGTGCATGTTAACGAGGTATTACAAGGTTTTTAATAAGAGCTGGAGCGCTAACTGGTTGGTAAGTTAATGGGACACTAACCGTTCAAATGATGAAATACATTGAGGAGTTTGTCCAAATAAGTTGTTCACGTGATATTAACCTAGTAACTAGTTAGTATATGATAGTGACAACTACTACATTAAAATTATTTAGCATTAAGGGAAACTTAATAGTTCCAATTTTATCGGAAGAACGGAAGTTCAAAAGAAACACTACTACAAAACAACCCTTGCGCGACCAAATTTTGCGCGACGAAACTCAATACTTCGTCGCTAAAAACCTTGCGCGACCAACTTTTGGGCGACGAATTTTTTTTTCGTCGCTCAAAGTCTTGTGCGACCAAATTTTGCGCGACGAAAAAAAATTCGTCGCTCAAAGTAACTTTGCGCGACGGAAAAAAAATCGTCACTCTAAGTAACTTTGCGCGACGAAAAACAGTTCGTCGCGCAAAGCGACTTTGCGCGACGAAAAACAATTCGTCACGCAAAGCTACTTTGCGCGACGAAACAATTAACTTCGTCTCGCAAAGTCCTTATAAAAATAAATAAAATATTTTTTAAAATATTTGTTAGAAAAATATATTATTGTTTTTTGGATTGGGTTTTTATTAGAAAATATATTTTTTAAATTGACGATCGAATTAGTTCATTGTATTCATATAGGGTCAAAGAGTGTAGCTATAAAAAACATCATCAAAATCGGAGTTAAAATAACCGTTAAATCGTGATTTTTCATTTATAACCGTCGAAAAGTTTTGTCACATTACTTGATCTCTGGATGTTTATTTCTTCCGATTTTTAGCGTATATGATCTCGAAGTATAAACAAACAAGTTTGACGGTTGGATCGTTCAAACTAGTTTCATAGAATGTGTATGCCATCAAAACAATATATTCACTAACAATTAAGAGTTTATTTATACTTTTGTTAAATATAACATAAGATTTTGTGGTATCCACTAGTGTAAATATTTTAAATTGAAGATCAAATTCAGTCATTGTATTCATATAGGGTAAAGGAGTGTAGCGGTAAAAAATCATCAAAATCGGAGTTAAAATAACCGTTGAATCATGATTTTTCATTTATAACCGTCGAAAAGTTTTGTCCCGTTACTTGATCTCTGAATGTTTATTTTTTGCGATTTTTGGTGTATATGATCTCGAAGTATAAACAAACAAGTTTGACGGTTGGATCGTTCAAACTAGTTTCATAGAATGTGTATGCCATCAAAACAATATATTCACTAACAATTAAGAGTTTATTTATACTTTTGTTAAATATAACATAAGATTTTGTGGTATCCACTAGTGTAAATATTTTAAATTGAAGATCAAATTCAGTCATTGTATTCATATAGGGTAAAGGAGTGTAGCGGTAAAAAATCATCAAAATTGGAGTTAAAATAACCGTTGAATCAAGATTTTTCATTTATAACCGTCGAAAAGTTTTGTCCCGTTACTTGATCTCTGAATGTTTATTTTTTGCGATTTTTGGCGTATATGATCTCGAAGTATAAACAAATAAGTTTGACGGTTGGATCGTTGAAACTTGTTTTTTGAATGCGTATGCCATCAAAACAATATATTCACTAACAATTAAGAGTTTATTTATACTTTTGTTAAATATAACATAAGATTTTGTGGTACCCACTAGTGTAAATATTTTAAATTGAAGATCAAATTAGTTCATTGTATTCATATAGGGTCAAGGAGTGTAGCTGTAAAAAATCATCAAAATCGGAGTTAAAATAACCGTTAAATTGTAATTTTTCATTAAGAACCGTTGAAATTTTTTGTCCCGTTACTAGGTCTCCGAATGTTTGTTTTTTACAATTTTTGGGGTATACGATCTTGAAGTATATACAAACAAGTCTGACGGTTGGATCGTTGAATGGTGTGTGTATATATATATATATTTACTTATTAAGTAGCTTTAAATTTATTTATTTTGTACGTATAACACTTAAGAAATTGGTATATACATTTATTAAGTAGCTTTAACCTTATTTATATTTTAAATCGTAAAAAAAATAATTTTATTATTCATAACAATTATTTTTATAAATATCGTGCTATGAACCAATTTTTCGTCTCTCAAAAGTTTGCGCGACCAACAATTCGTCGCACAAAACTTTAAAAATTTGGGAGGGTACCAAAAATGGGACGCGGGATGAAAAAAAAATTTTTTTTTAGACTTTGCGCTACCAATATATATTTTCGTCGCGCAAAAATTTGGCGGGTACCAAAAATGGGACGCGGGAATTTTTTTATTTAATTTTTTTAGACTTTGCGCGACCAATATGTATTTTTCGTCGCGCAAAAATTTCAAAATTTGGGCGGGTACAAAAATGGGACGCGGGATTTTTTTTTTTGACTTTGCGAGACCAATATACTAATATTCGTCGCGCAAAACTTTGCGCGACCAATACTCCAATATTTTTCGTCGCGCAAAGCTTTGCGCGACCAACAATGTCGTTCGTCGCGCAAAGTGATACGGTTTTTAAAATAAAAATAACTCCTCCACCATTTTCTCAATGTCTTTCTCTACTCTTTCCTCTCCTCTCTCTTTCCCTCTCCCCAAATCCCACCATTTCTCTCACCCTCACTCCTCTCACTTAATCTCTCATCATCTCTCTCTTCACTATCTCTTACTCTCACTCACTCTCTCATCTCTCTTTTCACTATCTCTCACTCTCACTCACTCTCTCATCTCTCTATCACTATCTTCTCTAATTCTCTCACACTCATTTCTCTCTCTCATTCTCACTCACTCTCAATCTTGCCAAAAGGTAGATTCTCTCTATTTATTTATTTTTTTTTTTTTTTTTTTTTTTTTTTTTCATTAATATGTGTGTTATGTGTTTTTGGAGAGTTTGTTTGTTGGGGTTTGGGGTTTGGGTTAGTAAGGGGAGGGATTGGAGTTTGGGTTGGATTTGTGGTATAACAATTTTAGGGGAGATTATCCCTTTTATTTATTTATTGTACTTTGTTAATTTATGTGTACATTTTGAATATTATATATATATTTATTGGATAATTTGATCACTATTTTTCATATGTAATTTTATTTTGAATATGTCAATTTAAATTAAAATAATTAAATTAAATTTAAAAAGTAAACATTTGAATAAATTAATATAATTAAATTAATATCAATTTAAATTAAAGTAACGAAAAAAATCATACAATTAAATTTAATTTAAAAATTAAAAATTCGAAATAATTAATATAATTAAATTAATATTAAAGAAATAATAAAACAAAAAGTCAAAAACCAAAATATTTCGTCGCGCAAATATTTGCGCGACATTAATATTCGTCGCGCAAAACTCTAAAAATTTGGGTGGGTACCAAAAATGGGACAAGGGAATTTTTTTTAAAAAAAATTTTAAAATTTTTTCGTCGCGCAAAGTTTTGCGCGACCAATATTTTTCGTCGCGCAAAGTCGCTTTGCGGGACAAATATTTTTTCGTCGCGCAAAGTCGCTTTGCGCGACCAATATTTTCGTCGCGCAAAGTTACTTTGCGTGACCAATATGTTTCGTCGCGCAAAGTCACTTTGAGCGACCAATATTTTTTCGTCGCGCAAAGTCTCTTTGCGCGACGAATGAAAAAATTTCGTCGCGCAAAGTCTTTCTCCACGATCTTTGCGCGACGGAATCTGCGCGACGAAGTTTCTGTCGCGCTAAAATTTGTGCGACTATAATGTATTTTGAGCGACGAAATTTTCTTCGTCGCGCAAAGTGAAAAATGTAGTAGTGAAACTGCAGTGAAGTTGCCGACCGCATGCACATCAACTGGTCGGACGCGTCCATCAAATTTTTTTTTCCCATTATGAAAAGAATAATATCCGGGAAGTAAGGACGCGTCCTCTCTCTCTATATAAAGATTTATTAAAAAGGTATAATCACCACAATCAGAATTTTGGTTCTGCATTTCTGGATCTCTCTGTAAGCTCATCTACTTCTCCCTTCTTCAGTATCCCAAATCTTCTTTCCTAGCCTTTTCTTTTTGTGTTTGATTTGTATCTATCTATTTGTAAAAGAGAATTTCACAAACAATGGAGCTTGAGCTTCAAGGTCAACCCGGTTCCAGTGGATCGGGCTCCAGCGGATCGCATGTGGTTAGCATCCATGATGATGAGCTGCCCAGGCACACCCGATTTCTTAGCCCATCTACTGTGGACTACAATGCCTACCACAGGCTAAGGCCACCAGAGGTATACCTAGTACTGGTCAAAACTATTCAAAGTCAGCCATGCATATTTGTCACCAGCTTTTTGTTTTGCATTTCTTAATTTATGGTTTCTTTCGCACTCTAACGTTTGAATTATAAGGATTAAACTAAACTATTGTGTTTTAATGTTTCGACGGTTTGAACGGTCTTGGTTTGCCTTTAATGAATTCTTAACGGTCATGATTAGAGTCTATATACGAGAGTGTAGCATGATTCTAATGGATTATTTGTTAGTTTAGGATTTACGATTGGGAGTTTATAATTTTTCTATTTAAAGTCTTTCTTATTGTGACTTTCAATAAATTTAGGGTCCGTTCGATAATTATTTTTATTTTAGTTTTTTTTTTATTATTTTTTTTTTTTTGTGCTAGAATATAGAGGAAAAAAATAGAGAATGGAAGTGAGAATGAGAGTGGAAATGAGATTGAGAGGGAAAATGAGAGGGGAAGATAGGAGGGAGGAGTAACAAAAGTGAAAACAAAATTTAAAAACTGAAATCTATTTGAAGTTTGTTTTCACTTTCAAGTTGTTGTTTTCACTTTTGTTACTCCTCACTCTCATCCTCTCTCTCAATCTAATCCTCACTTCCATTCTCCCTCTCATTTTCCTCTATATTTTAGCACCCAAAAAAAAACTAAAATTAAAATGGTTATCAAACGGACCCTTAGGTTATGCGATTGAACTTTAATTTTTCAATCATTTTCTTTTTGAAATTGCACCCATGATCTTTTTTTATTCTTGCTTCTCAAAGAAATTGCGCATTCCTTAACAAAGGTTTTGAGCTATTGGCAAAATAAAAAACAAAAAGCAGAGGTTTTGAGCTGACACCTACTTATTTGGGTGCATGCATGTGAGAATTACATGACCCAATAGCTGAACAATTAATATTTTCTCTCCCCATTTTCACATATTGTAGCAGCCAAGGGATGTGAACAAGGACATCATGTCTAGCTTACAAAAACAAGTAGACGACCATAACAAGCCAAAGCACAGGACAAAGGTAGTGATATCAAAACTCAAAGAAAAACTTCACCTACATCGGTTGCATATCCCCCTCTCTCTAACTCTCCTCACGCCACCTCCTCCCGTTATCGGTCGCACGAGGAGAATTTTTGCTCTAAAACTCATTCTTATTGTTTTGATTTGCTATATTTCTTGCTAGATAAGATATCTTTGAATAATAAATGGCCGCTTCATTTCTTTTGCAGTTTACTTATTCAGAGAAGTGGATCTTTTTCCTCATTAGCCTGGGGCTAGAGACTATTTCAGCTTCTTTTGATCAGCTTTCGTCCCCGAGTAAGCCCCACTATGCACTATATGGTATGTTGTTGGCTATTGCGGCCGTACTCATCTGCATCTGTGAGCTCATTCACAAGGGTTACAGAGAAAGAGTTGAATTCAAGAAGTGGGGAAGGATATGGTGGTATTATCATCCATATCCACCAAACAGGCTTTTTGGTAATTTTCCTGACATTTGTGGGCTAGTTCTTGCCATCGCTCAATGCATTTGCTCTGGGGTTCAGTATGATTACCTCCATCGACATGCTAATAATCCTATCAAACTATCCATTTTGCCTTTCATGTTTCTTTTATCTTTGGGTCTTTCAAGATGTTGTAAAGATTAGCAAAGTAAGGTTAAAGATCATTGTATTGAGGTACTTATTATTAATGTATGTATTTGGTGTGATGTTGGCTATTGCTGCTGTACTGACTTGCATCTGGGAGATCATTTGCAAGACCAAGACCGCAGCGAAGGCCATTTGGTGATGTTCTTGACATTTTTGGATTACTTGGTGCCATCTCCCAGTGTCTTTGCTCGACAGTTCAGTATGTTTACTTCGTTCGGCATCATCAAAATCCTCTCAAAGCCTCCCTTTTGCCTGCCGTCTTCCTTGTATGTTCGGGTGTGCTTCAAGATTGAGTTGTATTCATTTCGAACGCACGAGACCGCTGAACAAAATGACTGAACATGGGCATTTTAGCTAGGGTTATGCCTCAACTTCTTGTTGTAGTTTCATTGGTTAGGTATAAGAGTCGAGAGAAAATGCTAAAATGTGCCTCTTCTTAATTAATATCAGTGTTTTCAAAGAAACTGCAATAACATTTGCTTTGACAACTACAGATGATAGTATATGCACAAGCCTTCACCATGATAATTAATATGGACCAGGAATGAAACATTTTACAATACCATCTTTGGACTTTGAAGAGGTGTTACGAGTATTATGAGCTTTGTTGCAGCCAAAACTCATTTCTTCATGAACATCTTGTTGTGGGTCTGAACTGCAAACTGGTAGCTGGAGTAATTTCTGAGACCGTAGGCTTGAATCTGAGATTGAGAGTCTAAATACGAGTTCAGAGAAGCTTGACTGGCGCTTATGTTCTAAGAGGTGGCTAAACCCCCTTGGTGATGAGAAACCTAAATAACAGCTCCTTGGTTATTTTTTGGTATAACTCAATTTTTTAACTTCAGAACCAGAAATGCGTCAAAGCTACACTGAAGAAACAATTTGTGTTTGGTACACCGTATAACAAAAACACGGTAAACGATTTCGTGAAAACGAAAACAAAGTCTCTCTTTAAAGTTGGAAAGGAAAACATGAGGAACAGTGTACACCCGTCTTTCTGCAATTATCACTCTCTCTAGCAACCACAACTCCCCCTTTCTGAATTACTGGATCTAAGTTCTGAAGAAGCTCTATCTTCCATTCCTCTTGGTTGATTATTGCTCAAACAAAGGTTCATTTCCCTTGTATTTCCTTTCTTCTTCATTTTGGGTTGAATCTTTGGGTGTGTACTGAAATCTGAGTTTGTTTACGATTTTAAAGTGTCAATTGTGTACAGATTCTATTATCGGTCGCCGAAGAGAGAGAGAGAGATACTGTTTCGTGCTCAAATGGAATTGACCAGGTTCTTAGATCCTGTTTTTCACATTTATGTAGACAAAATTAATCACACCCAGAAATTATTTTGAAGTCTGAAGAAAATAACACAACTATATAGTCCATTATTTGAGGCAGAGCTTTACTTTGATAAATAGCTTGTTGAAAAACAAGTTTCAATAAAATTTTAAAAAAGAAAAAGAGAAACCAAGTTTTCAAATATTACTCACACATTGTTTTCAAGATATCAATTCAATCCGGTAACAAAATTCGGCACATTACAGATTCAGCTAAATAACCAGCTAAATCAATCCTACTTAAATTAAAGGCACTGAAAACTATATCTAAAAAGCCACTCTTGTAAGTTCAGTTTACATGCTGTTGGCAACTCCGATAGCCGTTAAGAAGCCCCATGAACTGCGGCTGCAGCATGCATGCTCAGGTCCTGACTCTGTGGCGCAGCATGTCCGTAACCACCATAACCCTGTCCTCCATAATGTGCCCCATTCCACTGGTTACTTGAATCGGATCTCCACTGCAAAATCACATGAAATTAACTATGAGAAAAACCCAACTGAGGGACAGACAGAGAGGGTTTGGGGCAGGACGAGCAAGGTCCAGGGATTCTACATGCTCAAGTGGCAGATAATTTACCCTAGGGACAATTCATTCAACTCTACGTGAGGTTGGCAGTGGGGCCAAGCAAGGTACAGGGATTCTACGTGCTAAAATAGCGGATAATTTCACAAAGGGACATATCATTCAACTCCAACATTGTTCAGAAAACTAACTGTTAACATTGAACTGCAAGAAGAAAAGGGGGAAGGGGTATATTTGTGGCACTTTAATGTGGTACAGCATTAAAGAAATCAAACCAAACAAATGACAAGAAAAATACAGGTATAATTCAGGGATAGATATCTAAATGTTGCAACACCCGCATACAATTAACATGACACAGTTGACAAAGTATTACCTGCTTGTTCCCCTGACTGCGGCCCCAAGAAAGACGAACTGTTTGCTTTCCAATAACAGTTCCATTCAGCATCTGCATTGCATTCTCAGCATCCTTCCTACAAACCGAAACAATGTGAAGGAGTCCATTACGTGGCACCGCAGAATAAGATTATAGTGGTACTATCTACCTCCTTCGGTCTTCAACAATTTTTCATTATACTTCTTATATACAGTTTAATATCTAACGAATGATTTTAACATTGATACTGAGAGTACCATTACTCCTAAGCTGTAATGACAGGAACATTCCTGATTGCAGCTTTATTTCTACATGACAGGACAGGACCCATATATGTTAAACGACAAGAAATACCTATTAGCAAACTGAACAAAACCGCATGCTTTTCCGACTGGTATTTTCACCGAGACAACCTCACCAAATTGAGAAAAAGGCTGCCTGAGGTCTTCATCATTGACATCCGAATCAAGCCCTCCAACAAATATCTGCAATAAGTCACAGATTAAAGAGCTATCTAGGGTTAAAGATACTGGAAACAGGAAAAAGAAAAACGGGTTGAACTTACAGTTGTGTTATTGGTCTCACTATCAAACTGGGAACCTTGAGCAACAGCGCCATTTGATGCATGTCCACCACCAGCTAATACCAATGCTAATTAAAGGGAATAAAGTAATACATTTACTAAAAAAATCACTTTCAAAATTATGAAGATGTCAAAATAGACAACTGCATTTTCAACAGTAATGTTGGTAGTTAGTTATTATGATAGGTTTTAGGAGCAGATTTTTCCTTTTCCTTTCAGATAGGGATAAATTTAACAGTGTATTTGTTTGGCTAAAAGAGTCCTATAGCAGTAAAGATTTTAGAAATTTATGTCTCTGTTTCTTAATTTAAATCTTATTCTAGCTCCTGATTTCTCAACATGTTTCTCTCACTTAGTAATATGCTTACTACATGAAAGCCACCTGCATGGCCAAATGTGTCTGAGAACCGAAATCCATTCCATGATCATCAATTACAACTGAAGTTAGAATCCAAATGACAACTTGAGTCAAAATTCAACTAGCTAGGTGAAGACCTACTCTTTCGAACAAAAGGAAAAACTAACTCACGTGAGATGGCATTAGCTTTACTTCTCACTTTGAATCGAACCACTCAATTTTATACATTGACAACTAATTTTAAATTTTAAAATTTTAGAAATTTCTATACCACAACTTAGTGAAGAGAATTTCCCAATATTTGAAAAACTACCAAATATATAAAACCAACACTAAAAACTTTTCAAGATCGCAATGGGGAAGTTGCTCCATTCTAAATATACACATTACTGGCTCAGCAATTGCATAATTTATTGCTTTCACCAAAGCAGTTAAGAGCGATGTTGAAGAGGGATAAATATTAATGGACGAACATAATCTGATGAGATTCCTGTGCTGTTTGAAAATGAAGGTTTCCAGGGGAAAAATAATAGAAAACAACATAAAAACCCACCTAATACTCACACCTTACATCGCAAGACAAGAAGCAAGCATTACTAACTAGCCTAAATTTTTCTTGATGTAAAATAAAAGTACAATGTAAGAAAAGGAAAACATGTAATTGGAGGAGGTAGATATATAACTAAATGAATTATAGAGAAAAATACAAACTGAAAAAAAAATTAATAATTAAAGGAAATGAGGAGCAGGCACAGTAGTCGAAGATACAATTGAGTTGACCAAAAAGTAAGACTTGGTTTGTTGTACGCTCATCTTTTTAGGAAGGGAACAGAGAAATCACAAATGTGTAAATGACAAGTACATAACATAAGAAAAGAACCTTTAATTATCAAATGTGCATAGGCAATTTTGCTTGTTGAACAAAAATGAGTGGACTTATGATGGACGTGAGTAATCATACAAAAAACCAGGAATATGATATCATACCTTGTGAAGAATACTGTTGCTGATAAGCAGGTGATTTTTTGGGTGTTGCAACACCTATGCGCATGGGCCTGCTCGAACAATATGCACCATTCATTTCAGTGATGGCCCTTGACCTCTCATTTTCATCACCAAACCTAACAAAACCATAACCTTTTGAACGACCAGTATTTGCATCTAGAACAACTTTCGCTCCCTTGACAGATGAATATCTACTACCAAAGGTCTCCTGCAACATAGTATCAGTCACATCTGTAGCCAAATCTCCTACAAAGATAGATAGATCAGAACTAGTGTCTGCTCGTCTATCCCCAGCACTGAAGGTTGCCCAGTTCAAACGAAAAGGCTGCTCTGTATTCGGCATTGCAGCACCATTATAGCTCTGCAGAACTTCTTCTGCTGCTTCTCGTGAAAAGAACTCGACAAATCCATATCCCTCAGACTGAGCAGTTTGCTTATTGCGTATAACCTTTACTGTGGAAACCTGCAATGTTTGTGACACCAAAAGCACATAGTTAGGCGCAATTTAAGGTTTATATCCAATAAAATACATACAAGAGACAAATTTTTTTTAATAAGATTGGGGGTCTTCTAAAATTGTGCTTGATGTACATTGTTGAGTCCATCACATTGGCAAAATAAATATGGTAACATGTTTATGTTGACTGTGAACCCAGTTCAAGTTGTGGTATCGCCTTTTTTGTTCTACACATGTATGGCCCAGTTTGGTTGAGATGTGTGGGCATGCACATAAGGGGTACATTGGTGTCCAGTGTTAAGTCGCACTTTATAACTTTTGTTGACCCTCCTCATAGTTGCTAAAAGCAAATACGGAAGAACAGACCCATGCAAATAGTTCCTCAACTACTGCCTTTCTAAATCACTATTGATGGCTCTTGTTATTTTTAAGACATGGAAATCATTAGGCTCCATATCATCCAAAAAGAAGTAACCTAACTAGAAAAATAAAAGTGAGGACAATATATTGCAACAGCAATTCATCACATATTGGCAACACTAAACAAGAGGATCTGCAAATTAAACAAGAGATAACTACTTTTAACTACACAACTTGGTAACATACTAGTGCCAAATATTCAGTATCGTTTACTTGATGCACTTTAGCAGGAAAGGACAACAGGCTGGCAAAAGACAATTCACTCTTCTGTAAATCAATTACAACTACCAGAAAATTGTATGTCCAAAATAGTTATCAACAAAAGGATTAGGCCATGCAATAATTGACCTCACCTATAAACCATCTAAAGTAAAGACAAATTTTCAAAACATGGAAGAGGATTTTAACATCACGTGAATGGTTTGCATTGAATGGCCATTGCGATGACACTACTACAGATTGGGAAGTTGATCAACTGCTATTACTCTCTATCAGAAAAACACAGTAATAACTCAAACCCTCAACAAGATGGTGGCCATCCACAAGAGGATGCATTTAATTTTCTCAGTTAAAGGTCATCATATGCAGAAAGAAACTTGCTGAAAATCACAAATTGTCAACGCTATGCATAGAAGACACGCTGCTGTAGGGAAAAAATGAGTTACTATCTAGAGGTTGGAAACCAGACGCCAATCTACAATCAACAGAGTTGACCCAACTTAGCCACTAAAGAGGCAAATTTGTTCACTGAACAAGTTCAATCAACTAACCAAAACCTGAATCATTTTCCCTTATCCAGGTAAGGCATCTTGATATACCAAGAACAATTTTAGAAGTAGGTAGTTGGCATTTACCTTACTCTTTCAATCAGTACTTTACTCCTGAATAAAGGAAAAAACTGCCAAGGTAAGCTAGAATGCTTATGACATCACCCAACATACAACTATAGAGTAAATCCCATACTGTTAACCTTAAATCAATCATAGAGCTGTTATTATGTCAAATAAAACTAAAACCCACAATATCAACTAACATTTTAAATCCATATTCATAAAAACTTCAAGCTCTAAACAAACTGAAACCGAAACGGGTTCAAATACAAGTCCATTTTCATTAAAGAGCTTACCTGCCCAGTGTGAGCAAAGCATCCATGAAGGTAAGTCTCGTCCATCCAGTGGTGAAGGTCGCCCACCCAGATGGTCCTGATCTCATCGGTGGGCCCTTGTTTCTGAGAGGGGGACTGCTGCAGCTGCTTCGGCGGCTGCTGCTGCTGCTGCTGATAAGGCACGGCCTGAGGCTGCTGCTGGTAGGGATTGTGATGAGGATGATGCGGATGGGCAGCTGCAGCAGCGTAAGGCATGTAATGCTGCGGGTACACCATCATCTGCTGCTGCATCATCGCCATCGCCGCTGCTGGGTACTGCATGGCCATCCATTGCTGCTGATGCTGATGCTGATGCATCCACTGCTGCTGTTGCTGCTGTTGTTGTTGTTGCTGCTGCTGCTGTTGCTGAGTGCCCAGATCGCCGCCGTTGGATTGCTGGGCCATATTGGACTTGTGGTGGGGTCTGAGCTTTTTACTCTCTTCTTCTCTCTGCACCTCTCTCTACTTCGTCTTCTTTGTACTTCTCCTCTGGGATTTCAAGAGAGAGAGAGCAGAGAGAGTGGTCTGAAGCTTAGAGAGAGCAACGGGGGCTGCGCAGAGCAAAGAGGGAGGGTTTGAAGTGACGAAATGGGGTTTTAAAGGAGGCGATGTTGCGATAGATTTTTCTTTTTTTTTCTTTTTAATTTTTAATTTTTTTTATAAATGAGATGAGATGAGACCTCGTTTGCTACGTCCGTTAAGTCACGTTTGCCGTCCGTGACGTGTAGGACCCATAGCAGTGTTTTGGTCTAAGCCTCGTCCAATGTACATGGACTGGATGCAGACTGACTGGTGCTTCCGTGAGCTGGATTGCATGTTAACAAATGTTTTTTCTAAATTATTGTATTGCTGCTTTCTTTTCTTTTCTTTTTTTCTTTTTTTCTTGGTTGCAATTATTGTCTTCTTCTTTTTTTAATTAACCAAAGCTAATTAAGGTAACTCTAGTAAGTCAATGGGTTGGCATGATGCTAATTAATTGACCTGGACTTGTCATTTTGTTTTTAATATTCAATGTTTTTACAGAATTTAATTAATTTTAGGTTATTTATGATAATCCAAATGCTATTTTTGGCAACCGAAATGAATTCTCTTCTTTTTTTTTCTTTTTTGGTTAAATAAATACATAAAAACAAATATCTGCCCATAATAATTATAAAAATTCATTGTCATCACTTAAAAGGAAGGTTGGATCTTGTACCCCAAAAACAAAAATGGGGTGGACCATTTTCCTTATATAACATGAGACGTAGAGATTCAAGTTTTTTAGAGTTAAAAAGTGAGATTTTGGAGAATGGAGAGGGATTATGAACTTTATCCCTATTTTAGGAAACTCTCATTCACCAGATCCCATGTATCGTTGTGTTATTGATCGGGATAGCAATTACAAGAGAGTTTTTTTTCTTATTTTAGCCAAAGTGGTAAAATACCCATCGTGGGTCCCATAAAATACGTGAGTTATATCCAACGGTCCTTAATAGCGCAGCCGATGTAGATTGATGGAAGCACGCCGTACGCGTTCCGCTGTGGATTGTAAATCTTTGACCAGCCTGTACAAGCGGGTCAAAGATCCCGTATGTTCTAGACTAGAGAGCTCACCAGACAAAACAAGTAAACCGCAATTTCCTCTCTTTAAATGTTCACACTCAAATCAAAGAAAAAAAAACCCAACTCAATTTAACCCTTAAATTAGTAAGAGATTAGAAGCTAATTGATGGCTAATAACAAGTTGGATTTGAAATTTGTTCAAAGATTAAAGAATTGCAAGGTGAAACATCTACTTTCTCTATTGATTTAGTCTAAATACCACAACAAAAGTTTCTTGTAGAGCAAGAGAGATGAAAGAATCAATTGAATATTAATTGAGAGTGGCCAAGAAACAAAATTGAGTAACAACAAGGAAGCTATAATTGAATTCAGAAGCTGCCGCCAAAATTTCAACAGGGAGGTGACCTGTAACCTCCTGTTGGCTTCTGAGGTTAAGGACAAGAGAAGAAAAAAAAATGTTAAAGAACAAAGCATGGTATGTACATCGCCCCGGTGCTGTTTACCTTCGTTGATAATCTGCATGGAGGAAGTTTTCATACTGTGTTCCTGTAAGTGTCTTTTCAACATCACCCCAATTCTCAATCTGATTAGACAAGGTGCCTTTGTGTATCTTCACCTGACGACTCTTTAAATCCCTTTGTGGAACCTTAAGAAAATCTTGAACATCTAGCAATTTCTGCAAACACACAAAATTGAAAATTTCAGAGGTGGTGCTTTTTTTTTTTTTTTTTTTTTTTTTTTTTTTTATTATATAACAAATATACAGTTCAGTGCTCATATAGTTTCTCTTACAGTTCGGTTTTTAACAATATCCTCATAGTATAGGATAATATGCCGGGTGCTCTTGAAATACTCCAAAGCTTTCGTAGTTGTATCCTCTACTTGCTTCAGGTTAGGTATCAGTAAAGTTGCATTGATTGTAGGCTTGTATTTTGCAAGTATCTCTGCCTGCAACCATGACATTTAATAAGTTTGCAAATCAAACAATTACTAGTTTTTAGTGTTTTTAAGGTAAACAACCAATCGACTTCCATGTAAATATCTTGCATGTGAGAGAGGGAGAGACCTCATGAGGAGAATGCACGTGAGACTTATGGGTCCCGTTCAGCGGCTTAGCATCTCGATCATAAGAATTTGCAAGCACAGAGATCATCCTGCGCAACAGATTTCTTCGAAAGAGAAAGATAGCAGCAACACCTCGAGTTTTGAAGTAATCCACTATTTCTTCATGGTGCTGCATCAAGCCCTGCACAAGTTGTTGCAAAAAATGGTTCAGTGGCTGTTCCATGCATGAAACAAAAAAAAATGCACACCAGAATAGCATTTAAGAATTTAAGAACAAATGCCAAAATGCACAACAGAAAATCCTCATAAGTTTATCAAACTATTGCCTACCTGGCCAAATGCCACCAAGAACAAGGAATCCAACAGGAAAGCAAAGATAGCAAATGAATCTAAGACCAACTGTCTTGAGAAATAAATCTGGGTGAAAATTTAGATGGACAGACCCAAATTAAGGTACTGGATGGACATTCTAATTTAACCCAAATTTGAGTTTGCAATGAATTCCTTTCTGACCAAGACATCCACGTAAGGGTCAAACCAAGTGAGTTTGAAAGTTCAGTCAACTCGACCCCTTTGTTAATAACTCATTAGTTGTGGTGAGATGGTCCTATACTTCAAAGCATAAGGTTGCCATAACTTAGAGAGCGTGCAACTCTCATTCGCATAGAACAATTTGATGAACAGATTCCATCAGTTGTGATGGAATCTATATGATTTTTGCTAAATTAAGTTGTTTTAGCTCTTGGATCCCCAAATTACTTTACTTGAAGGAAGGCTTCCAAGACAGAATAGGTTATTCTGTTTCATCGAGGACAAGCAAATCATAATAATAACTAGCTGCCCAAAATGAAGCAGCCATACATCTATATGTAATGCTAAACAAGACATTGAATATTATTATTATTACTAATTCTTTTTTCAAGGTTTAAATTTTTGTGGAAGCATCTGAACTCTGATGGGGTATACAGTTTAACATATAAACTTCAAACTTAGCCGTTGCCAGAACAATTGTATTACACTGCCTATTTCCAGACATCTCTGAACCAGTCCTCCCACTGTACAAGATCATAAAGGAATTACCCGATCCAATCCTACAGATCCTCCATCACTCTCCAAGGGTAAGCATTTATCTCAGAAACTATAAGACAAGCTTTTTGACAGGACTTGAAACTATACAGTATAATATAATCTCAGTAATTCATAAATCAGTAGACAACAGGAAAAATGAGCCAATGATGTAATTGTTACCAATAATAACTGGCTATCTAAAAGAAACAAGCTAAGAAGAAGATTCCTGTCTTAATATGATATGATAATCTGCTGAAAAATAAGAAATGTACTGAAATGCAATGTCATTGTCTCTCGCACCATAAAACCAGCGGATAACAGAAATTAAAAATTTTAAATATAAAAATAATAAAATAAAAAAGGAAAAATGCATGAAAAAGCACTCACCTGATTAAGCATCCACTTTAAGCCAACTGCAGCTGTGCACTCATTCTTTGAGGCACTACTGAACCAATCTAGATTATAAAGTCTGTCCAAAGTCTCAACAATTGTTGAGGCATTACTTCTCCTAACTTTAACAGAAAAAATCTCCCCATTTGAGCTTATGTTAGTATGATTATTCAATAGCGTCTCAAACCACCCACTCCCAGACCTCTGCATCGACAAAATTGCGAAATATCGCACAGGATTGCATGCACATTCAGCCCTAATGATGCACAGAAAAATATATCATTTCATTTTTCAAACAAAACCAAACTTGAAACTACAAGTAAATTAGTAGCATACCGGCTATAAGTTATGGGCTTTGGGTAGTGCACATAAGGAACTTCCTCAGGCTCAACATCAGGTCGTGGGCATGGCTTTTGAATCACCGGGACATTTAAAAACCCAGCAACGTTGGTGCGGGTGCTGACTTGCTTTAAACAAATTGAGCAAATATAGACACCACAGACCATTGCAAACAACAAGACAATCATCCTCAGCACCAACGGAGATTTCTTGGGCGCCTTTATAAGAAATATATCCTGTAAACCATGAATTAGGCAATGCAAAATGAAGGGTGAATAACACATAATAAGAATGACATGAGTGGTAATTAGTCCTAACAAAGGTCCAAACTTTATAAGACAAACTGATCAGCTATCCAAAAGTTCATAAACTTTCAAGTCGAATTGAAGAATAAATGACGTGGGTTTCATTGCAATTATCCAAACAAACGACCAGGGTTCATATATTCATTTGATTAAGCTATTAACACATCTAGTTATTAAGTAATATGACAACTGTACGATTAAGACCCCTCTCTATCAAAACCTAATGAAAAGGAAATCTGGGTTTGCTTCAGCTTGAATACATAGACAAAAAGCATCCGAGAATTCAGGGAATCAAAATGTAAAATATTTCAACACCCAGATCGGGCATTTCACATGCAACCCATAAAAATAATCCACAAATTTAAAAAAAGGGTCAGAATCTGATACCCAAATATAATTTTAGAAATACCAAAACTAGAAAGAGGAAAAGACAGAAAACAGTCTTAAATGGGAAAAAAAAATGGTCAGTGAAGAGCTAAAAGGAAAAGCACGAAACAGCAAACCTTGAAAGAACAGGGATCATCAGCCATTGTATGGAAGCTCAAAAAGAAAGCATTGGGCAACTCAACAAAATATTCCTCCTCCTCTTCCTCTTCTTCCTTGTGCTTTTAGCTTTGTCGAGCTTTATGCCTCATAATAGCCATTAATTTCGAAAACCCAAAAACAAATGAAAAAATGGAAAAGCAAGAGAGAGAAGTAGAGATAGTTTAATATAAATTTGATGGGTTTTGAGCTTTTTCTCGTGAAGAAGAACAGTAGGATTTAGATGCCCCTTTGAGCCCCGTTGCACGCTCTCTTCCCTCTTGCTTTTTGTGTGTGTGTGTGTGTGTTTTTTCCCTTTCGAATTTTCGCAGAGATTTTCCGTATTCTCTCGACTTGTAAGAATATTACTGTGACGGCGTCGTTTGAGTGATCTTCAACACCCTTTTTCTTTTGGGACGAAATCTTCCACACCCATTAATTAAGGAAGGAACGACATTATAGTTTGACGATTTCCCAAGTAGTTGGTGCTGTTTCCCGACCGGAAAATGCCTTTTATTATTGGAGTGAGATAGTCAGAATAATTTTTTAAAAGTTTGATTTATGAAAATTAAAAAAAAGAGTTCGGTTTATTTAAAGCCCACACATGCACCTATTTGTCAATGGGCTTCATGTTTTTTTATTTTATTTCAATACAAACGATAATTAAGGGGATTTCTCGCACAAACACAATTATGCAAGAATTATATAGTGAGGGTCTTATATATGGTCTTTAGGTGATGTTATATCTTTTAACTGTTAGATTAGACTAATTTGATCCAACACTTAAGAGATATGGCATCACCTAAATGTCATATATAAGGCCCTCATTATAAAATGACTCCACAACTATGATGCCATAAAAGTTCAAACTGATGAGATCTCTAATCTAGAAGTCAATGCCCTTTTTTCACTTACCTCGCTTTTTTCTTTTCTTTAAATCTCTGTTTTTGCTTTTTTTCGTTTTGGCCGCGACTTTGTTTTTGCTTAGAATACACATTTGTTCATCCTCACCTCATATGAGTGAAAGTGATGCCCCTTTATAAAGTGATTTCTAGTTACGGAGAAAAGAAAAAGTAACTTTCAATTATCTAATCGTGTGGCCAATTAATGAGTTTGACTTTGTTGTGAACAGAAAAGCTTGTTTGACCTTTTAATTTAAATGATAAAGGTTTTACAGACGTTAGATATCAAGTGCTTTGATGATGACTTAATGTACTGAAAAATAAATAGGAATAAATAAAATAGTGAAGCATTAAAGGTATCTAAAACTTTAAATTTTGTAAGAAAATCATATTATTAGTATATTCTCAAGCAACGTTTTAGGTGGATTCGGATAAAGAGTTTAGTACTTTATCTAGAGTTGTCTGGCAATCTTAGAACAGAGGGGAATTTTTAGAGATATTTAGTCAGATACTAATTCTTAGTACTAATGATATGGATAAATCTTACATCATTTAATTCAATAAACAAAAAACTCAAAAAAAAAAAAAAAAAAAAAAAAAAAAAAAAACAATATTGAATTTAATTTTGATTAATTAAATTATTTTAATGTTCTATTGAGTGTTTTGAGTTTTTTTTTTGAGGTTTTTGGATTGGGCTTATTTTATTAAATTAATGGCAATTTTATAATTTATAAGAAATTAAAAGCCTCTTTGTTATGTTATACATGGACTTTGAATGTATTTCTAAAGTCCATTTTATATAGAGTTTTTTTATAATTTAATCCCTCATATTAGATATAATAGTGAATCTCACAATTGTTCAATACATTATCAGTTTATAATTAGGGTCGAGGTCCCAAAAAATTTTAAGGCTTGGAACATCATGTATGCGAATGAGATTTTATATTCGAAACATCTTTTGAAGGTTCGCCTTTTGGTGGTAAAAACTCATGCCATGGTTGCACCAAAAGAAGAAACAAGGGTTGGCCTCACTTTGTGCCTTCTTATTATTCACTCATTCTGTGTATGTTAGATACATTCAAGATAAAGGATATTTTGAAAAGCATTAGGGCCCGTCTGGTAACGTTTTCCAAGAGTGTTTTCTGAGAATATTTTCAGAGAATGAAAACAAGAAAACAAATTTGCATTTTCAGGAAATGAAAATGCGTCTGATAGATTAATTAGAAAACATCTTTAGAAAACAAAAACAATGAAAACGTGTCTGGTAGTACAATTATTTTTCAAGTGTATTTTTGCTAATTTATGTTCTAAAAAATATTTTTTTTAATGTATAATTTGACAAATAAAAAATTATATTGTTTTTTTTAAGTTAAACTTTTTTATCTTTTTTTTATCTTCCTCCTTTCTTCTTTTTCCTTTTCTTTCTTCCTCTTCTCTCCTTTCTCTTTTCTTCTCCCTTCCCAGGCCGTCCTCTTTTCTTCTTTTTTCCTTTTCTTTCTTCCTCTTCTCTCCTTCATCTTTTCTTCTCCCTTCCCAGGCCGTTCCTTTCTTCCTCTTTTTTTCTTTTTTCCTTTTCTTTCTTCCTCTTCTCTCCTCTCTCTCTCTCTCTCTCTCTCTCTCTCTCTCTCTCTCTCTTAATTGGGTGGTGATGGCGATGGTGATGCTTTGATTGGGTATGGGTGGTGGAGGTGCTAGGGTCGATTGCTTTTTTACTAGGTGGCGAGATGTGTATTGGGTTCGATTGGGTGTTTGGTTTTGATTCCATTGGCATGGTGGTGGTGTTGGTGTTGGTGTCGGTTGGGTTTGATAGGTGGTGGTGATGTGGGGACTGGGTCTGTGAGGTTTGGTGGCAGTGGCAGAATCAGTGGCGGTTGTGATGATGATGGTCTGACAGTCGTGGCCGTGGTGAGTTTGATTTTCGTTTCGTTTCTGTTTTGCTGGGTAGAGCGATGGGGTTGTGCATTTCGGTTTATGTTTTAGGCGTTTGTTTTCTGTGAGAATGAAAACACATTTTTTCTGTTTTTCCGAAGTACACGTGATGTTGTTTTCATTTTATGAAAACATTCTCAGTGTTTTCTGTTTTAGTCCACCGAACGGATTCTTGGTTTGTTTTTGTTTTTTGAAAATGAAAACGACCGCTGAAAACTTAAACGAACGGGCCCTTAACTTCTCATTAGACAGTTAATTTTGTTTGTATGTACGGTTAATCTGTCAGTAAAACATTAAGTTACCGATCAATATGTGAGTTTCCTCGGCAGCAGGTGTGGAGCTAGAGCCAACTTTATGCATCGGACGACAGCATAAAATGAATGTTCCTCTCATCTTTGTGTTGCTGCTGCTTTCATGCATTGTAGAGATGGACAGAAAGCAACCCTTCAAAAACAAGTGTCAGCCTATTTGCTATTCATGTTTTGGTCACCAAGTACTTCACCTGGTACTTTGGGGCCTCAACAATCCAAGAGTCTGCCTACTGGAAATTCCCTCAATTATCATGGGCATTAAAGAAAACGGAGAAAACTGAAACTACTTTCTAGATCCTAAAGCCAAAACAGAATCTATTTCTTCAGATTCTATTTCTTTTCAATTCTTTTCAAACAAGGGGAGAAGAAACAAGAAAAATGATTTTGGTTAGTAAGGTGTTAGTGAAAGTGTGTTCCTAGAGAAACTGCACAAAGTTGGTATGCTGGTATAAGCATCCATCTATATGTGGGGAATGTCACAGCAAAAACAGAAATATGCCAAAGACATGTAAGAATCCAAATGAAGCTTTCCACATAAACAAGGTGCAAGAAAACCATTCTATGGTGGATAAAAATAAAAAGCATCAGACAACTGAATCAACTAGGCTGATCATTGCTACAATAAGCTCACTTCTTGATGAACACCAACACCATCATTTGGAGGAAAAGGCATGCTTGTTGCAGAAACCCAACACAAGAGAGGGAGGGAGAGAGAGAGAGAGAGAGAGAGAGAGATTCGGCCTTAATCTCCAAAAACAGCTACATCCTCCCACCAAGTAGATCTCGTGTTACACCACTAGTCCTTTCTGTCAATTCTGTTTGAGTCTACTTGTATTGCACTAAATGCACAACATCCTGAAAAAAAAATAATAATAATAAAAATAATGAAAGAAATTTCCTTACCAAACAGCCAAGTATGTGCTGAAGCTCCTCTGAAGGCTGCTCTTCATGAGCATCCACATCAACTAGTGTTGGGTGGACAATGGACCAAGGAGACTGCTTGGCCAGCATCATTAGTGAGCCCTCCAACTGCTTCCGAACCACTTGCTCGGGATGAGAACTTAACCGAGCAAGCAATTCAGGAGTTACTTCCTAGAAGTGAAGATTGTAATCAGAATGAAATCAAGTTATCCACACTAAACAATAAATAATAATAATAAAAATAACATGTAGGAAACAAACCAAGGAAGAGCCCCTTACCTGCCATGGTTGGTGACAAAGGAACTGTTGAAAGAGCAGGTTCAAGTATATATTTCAACTCCGCTCCATATATGAGAAGAATATGTAGGACATACAATGTAGCCCTCAGAGTATAGCTGCCAGCTTTTTGCTTCAGAGGCTCAAAATCAGAGTCAGCCAAGCCACGATTGCAAATTTTTGCAGATCGAATACAAACTATACTTTATAAAGCCATGAGTTGCATGCCCAAAGTGTGACACTCTTCTCCTCCTCAAAGACCACCAAACAACAACCAAATGATCAACTACAGAAATTATGTCACTTTCATTTAGGCCAAAATTTGCACAAAGAAAGCAGATCTTCAACTGAGAAGCTAGAGTAGCAGAAAGGCAACTGTCACTGCAATCTTCTGCACCAGGTGCCCCAGAAACAGCTTCAATAATATTCACTACTTGCTGCACCAAAGCCATCACAGGGTTGCATTTCTCAGTTCAGCAGAATCAAGAAAGTAGTTCGACTCTCTCTGTTCAGCTCTACAACCCTCGTCATCCTTATTCTGGACAAGCTGTAAAATCAAAGATTCCACTTTTATGATCTCATCTTCAGTTAGCTTGAATCTCTCAGGCAGAACTTCATGAACAAGGATGGGTAAAAAGGAGCATGAGTGAAGGGTATTTTCATTTGGGGTTAAGAGAGAGCCCCGGGCCATACTAAAACACCAAGAGGCATAAGAAATCCAGGATTTTCCCAAAATTGAGCAGAGATGAGTAGACAATTTTGTAGCTGTGCCCACAATTTCCTCAATGATAGGACCCAAAGGTGGTTTAGAGCTTAATCTCTCAACGCCAAATGAGGGCCTTCCTCTTCCAGGAGAAGAGGAATCAGCCATCTCAAAGTCTGACTGCATATTAAGAACAAGATCATCTAGCCTCAAATCTGAATAGTTCCGTTTAAGCCAATTTGAGAGTTTCAAGCATGCCTTGGCCTGATACTATTTTCAGCATCAGAAACTATAGACGGTGAAGAAAACCTGCAAGGACACACAAAAGACCAAAGGTTCATCAAAGCATCTTCAAACTTGTTTTCAGCATGCATTAGCAGGATGCCCTCATACTGCAATTTGAGGTGAGAAAGTCATGGTGGCTTTCCCCAGAGCATCTCAATGTGTGATCTTTGAGATAGTTCAGAGGTTTGCCAACAGTAGGTTTTCATTGTTTGCAGGTCAAGCCCAACAAATTCATAGAAAGCTTTAGAGTAGCAGGAGAAATTGGGGAAATGGTTTGATAAACTCGCAGAACTTTTAACCAAGTGTTACAATCTTGAAGGACTCTACCCATTTGTGGATGCATAAGTCAGACATATGAACTTAATATTGACTGAAGTTGCCTGGGTTTATCTTGGTTGCCTTTAATCTTGTAAAATTCTTCAAATGCAATGATGCAGTGCAACTGGGTAGCATATGCTGCTGCTTCTTCTAACCTATCAAGCGGCGAAATAGACAATGTTTCCTCCAACATTGATCTGGCCTTCTGTAATTCATGTGGCATCTTATTTTCCTTTCCCTCATTCTGAAGAAGCATTGCCTGTAAAAGCATCTGCTCACTTCTTTGCAAGGCCAATTTTGGATCAAGTGAGCTCACTGCTACTTTTAGGTGTCAAACCAAGGCATGCCCTTGCTGCCTGAAATTCACACTCATCATACCATGCCAAGGAATGAACTGCATTAATTTCATTACCCGTTGTTGTCAGAGCACCGCAATAACTCTTCCCAGCATGTTTAGCACGAAGTGTTTGCAACTCTGATAACCAGGATTCTACCAATCGCAAACAGAAGTATAACACTCAATGATGCATGCAATGAAAAACTGTACACCATCAGAACCCAAGGAACTCAACAACTCCTCAGTCTTCAGCAAGTGAAGAAAGTGCACAGCAGCCTTTCCTATTTACCTTCTGCCTGATATACAAGCCCAGTGACTCAAGTAAAGGGTCCCAACGTCATACTGTTACTGAGGGACCGGTTTTCCTCCACAAGAAAGGGAGAGGAGTCTTACACAGATCCAATGCCATGTGTCGTAAAACCCTCAAGATGTCTGCCAAAAATCTGCCCCTGATATTATGGAGGTTCTCAGTTACTTGTGACCTAGACTTTTCATTCAAAGCTGAAGCCACAAGATTCCTGAGCTCCTGTAAACACAGAGCACAATACTGAATTGTAGCATCATACCATTGTAGAGCTAATCCAGCATTCATCATTGGCTTACATATACGAGAAAACCACTCCTCACAAACTTTCTTGTTGGCTCGAAATAGTAAGGAACTAGAACGAGTAGCAGATAGTAAAACAGCAGATCCCTCATATGCATTATATACATTTTTCTTCAGTGCCTCAACGAAATGGAATAGTAAACTCATTGGTGGTCACAAAATGAGCACCAGAAGACCCTATCATACTTAAATGATGTCAGTACTTGTTGAAGCAAGAAAATATAAGTGGCAGCCGAACTGCCAGTTACTAGGTGATTAGGATGCATACGCAGCTGAGATATTGGAGCATCAAATTGCAATATTTTCTGCACAGATGATGGGAGAAGGCCAAACTTTTGCAAGGATAATAATTGGAGATTAGTTTTTAAAACTCTATGAATTTGAAAGGAGGTAATTCTTCCAGTTCCCATTGGTTGGGTAGTATTTGTCCGGTTCCAAACTTTGAAATAAAATAACAAAAGCAAAGGCGTAAATGGTGGAAAACCTTTCACAAAATATTTCTGCCAAAAGGATCGAACACTTCCACAAATCCCCAATCCATTCCAACCACCCAAATTTCCTTCCAACCATAGAAACCAAACACAACAAGCAGCATTTGTCTAAACAATGCGCAGTACAACGCAAATTCCAATTTAATGGATAATTAAACAAAAAATTAGTAAGAAAAAAAAACAAATTGCAGTTCTAAAGAAAGAGGAAATGAAAGTGAAATTGAGGAGGCTTTACTTGTCGGAGAGAAGCCCTGGCCGAGAAAAGTGGCGGAGTGAGTGACGAGGAGCGAGTTGGGCGGGTAGATAACGGCGCGGTGAAGCGAGATGATGGCGCCGAGCCGAGCCGAGTCGTCGTCGTCCGAGTTAGAGGAAGGAATTTTCCGGCAATGAAAATTGAAGGAACGAATTACTCATTTCCTTTCAATGGGAATCAATAGCCCACAAAACTATGGCTTTTGCAGTTGAGTTTTGTTCATTGTTAGTGGGATGGCTTTCTCACTTACTTGATGACTGATTGATTAGTTTCCATGGTCGAAGGTCCGAGGCCTTCATGTCAGTCAGAAGGTTGAAGAATGTAAAAGCTACGACGTTGGGTCTTCCCCATGTTGGAATAATATGGTTACAAGAACTTAAAACTCAACTAATCGGGACGAAGAATACAAAGGTGTAAAGCATACCATAGAATAGGCCTGGAAAATCCTTGAGATAGGTCGGCTAGTTCAGACATTTACCAGTCATGAGCTTTTTGGGCCCTGAGAGTTGAACTAGACCAGGCCCGTCCTATCTTGAATGGGCTAAGCTTAAGCCCCACCAAAGGTACAACAACTTACGAGCTCATTAGCGGGCCAATGAGCCTATATGGCCCTACCGCATGAGCCTCTGATAATAAATTAAATGCAATCATGATGAATTAAATGTAATTATAATTACTATTAATTTACTTTTATAAGTATATTAAATGCAATCATTATTATACTAGTTCACTTTTATAAATATTAAATATAATAATAATTAATATTAAATGAGTCACTATTTTCTTTTAATATTTTAATTATGTTTAGCGTTGCACTAGTGGTCCTTTTCGTTAATTCAATCAAGGTTTCCGTTAAGTTCATAGGTAAACTTGGAAATTCATTTCAAATCTTTCTTCTTCTTTTTTTAAACTAAACTAATAAAAAAGTTATTATTTAGGGATAGGATGTGTATTCCAAGATAGAAGTATATATAGATGCGTCAAACGAGGTCTGAGTCTACGGCCCTAACTCACATAAAACTAATGACTTATGTATTGCAATAGTAACACCCAACCAATGAACTGGTCAACCAAGCTTCCCAGCATAACTTAGTTTTATCTTCCATTTAACGCGATAGGGATCGAACAAACTCATTAGGAAGAACTTTTAGGGTTGGGTGATGATACTAATGCAACTATTGGAAGAAACTCATTAGGATTGGGTGATGATACTGATGCAAGAACTTTTAGGGTGGAAGATAGACATGTTGGAATATAAGATTTTGTTTTTGATGATGAAAGTCAGGCTTTTTATACCAAATTATAATGAACCACCACACCAAGATCCACCACTCGGACATTCTTCTTCATCCTTACCCTTTCAGGCTACTAATTGTGAGATTATGATGCGTAGTGAAAATATTGAACGTCTATTAACCCGGCGAGCAATTATTATGAAAGGATATAATTATATACATCATGTATTGAATGACAATTTAGAGCATTTTTGAGAAAGGTATAGAATGTATCCTAATGTGTTTCGAAAGTTATGCAGTATTATTAGAGAAAAATATATTGGCAGCTTATAACTTTGATTTGGAATTCATATATGTCCTTTGTAGGTGGGAGGGCTCAGCTCACGATTCAAAGAGTATTACAAGATGCTTTAACAAGGAGGAATGACTTCAAGTGCCACAAGGTATTTTTAATTTTTTTCATTTATAGTTTACATTAGGTCATACATTAGATACTGACATATGTGTAATCTATTATCAGGTAGAGTTTTCTTAGTAGATTTTGGATTTCCAAATCGACGCCAATTTTTGGCTCAATTTCGAGGTGTTCAATATCATCTTCAAGAGTTTGATGGTCAAGGTCGTGCACCTGCAAATGAAGTTGACGAATGTCACTGAGAGGATATTTGGTATATTTAAGTCACAATTTACAATTTTCAAGTATGCACTTCCATTCTCATATACGACACAAACAGAGACAGTGTTAGCTTGTGTAGGACTGCACAACTTTCTTCGAAAAGAGTGTAGATTGACAAATTTCCTATTGAATTGGAGAACGAATCTTTTTCATCTTCATTGTTACAGATGAATGAAGGGGATTCTGAACTAGTTTTCCAAACACAACAACAACAACAACAGAATGCTAATGAATGGAGAGTTGGTATAGCTTTGGATATGTGGAGAGATGTTGGGCACAATGAAAACTATGAGAATCAATGATAATGAATGAAAGTTAAATATTTTCCTTAAACTTTTCTTTCAAATTTGTAATACATTTGTCACTATATTTCTTATAAATGTTGCTTTTCGTTAAACATAATTTTTTTTTTAAAAAAAATTTATTTCATCTTGTTCAACGAAAAGATGTTATGAATTTGGCTTTTTATTTCATGTTGTTTAACTAACATCAGTGTCATCTTGATACAAATCAAGTATCAGAACATCCCAACATCAGTGCATAATGTTTTATATTTAAATTCATTGAGGATCGATTGTTTTGTTGTGGCATTCATGCACACCTGCTTATCTTTTGGAGGACGAAGTTGAATTTTTGTATGCATATCTCATTTTCTCACCTTCTTTGCTGAATACTATTCATGTGGCTGTCAATATTATCGAGATTACCAGTTGGCTATTAATGACTAATTAGTTGTAGGCGTGACTAATTAGTTGGCTCTTAGCATTCGTTTAAAAAAATATATATGTTAAAGAAATTAGAGAAGTCTTGAATAAAAGTCATACAAATATTAAGAAAGTTTATTAAAAAATTATATAGAAGTCTTCTGAAAGTCTATCAAGTTTTATACGAAACCTAAAGTTCCATCAAGTTCTATGAAATCTAGCACTTAAACAAAATCTTTTTAAACACTCTAGAATCCTAATTGAATACACCCCCTTAAACCTTTATGTAACTGGGCCTGCTCCTCCGCATGACACCGATTGGGCCTAACCCACTCCTAATTTTAAATACTCCTGAAGGCCCCACTCCTTCTGTTTTAAAACTGGGCCCACCCAAGGGTCGAAATAATCTATACAAATTTATAAATAAACCCAATCCTAGACATGTATTTATAAAAAAAACCCAAATACTATTTAAACATAGAAACACACCCAAAATCAACAATGGTATATTTTTTGGGTGTGTTTATAAATGGGTTTTGAGTGTGTGTAATGATGGGTTTTGGGTGTGTTTATAAAGTGTTTTGGGTGTTGGGTTTTTTTATAATTTCAACCCCCATTTTGGGTGTTTTAATGAAACTCCCAATAATCTAGGTCTAAAAACAATTTCATTGATAGAAGTAATTGGCTGGCTGTTACAAAATATCAACTCACAATACACAATACATTATTGATATTTTATCAGTATTGTGTTTGTGTTACAAAATATAACAGCACATTGACAAAATATCCACAATCCCAAGTTATGTAAATTGGTGCTCAATTCCAAACAACATTTTCCTTTTATTTATTGGCATCAATTTTCTTTTTCTTGTTCGGAAACAATTTTTAGAGAGAGAGAGAGAGAGAGAGAGAGAGAGAGAGAGAGGTACTAAATGAGTAGGAAAACAAACCAAATATCAAAGATTAATCATTGACTATATATATACATTTAATATAATTTAATTGGTAGAGGTGCATGGACATGTCTTAAATGAATTTTCTTGCTTATATATACAGAATTCTATTATGCGGACATTTAGACGTTATTATCGTGCAGAAGTCATGTATTTTGTGCTATCTCTCTTTGTTTTTTTGACTGTTTACAATAGAATCTGCATGATAATAACGTGCAGACATTCAAATAAGAAAATAACTGTATATATATATGTCATTGGTCAAATTGGATGACTTTTGTTAGATCACAAGTTTATATGTGGTCTTATATTGTAAACTAGTTCACTATGTAGACAACCCGATCTCAACATACAAATGCAAAGAAGTACAAGAGATAATTAACGATAATCTTATATTTCTTTTAGCCCGTAGTGGACTAGATGGGCTAATCCTTAATAGGACAAAAGAGTGTTTAAGACTTTGGGCACAACCCACATGTCATTGAGAGCGATTTTCAAATATCAAAATAAACAAGAGGCAGTGGCATTGTGAACGTTATGTTTTTTTTTTTTTTTTTTTTTTTTTTTTTTTTTTTTTTTTAAAATTTTCTTCACCCCATGGGTGCTTGTAGTCCTTGTCCGTGATGATGAGCCTATTGACTATGACTAACAATTGACATTGCAAAATCTTCGACTTCTGCAAGCAAGCAACTATTATGGATTTTATGCTTACAATACAAAGCAGTGATGTAATCGTAGCCATCTTATTTGATGTATTCTTATGTTCTAGATGATGAGGTTGTTAAAACGTGTGTGCTACAAGTGAAAATCATATGATTATTATATAGAGTTATGCTATAGCGGCTCATATAGGATCGTTGATGTATTTTGAAATATACTTATATTCACGGCTGACAATAATCTAAACACCTCATTTGTCTTATTATACGTATAATTAGAGTTTAAAAAGTTATTCATGTTTATCAACTATTTCAAGATAATATAATAATCCCACCTATACGCATGTCAAAACGGATAAAATCCTATCATGTTAATGTGATTGTGACCGCATCCCATCCCATCACTGATTGCCAATTGGCAACTAGTTGGAAGTGAAAATATTATTTCACTGGATAAATACTTCACAAGTAATTATTGTGCTAAATCTATTAAACTTATATGTGTGTATATATATATATATATATTTTTGGGATAGGGCAATCTATGTGCGTAAGAAATTCACTTATTAATATGAAGTTCGAGTTTTTCTTTTAAATTAAAAAAATGTATAAAGAAATAAAAATATAAAAACGAACACATTTCATCATATAAAAGTGTGCGCCGACATGTTTTGTTGATTTGATGCAAAATGGTCGAAAATCTAAGTGAATAATCCAAGCACCGGAGAAGGGGGTCGCAAAAGTCAACATCTTTACCACTAGTGGGGAAATCTTGTTCGCAAAAAGGACCTCTCCTCTAATCTACCCAAAATCTACAAACGTAGTACCAAAATTTGATAGAAATATTATAATCTAGTACTAATTGAATTTACATTTTATTCTTAAAAAAAATTGTATTGAAAATTGATTTGCTCAATAGAGAGTAACATTATTAATATCCTTTTAATTTGAAAATATGATTTTTATTTTATAATATAATTTGATAAGATGAGCGATTGAGGGAGGGGGGACGTCTGGAGGTTTCGAACCTTTGTTCATGTGAGTGTAGGTGAAAGAGCTCAACCAACTGAGTTATACTTTACTGACAAGATAGTTGGTTTGTTGTGAACACGCATTCTTTTGACATTTTGCAAATTATAAAAAATATACTAGCTATAGGACTCGTTTACTTGTCAGCTTAAGAGTTTTGCCTAATGACAATGAATGTGGTGCCTAAGTTACGAAGTTGGCTACCCCAAAATTACATAGTTTTTTTTTTTCATGCCAAAACAAGCAATTACTGCCCCAGATTAAACCTTATTTGCCACTAAGTCCAATACTCAACGCCATCTCTCATCTCTCTGTCAATATTATGATCTCAGCTGAGGGCAATGTATGTGGCTGACCTTCTCAAAAATCACCGTCATCTGTCAATTTTATAAGCAACATGCCCTTTAAAGCTTCCTAAAGACCTTCCACGAAATAATCCAAAAACAAGAGGCCACCTAATTGGCCGCCCTTATGCATGCACCAAATTAACAATCACATTTCTTTGTAGGATAATGTATGCTGACAACTTATCGTTCTCAAAACCTCTGGCCTGCTAAGACACAGATTTAGTTTTTAGAGATGACTTCTTTCTAACTTAAAAAATGCGTAAAGATAAGACAAACATACTAAAATATGAGAGAATATTGTTTGTGGGAATATTCTATATATTTTTCTTCTTATACTACATCATGTTTATAATACAAGAAAGCATTGTAGGCCAATGAAAGTAATAACTACTAATTCTATTCAAAATAGGAAATCAGAAATAAAATGAAATCAATTACAATTAATATGAGAATCCATAGTGTGCAAGGAAAGTCACTAATTATGCTAACAAAACATATCTACAATGACCATACTAAAATCATTAAAAAGGCATATAAAATGGGCATATTCCAGTCGTTTTAATGGAATTGTCTATACAAACCATCGAATTAGTTACATAAGCTATTTCTCGAAAATCATACGTATACTTCACTTCATGTGATCTATCCGTACCACATAAATTAAATATTGTGAAAAAAAATATCCTAATTTTTTTAAAGAACTCAACACTTTCTGATTGTTACGCTATCTGCCACTTATCATGGTCTAAACTAAACAATCTTAATGTGCGCTAAATATTAACAATTTCATTGATAAAAGTATTTGGTTAGTATAAAATATCAATTTGCAATACCTAATACAATATTGATATTTTATTCGTATTACAAAATATCCACAATAGCCCAAGTATTGTAAGTTGATGCTCAACTCCAAACAACATATTTCCTTTTATTTATTGACGTCGATTTTTCTTTCCTTTTTCTAATTCGGAAACAGAAGTTTGTTAAATCCAACAGACGGAGAGAGAGAGAGAGAGAGAGAGAGAGAGAGAGAGAGGGTACTAAATGAGTGGGAAAACAAACCAAGCAAGGCAAAACCACCCACACATGGAGATGGACCAGAGAAAATAGAATAATAAATGCTACAGATGGAAGAGTGAGTTGATTTAAATATAAAGTTGGCGTCTATGACCAATCTTCTCTCTAGACTCAACTCTAGTCATTTAGTCAATCTTCTCCCACCATCCTCTTTCCCCTCTCTTTCCTCTCATCCTCTCTCCTCTTTCTTTCTCTAAAACTTCCTATATATCTCAATACTCTCTCACTGTTTCTCTAACCTTAAATCCCCAACCCCCCAAAACCAGAGCTTAAGCTCTTCAGCTCAACCAGTCATGGAGATACAAGTGGCTCACCCAGTGCCCCCTGTGGACTTCAACTTCGACAGCAGCGCCTGCTCCTCCCCCTACATGACTGCTCCTTCAAGCCCCACTCGATTTGGCAACTATTTCTTCAGCGCACCCACCAGCCCCACCCGGGCCTCTTCCTTCTACAGCCACTTCAACGACCTCTCCGGCGAAAACGATCCAAGACTTTCAGCCTCTTCAATCCCTTTCAAGTGGGAAGAGAAGCCCGGAATTCCCAAGTCCAGAGCTACCATTAATGGTGATCATATTCATCATCTTGAGGAGGATTTTGAGTTTGATTTTAGTGGGCAGTTGGAGAAGGCTTCCTTGCCGGCAGACGAGCTCTTCGACGGCGGCAAGATCAGGCCTCTGAAACCCCCTCCTCGCTTACAAGTTGGGAGCAATGGAGCTGATGAGCCAGGTCCCTCCGGTTTTTCCCCGAGGTCACCGTCTCCAAGAGCGTCGAGACTTTCCCAAGGAAAGAAATTGGTTCAGGGAGTACTATCCCCGCGGCATCACCGAAAGGACCATCAGGCTCATGATGATCCTTTCGCTGCCGCAATGAATGAGACCCGAAAGAAGGAGTATGAATATGGAAATCAAGAAGAAAGGCGGGGGAGAGAAAGATCTCCTTCCGTGCGTAAAAAGGGAACCAGATCTTTGTCTCCCCTGCGCGTGTCGGACGTCATGTTCGACATCGAAGAAGACAAGACAGCTTCTTCATCAACAACCAACTCCAACAAGGCCTCCACATCTTCAGCATATTCTTCATTTTTGTCAGCGATCTCGTTCTCTTCATCGAAAGTAAGTAGAAAGTGGAAATTGAAAGATCTTTTGTTGTTTCGAAGCGCATCAGAAGGCCGAGCCACAACTGGAAAAGACCCCTTGAGAAAGTACGCGATGCTGTCCCCCAAGAAAAGTAGCAGTAGTATTGCGGAGGATGTGAAGAACTCGAGTTTTCGGTCCACCGACAGCGTGGGGTCAGTGAGCTCGAGGAGGAGAGGGCCGGTTTCGCCTCACGAGTTGCATTACACCGCGAACCGGGCGGTTACGGAGGAGATGAGGAGGAAGACCTTCTTGCCGTACAAGCATGGTCTCTTGGGTTGCTTGGGGTTCAACCCCGGGTTGCATGAGATTTCCAGAGGGGCTTTTGGGTCTTTGACACGTGGCGGAGGGTGCAGACCGTGACTCGATCCGTAGCCGTAGATATATTTTTTTTCTGTTCAAATTTCTTTGTTGTGGGATGTGGATGTTTGAGTTTTGCTCATATGGTTGATGATCAACTTGATGATCTTTTGGTTGGATTATTTGATTGTTGGGGCATGTGTGTGGTGTCTCTATCACAAGAAATGGAATCGAATTGTATCAAACATATATATACAAGAGATTAAATTACAAGCAACGTTTTGTGTTTGGTTGGGAACAATTATGAGACTATTTTTTTTTCTCTCCTCTCCTTAATCGTGTCCAATTACATATCACTTTGAGTTCATTCATAGAAAATATATCTGTTTTTTCAGTTACAAAAAAAATATATCTTATGAGAGCTCTTGGAATGGCAATGAATGATTTACCGACATATATGATATAGGAAAGAGCACATCTAACGTTATTGAAGAGTATTTGTCTAGTTTGAATTAAAGGGAAGGAAAAAGAAGAAAACAGAAACTAAAGATGTCACCATCCCACTTTCCTTTTTTCATTGACCATGCCCCTTTCACTTTCTATTTGAATGCATGATGCATGAAAACCACCTAATTTTCTTCTTGCAAAACAACACAAAATTAAAATAGGGAACGCAATTCCTAAGATTTATATAAAAGGAGTAGTTCCTTCAGATTTATATCAACATTTACCTTCGTAATAAACTATTAATTGCAAACTCTAACTCTTAGTCTCGTGATATATCTCTTCTCAATATCATAATCCTAAGTTAAAAGACGGAACAATATTAACATTATAATTTTGACTAACCCTTCTTTACTTAGGAAAACACTTCCCTTCTTACCATGTAAGTAGGAGCTCTTACATTCCTACCAATAGCAATGTTACATGTGTGCATAAGTTTTTCTTTTTACGTATACGCCAAACTATGATTCACAGAAATAAGAAATATCTCCTTGCAATGAATGAGTCAAGCAGTGTCCCTTCACTTATAAGCTAGTAACATTGGCAAATGATAGGACAATGTGGTAAATCCCAATCTTCTATTTAATAATAAACTTACATAAGAAAATAGATGAAGAAGGACGGTGGATGGATATAAGCAGCACACAGACACATGGGTAGATCAAAGAAAAAGATTTTCCACACCGTAATCATTGTTGGGATGTGTAATCATTATAGCAGTAATGTTTTACAGTGTAAAGTTGTCTAATTCGGTTTTGCCACCAATAATCAAGCAAAAGGTAGAGAATCATTCAATTATTTAAAAATAAAACAAAACTGGGACATAAAAAATCCTTTTCCTTTTCGATATTCCTGTCGAATTTCAACCATAAATTCGTAATCACCACACAACCTGCAATGATGAACAAGGGGGGGTTCCATGTTTAATGTGTTAGGCCCATGCATGTGCTTTGCCTAAGCAATCCAACAAAATTAATTAGGTGTCACTAGTGTACTACTGTACTTGAAGTTTCAAACAATGAGAAAATATGATCACTTGTGTAAGAATTTTATATTTCAGCACATAATTTTGGCTACTTTTTTCCTTAGAAAGGTTCTAATTGTTAGACTCATATATTTTAAATTTATAAGAATATTGATAAATTAACAAACTTAATTAGATTCAAAAGTTAAGGTTATGAGAATCTTGTCGACTAACTTATAGTTTAATGGTACTGTTCTTTTTAATGTTAGAAAAGGAAGTTCAAATCCCGATTGTCATCTTTTATTGGGAAAAAACTATAAATTCTTTATTTAAAAACCCTATAATGCAGTACGAGTGATCACTTGTAGTGATGCAACTCCACAAGATCCCTGCACTAATTAACAATTTTTTTTTCTTTCTGCATATTATAGTATTAGGCACAATTTATATATTTGAAGACCGATCCTACATGAGGGTTGAGGAGGAATATTAAAATATAATACAATATAGTATTGGCTCACATCCTGATGGTTACTCATTCACCCTTTACTAATTGGAATCAAGAATTAGATGAAACAATTATGATCATTGGAATTGATTTCTAATTTCTATTTTGAAAATCGTTCTATCTCTTCTCCTTCCCCCTTCGCTCACCTCTTTTCTCTCGATTTAATAATAGAAAAAGAAAAATATAAGATAAAAACTTTATCAAGCGAACTCTAAGCTAGCTAATGTCTCTATCAACTATGCATCACCTAATTATAAGTCAAAGAGGATACACATTGGATGAGGCGTGCTATGTAAACAAGAGCCATTAAGCATTTTATGAAAAAATCTCAAGTTTAGACCATTGATATAATGTGCGCGTGATTAACTATCTATATCGTTCTTCATTGTAGAACCCTGCTTTTTATAGATTCCCAATGCTCTTGTTGGTTAAAGAAGGGCAACAAGCCATGCATGCATAACCTAGCTTTATTGAAAGAATAGTTTTGTCTATTATGGAGGGAGACCCACATAAAATCCTATAATTATGGTTACTTTGGTTTGCAGAGTGAAAGAAAAAGTGAGGAAAAGGAGGAGCATGGGGTTGATGCGATAATGGGATGATGCTTCATGTACATTATACCCTAATCTTTATACCCAAAAAAAGATTAAGAGATTGTCTCATATTATATCTGTTGATGATGACAAAAGTGATAAATATCTAGATCATGATATGATGATCTTGAAGGTACCAAGTATACATGGTGGTTGGTTGGTGACAATTTTTGTTTATCATCCATGGCCGCATTGCATTATTGTCGCCAATAATTATAGTTATGAATGAATTTTTCCGTTTCTGCTTCGTCATACTTGGAATTGGTAAGATGGGGCACGACATCTTTGGTAAAAAAGAGAGGAACTCTTTGGTTTATTTACTCATATATGGTTTTCGTGTCTAACCCGTGCTTCTTTATATATATATTGATATATTATAACTTGGAAAAAAAGGACACAGGTTTTGGACTCTGTTGAATTTTTTCTTCGTAGAAAGAAGAAATATATTATATTCAAATTCCAAGAGTGAGTGAGTGAGCATGGCTGTGGTCGAGTAAAAAGCATTTGGAATGAAGCATAAAGTATTGAAAAAAGTTGAAAAGAGTCAAAAGTTACTTTGTGAATGAAGTAGAGAAAAAGAAGCCACCTCCTCTCTGTTGATTTAGTCCTTTATATTATATAGAAAACGAAAGAAAAAAAGTAATCAGCATGTAACAAAAATGTTTAGCTTATTAAACTGATAAAATGTGATTGGTTATATATATATATATATTTTAATATTAATTTATTTGATTTAAAGAGAGGAAAATTCGAATTCGGATGTAAATAAACAAACTTACAGTCATAAATAACTGGCCTAACCTACTTATGAGAAATTACATCCCTAGATAGTTAGAGGTCTAGGTTTTGGTTTTGTTTGTATTTAAGCGTCTTTATATAGAGACAAGTTGATGCCCTAAAGATGTGAAAAAACCTTTCTTGTAACAAAGATAGTATTATATTGCTATCATCGACCAATAATGTAAAAACACAACGTGTCATTGTGTTATTGATCGAGTATAGCCAAATATAAGAAAACCTTAAGGTCCAACGAAAGCCAGACACGTTAAAAAGGAGTTGTGATTGTGAAGTGTCAAGCTCTAACCCCCCGTTTGATCTGACAGTTTGTGTATGTACTACGAACCAGAAGACCCAGGTGTCCAAAGAAAGCCCAACACGGGCTTTGGACCACCTTGTTGACTTAAAGTCCTCAAAACCCCTCAATAGGTTTAGTATTTATTAAGTTATTATTATTTTCATTGCCCTCGTGTTTTTAGTCTTTGTATTCTTGGCCGAAATCTATGACCTTTTACAAGTCACAGGGACGACCAAGTCACACAGAAAATAAAACACCACGTGCGAACGGCAAAGTGGTAGTTGGAACCCTAAATTCCTTCATATATTAAATGGCTGTCTCTCTCTCTCTCTCAGGCAATTCAAAGAATCCAACCCGATTTGCTTCAACATGTATGCATCGAGTCTCGTGGTTGAGAAATGTATCTGTATAGAGTTCTATTTATTCATTTTTTGATGTGGTAAAGGGTTTGTGGATTGACATGGGAAATGAGTTGTACGTTCAACAAAAATGGGAGACAGTTCACATTCTGGCATTTATCATGATTTATAGTGAGGACAGACAGAAATGGACACACGTTGCATTCCGAAGGGTTATTGACTCGAGACCCGTCGTCCACGGGTTCTAGCTCCAATAACATCGATGTAAAAGCGGTATAACTGAGTTGAAATTTTGTTGAACGTAAAAAGTTCATGCCTCAGTCAAATTACAAGGAAAGAGAAACATAAATTGGTAAATTTCTGGCCATTAGGTTCTAAGACAATATTCACTTCCTGCTCTGGACATGCAAAGGTGTTGAGAAACAGATGTCTAGAACATCATCTCTTTCCAAGAAATAATGGGCATCATTTGGAAATGTAACAAAAACTCCTTTATAAATGCCCGAAGTGGAGCCAAAATATTCGAATTAGCTGGGCTGAATAACGTTAAGACATCTACATCCCAAGAATGTGAACGTTAGGCGATGTTCTCTGATCAAACTGTATTACCAAACTATCAATTTGGACCCCAGGTTCAAACAAGAACACACATTATCAATAGAGCATTTTCAATAAACAACATATTAATGTGGTTCCAAGAGGCACCTGAAAAAAAATGAAAAGAGATATATGGTTTAGGAGTTCGGAGTTAAAGACCATAAAACGCAGCAGATTTGACAGTATTGCATTTTTACCAACTTTACCAAATGGGTGCTCTACGTACCCATCATAACCTCATAAAATCATGTGCTCAACATCAGAACTCAATAACAAAGACTACGTAGTCATGTACTTGGTATCCGTATTTCATGCTCAGTTACAACATTCATTAATATTTCTATACAAAAAACGTCATACAAGAGCTTAACAAAAACTAACATTTAACTACTACACTGCACACCTGCGCGCCGATATCAGCTCATAAATTCTTTGTTATGATAGCGTTCCTCCTTGTTGAAAAATGTAACTAGAATTGCATCGGCCATATTCATATGTTGGAAGTAAAAGAAAAATAGAAGTACTAGGGATATGAGATTACTTTCACCCTAATTGTCCAGCAGTTGCACATTGAAGAAGGCTCAGACACCCATCATTTTGAAGAACCTAATAATTAACATCTTTCATAATGAAACCCACCATTCAATAAGCTCACAACAAATTGTACAAATTAACATATCAGGTACAGCTACTCACCAAATTTGCAATGCCAGCAAGCAATTTTTGGCAATTGAAATGTAACGTGAGATCACATAACCAACAACTTACGACCAGCCATTGCATAAAATGAGTCGTTGCATTCAAAAGTCTTCGTGATTTCTGCAAAATAATTCCAATTACATGCATCAAAATACAAGATATATTAATTTAAGTCCATAAACCAGCTTTTCCTTTCTAATAACAATATATAGATAAATAATTTTTCCCCATTTAAGTTATGCAGTATGTCATTTTAATTCCTGCAATGATTTCAACATTAAGAAGTTGGATATTTAGAAAATCCACACATCCCACAACATGTGGCTCCAAAATCCAAACTCTGCAATTATCAGTACCCTCAATCCTGCAAAATATCTGCAGACTATGAGATTGCGACACCACTAACTCCATCATTGATTGATAAGCAATAGGACACACTATTGAGTGCTCGTTACCTCATTTATTGGGACACACTATTGCATGCTCGTTACCTCATTTAACCTCTTGCTATCTCATCTATGTCTAGAGTGACTTTGTGAGCCAATTTTTTGTGCCTCTGTGCATCCCTTTTCCCATCCACTTGTCCTACTTGGAAATTTTAATGGCATTTGCCAATCTAATGAATGACAGCCTGGCATTTCATTACTACTCTTTTACATTCCCTCTCTACAATAACTGTACTGTTTCAAAAAATTGGTCGAACTTTTTCTCAGTGCCAAAAAGCGAAAAATATCAACTGTGCAACCAACGTTGAGAAGTTTTAAAACTAAAAATTAGAAGAATCATGCACATAATGTATATGCAATGTGATAGGATATAAAAGAAAAAAAAATTGCAGGTATGCCAATAGTCTTCTCACAGTAGGTAAATCAACAATACTGATAACGAAAGGGTTTCTGACAAAAAGACAATTGCCACCAGGGGTGGAGGTGGGGATGGGTTGATTTGGGGGTAAAAAGGTTTTGCACAATTGTAATTTACGATAGCGTGCCTTATTCCTGAGGCATACACCTCTGGAATATAACGATAGCCTATCTGGCAGATCACTGAACACCTAAACCCCTCAGGCAGTTAGGTCTCGCGACTCTCACCTCCCTATGAGGCTTGCATTAGAAACACCTTTAAAAACACTGACCAAATTAATAAACATGCTAGAATACATCAACAGTATCCTAATTCCCACACCCTTCACCATGAAAATCAGAACATGCAGGGGACCATACAGAATAGAATGACCAGGGAAAGAAGGGGATGGGAGAAAGATTTTAGCTCAATAAAGCAACCACTCAAGGCAGCATACCCAGTAGCATACTTATATGCTGGAACTTAGACTAAAATAATCGAATAATTAAGAAAGAAGAAAAACTCAAAGCATACCCTTTGTGTTAAGGTCCTTAAGGATATGAACTTGCTTGAGCAGCCAAATCACTGCGGCCGGTAAAGACCAAGTAATGGTTTCTCTCTCTCTTCAACTCTCTTCCTTGCAGCCTCCCTCGCTTTAAGTGCAGCTGCTTCTTGTGCGGATATAGCCCTTGGCTTCTCCTCTTGCCTCTTTCTCTTTCCAACAGAAACTGATGAACGAGCACCTTTAACAGATCTCATAGGGTTTAAAGAAGCTGAGACCACTGGCCCAGGTGGAGGCCCATTTTGAGATTTATCAGCACCTTTGTTTTCTGTAGCTGGTCCTGCCCCTGAAGTTGACCCTGGCTTTTTCAAAATGGTTTCTTTATATCCAGCATTTGATAAAAACTGCGGGTTTGCATATGCCTCTTCCTGTGCCACCCACTTTCCTGTTGGGTTTCTTCATGTAAATATACCAACTACAACATATATTCTGAAAGAATTATTAAGCCAACACAATAATTAAAATAGAAGTGCAGTGAGTCAATACCTATAGCGTCAGAATAGTAGAAGCCTGAATTCGGATCATAGTAAAAGCCGTTACTTTGATTGTAGTAATAACCAGACGTACTGTTATACTGCCATTCTGTCATCAATCAGAGCCGAATCAGTTTTAATAGTAAATAATGGAGTTGAAATAAGAAATACTCATCAATCACCAAAAAGGCATGCTTCTTCAAATAGCAATAAAGGGCCCATTCATTAACTAACAAATAATATTCATAAACCACCTCTCCTAAAGGCATACTTCTTTAGAATTTTAATTTTTGGAAGAATCTGATTTGCTCATCGATTGTCGGCCAACTACCAAACCAGACAAGTGTGGCAAGAGATCAACCCTGAAAACACATTTCTCGTAACATGTCTACTTCATTCTAACCCATTTTCAGAACTTACTAGCATAATGTCTTCCTCTCCTGATCAAAATCCCAAATTTGAAAATGCAATTTGGGTTTCCGCTCATTAGAAAAAAGAATTAAAAAGAAGAAAGGGAAAAAGATAATCTTATTAGCTTTGTAATGAACCATGTCTGCCTTTCTTCTTTCTCCATTGTAGACTGCTTTCTTTGGTAAAAGGCTTTATGGCATCATCATATTACGCTTACATCAGCTGTAAGGAACCTAAGTCAGCAGAGTTTTTCAAGCTTAGCGTGGTGAGGAATAATGTTTATAAATGTAGCCTGATTGTTCTATTGTCTCAACTTCAAAAGACTAAAAAAATGTCCTTAATGAGTCGCCCAAGTAGTTGAGCTGTAAGTAAGGTTCTCACCTATTTAACAGCCCTACTCCCACCTACAATATATTTTTGGACTAGAAGCCATATGGCTAAGGTGAATAAACTACACTTTTGACCAGGAAAAAAAGAAAAGAAAAGGCAACAGATTGTCAAAATTTAATTTTAGGATGGGGTTCTCCAAAGTGAGTGCAAACAACAATATGTGCTGCAACGTGCTTGAGGTGTAATTATATAGGCTTTATTCCAAAGCTTGCAAGTATGGTGCAGCTCTAACATTGAAACAATGCTGGAAATGCAAATTTCCAGTACTTACTCTCTTGACCATCATCTTCAACATCGAATGCCCGGGCATCTCTAGCCTCCTGAAAGCTTGCCACATCCTTTTGATAGCTGCGCTTAGCTTTCTGTAAACATTTAGGGAAAATTGCTTATGTCAGTGTCTCATAGGGGGAAGACTTTCTCTTTCAATAAACCTAAATCTGTAAATTTGGAACAATAAATGGAATCCATAACATAATAGAGTGGGGCAAATTTCTGTGCTCAATTTCTTTTTAAAATCCGATTGGCCATTCTAAATTCTAATGTCTTTTGTAAATAAAATTAGGCTTGAAATTTTGAATAGTTAACAGTTACTCTCGGGTTGCTAACAAAGTGGCAGTATTGATGAGAACAAGGCAAGGAGTAAACTTAACTGTTGTATTAAATGGGAGAGGAACTACCATCAAAGAATTACAATAATAAACTGAACCTCCATTAGTTGTAAGCTATTTATAACTTCGAAATGACCTTCAAATACTCACTGCTTCAATTTGCAGAAGGGCACGTTCTGCTTCTTTTTCTTCCTTCTCTTTTGCAACTTTCTCTTTTCGCATATCAGCAAGCTTCTTAGCAACATTATCCTTGTGACGTTGACCAAGCTCATGATTCCTAATGCTAGAAGGGTTGTTTGATATGTATATTTTGCAGAAGTCACACCATTTGTTGCCCTGGCTAACCCAATACTGCAAATAGAGAAAAAGAAAAAGTTACAAAGACTAATGTAAAAGGCATCAGTCGGAGTCAGCAGACAGGAAAATCACTGAAATCAAAACGAATTGTATGCAAAATTTAAAGAGAAGAAAACTATCTTCCAAAGTAATGAAGATTGAAAAAAAGAGCCCTTTTTAGAAGAAAGTCAGAAACTACACTAACACCATGTTTGTGAAAATCAAACAAACTTCCAAAGCCTTTGGATATAAATAAGCAGGGATTATCTTTTCTGTAAAATTGAAACAGAGCAAAAATTGCCTTCTTTCTTTCCCAAATCCCAACAAACGTGCTGGGATCGCATCATGAGCAACAGAGTATTTCTATTAGCATCAAATGGGTCTCAATGGAGCCATAACTATAATCATGGCAAGAACAAGAAGCCCAGTGACATCTTGTCACTTATGTAGTGGGGTTTTACTAATTAGTCATGAACCCAGGTCAGGTCTTGAATTCCCATATTCATACACTCATACATACAATGCAATTAAGCCTTCCAAATTATAAAAGAACAAAAAGCAATAAAATCAAGAAAAGCTATTGTTTTTGCAAGTGATTATCAAAATTGAATGAAACTACAGAAGTTCAGGTGGACGATACCTCAGTCATGGTGGCGAATTTGTGGTTCTGCTACTGATGGGAGGCAACCCCAAAATCAGACCGTTAGGGCAAAGATCGGAGCTTTGCAGCTATGAAAACTGTGCGAAGAAATTCTGCGCCCAAAATAAAATTAAAAGGGTATCTCTATCTCGCGGAGCGGACACGGAAATTCGGTTTCCCGGGTTTTGTAACTCCGACGGCGTTTTGAGTCGGTCATTATTTTACAGGCCCACTCGGCCAATTATTCTTATTGGGCCTTTACTATTTTTGTAGGAATAGTTATTTATAATTTTTTCTTTTATTCAGACCAGCAAAATTCTTCTAAGCCCATCGCAGCCAAACATGTTTCAGTTATCAGGTCACTAACGTAATTTTCAAGACATTCTTATCCTAGCTTGCGAGTTTTGGTTTCTCAAAATTCAAACCAAAAGGGCAAAACCATAATCCAACATAGACACTGCTAAAAATCGACAGTTGTCTATTTTTGGGTTTATTTTGAGTGTGTTTATATACAACTATGTCTAGGAATGAGTATTTAACTAATTTTCTATAATTAATATTAGCATAAAAACAAGCATACTTGCCTTGGTCAATTAATCTAAACATGAACCTAAACATAAAATCATTGTTAATACAATCATAAATATCAGCATTTATAACGACCTAATTAGAGGACGACATCAATTATTATTGAAATTCAGGATGAAAATGGAAAATGGGTTCTGGTTAAAAAAAAATGCAAAATGGGTAGTTTCAGTATAAGTTCACTCCGGCCCTTTTTTAACCTTTGCCTATGAGCTTCAGCCCAGTCCATTAAAAAAAAAGTCAGCCGGGATTGAGCTGACAAAAATATCTGCATTTGGGCTCAAACTCAATAATTCGACCTGACCAAACATGAAAAAACAAAAGACTAAATTAAAAGTTCTCAAACAATGATTTTGCTCAAATTCACCAGTTCAGTTGAAAATGATCTAATTTGACTCCAACTCCGAAGTTCAAAACCCCAATTCTCCATTTCTTCTCTTCCTTCTGCAGCAGATCCTCTTCTTTCTTCAGTCCAAGAAGCTTGTGAGAGAACCCAAGAACAGAAGAAGAAACACAAACCCTGAACCCAAGAACCAAGAAAAAGAAAAATGGATGAATCGTTTTTGCTAATGCTCTCAAATCTCCTCCACCTCCACAACTCCATCGACCCAACAACCTCCCTCCTCTCTACCACCACCACCTCCTCCCCCTCCCCCACCTCCTCCTCCTCCTCCTCCACCCCAACCTCTCTCCTTACCTCTTCCTCCGCCGCCCCTCTCCTCTTCTTCACCATCGCCTCCGTCCTCTCCTTCATCGCCACCTCCCGCCCCAAACCCTCCCCCGCCACCGCCTCAACCTCCGGCGGCACCTCCTCGGCCACCGCCTCCGCTATGTCCGTCTCCGCCTTTCGAGCCCTCGCCACCGAGCACATCTGGTCCCTCGAAGCCCCTCTCCGCGACGCCCAGTGGCGTTCCCTCTACGGCCTCTCCTACCCCGTCTTTACCACCGTCGTCGAGAAGCTCCGGCCTCACATCGCCCTCTCCAACCTTTCCCTCCCTTCCGACTACGCTGTCGCCATGGTCCTCTCCCGCCTCTCCCATGGCTTCTCTGCGCAAACCCTTGCCTCCCGCTACTCCCTCGACCCTTACCTCGTCTCCAAGATCACCAACATGGTCACCCGCCTCCTCGCCACCAAGCTCTACCCGGAGTTCATCAAGATCCCGGTCTCCCGCCGCAGACTCATCGAGACCACCCAGGCTTTCGAGGAGCTCACATCGCTTCCCAACATGTGTGGCGCCATTGACGGAAGTCCAATCAAGCTCCACAAGCACAACTTGCCTGGAAACTACAAATGCAAATATGGGTACCCTTCGGTTTTGCTCGAAGTTGTGGCTGATCACAAGAAAATCTTCTGGGATGTGTGTGTCAAAGCTCCAGGAGGCACAGACGACGCAACCCATTTTAGAGATAGTCTTCTGTATAATAGGCTGACTTCTGGTGATATTGTTTGGGATAAGGTGATCAATGTGAGGGGTCACCATGTGAGGCCTTACATTGTTGGGGACTGGTGCTATCCCTTGCTGTCTTTTTTGTTGACACCCTTTTCCCCAAATGGGATGGGAACTCCTGCACAGAACCTGTTCGATGGAATGCTTATGAAGGGAAGGTCTGTTGTGGTTGAAGCAATTGGATTGCTGAAAGGGAGGTGGAAGATTCTGCAGGACCTCAATGTGGGTCTTAATCATGTGCCCCAGACAATTGTTGCTTGTTGTGTGTTGCATAATTTGTGCCAGATTGCGAGAGAGCCTGAACCGGAGCTCTGGAAGGACCCTGATGAGAGTGGGGCGCCACCGAGGGTGCTTGACAGTGAGAAGTCGTTTTACTACTTTGGGGAAAGCTTGAGGCAAGCATTGGCTGATGATTTGCATCAGAGGCTTTCGTCGAGATAGGACATGTTTCCTCAGTAAAGGGGTGGCTTCTTAACCCTTCTTTATTTCTATGCAAGGATGTCCTTTTGATTGTTATCTTTGTTCTTCCTTTTAGTTTAGGTGTAGTGTGTAGAACTTGGATTAAGCTAATATGTAATGACTGTCATATAGACCAATTGACATGGTAATGGAAATTACAAGATTGGTAGAAAAAGTGGAGATTCACTAGTGTTTTATCAATAGCATTGCATTCTCATCTCTGTATTTAGCAGGGCCTGGTGAGGGGATTAGCAGCCAGTGTGGTTTTATGTTGATTTGGCAGGAAATCTGTCTACCTACAATCTTGTACTTCTTAACATTGCAATATTACTATTGAAAATTATCATATTGATTGATGAGAGTACTTCTTTGGTGCTTTTTGAAATTTGATCCACTATAATGGGTTAGTTGCTAGCATTTTCTTATGAAATTTTTTCTTTTTGAAAATGTTATTCTGGCTTAAATCAGCTAAATTGATTGTCCAAGAAAGTTCCATGGTTGTGTTCTTGGTGTCTGTAGACTCTCTTCCTCTCAGGGTTCAGGACTTGCAGAACTCGCAGATAACAGTATATGTTTCGTGCTTGTCCCTTGTACAGTTGCACTGGCAATGTGGCCAGTTATGTAGAGAAGCACTAATGGAAGGAATGCCGTTGCCAGCAACAGTACCCTTCTGAGATTTTATTCTTCCAAGACTCACAGCAGAAACAAAGTAGCAGTTAAGATGCCGATCGAAATTAGGCTTATACTGAAACAACAACTAAACTACTCGGTATACAGTGATGTTCTTTAAATCCTAAGTAAATGCTAATAATTGGTTGAGCAAGTGAAACATACCCTTCTATCCTTAACAGGAGGAGAGTTTAAGGTCTAAGTTCCAAGTTGAGTGACATTATTAAGACTAGTGATCTTTTATAAGAAAATGCTAGAAATTGTTTGGCTCTGGATTGATGGCAAATTCCATAGACTTGAGGTTTCCTGGAATTCATGTTTCCATCAATAGAAATTACAAGGACAGCTGAGACAAATTATTGAGAGAAGAATACAATCAGAATTCTGGTGAGGATACAGAAGCTCTGCAAAGGTAACCAAGCCAGCGTTTATCCAGACCTAGTTTGGTCCATAGGTTAAGACTTGCGCAGTCTATTTGATCTAATTGAGATATGAGAATGTACAACCATTGTATACAACCTCCCTCTCACGATTGATCACAGAACTGGCATGTTATATACAGCATTTCATCCTTCAAATCTCATCAGACTCAGCTTGAAATCCACATCCTTGGCTTCTCAAGATACATTAAGACTCGAAATGCCAGCTTCCGAAAACACCGCAAAGTGAACATGGTAGGGCAGAGAAAGATTATGTGCAGTTTCAGTACAAGGAAGATAGAACCTAATGCTTCTTCGGGTCCGTGTTTGCCTTTTGTGCTTCTTCAGTAGCAGACAATTGATACTAATTATTATTGCCTCTAAAATTGCATTATATGACAGCACACCAGGCATAAATCCATCAAACTTTGGCTAAATTAACAAATTTCATAGCCTTATCAATGAAGTTCATGTGAGACTAAGACTTCACCAATTCGAAAACCACCGAGCTCGAATTGCAGCAGATATGCGAGGACAAGCAATTCAACAAGCGCTATCATTAGAAAGATGATAAGGGGAAGAAAACATAAAAAAAGTTTCAGGATTGATTAGTTTGCTAGAATTACTTGGTTATAATTATTTTGTAATTATCCAATACTCGAAAGACTTATGTATCGCCTTTTTAAACATTGAGACGAATGTATTTGGTAAAATGTGTCTGCTTTTTCTTAGTGCTATATTAGTTGCTGTTGTTTGAGGTGTTGCTAGACCTCGTCTAGTTTCTTTTTGGTTTGGGGCCCCCCCCCACCCCCCCCCCCCCTATCCTTTCTCCCCCCCCCCCCCCCCCCCAACCCACCCAAAAAAAAGAGGGTATATCTCTCTCTCTTGTTTTGTTTTGTTTTTTCTTGTTTCAAAATTGCTACACTTCCTTCACCTAAATTCATTATTTTCCGGCAGATATGAGTTTAGTCAAGTTAGCTTCCCCACTCTGCATCCGAGTTTGAATTCCCCTCTCTATAATTTAGATTAATTTAAAGTAAATTATCGCTTGTATAGAAAGAAAAAATTATTATTTTGTGGTTCTTGCTTCCGTATTAGTTAATTCATGTTGTAAATTTGTAAATGTATGGCAGAATTCATCTCAATTTCAGCCATTATGCAAAGTAGGAGGAAGTTTTGTGATTTTGGGGTTGAAGTTGAAGATGTTGAAAACTCGCCCCATGAAAGCATTTCTAAAGGGGCTCTAAATTGGGATCAACCACCATTGGGTTTCATAGTTGAACTTGAAGCCCTTTAAACTGAGTGGGCCCCATTTGGAAGAAAGCTGAAGCCCACCTGCTTCTGTCCAAACTGCAGCTCTTCACTCACCCAGTGTGCCTGGGAATTTATCCTCGCCCTTCTACTTTATTTTTGTGGTGAGGGCTGTATGTAGACCGGCTAGTCATATAAAAGTTTCAAGTGAATAATGATAACGGGGTCTCACTTAGTGAAAAAAGACATTAATTTGCAAATCAGTAATTTTATATTCAAACTCATATAGTACATTGGCTGTATTCTTATTAGTTGAATTAATTGTTTATGAATTCACAAGCACGGAAATACTAAATTGTCATAATATTATGGAGTACGTAAGGCCATCTCCAGCTGTAGGGATCAATGTAGTCCCCCAAAATATTAATTTTTTAAAGAATATTGCATGACTAAATTTTTCCATCTCTAGCCATATTTTAGGATCATTCATATTTTATTATTTTGAAAAAGGGAAGTGGAGAGTGCTTTAATATTTGGTGGTTGAAAAGCATATGGTGGAGCTCACTATGAATTTGGTCTAGGCCAAACCTGGGCTACATTTGGCCCGGTTGGAGGGCTAAAGGGCCAAATGTGGCCCTCCAAATTTGGACAAAATTTTATTTAACCCATGGTAGGAGATGAGTTTTGCATTATTTTAGGGCTATATTTGGGATATAACCCATGGCTGGAGATGGCCTAAGGCCATTCCCAATGGGGGCTCTATTTGAAGCTCAACCATCGCAAGGCTCCAATATATACAAACTCTCTTTAAAAAGGCATCCCCAATGATGCAAATTTGGGGCTCTGAAACTTAAAGCTCAACCACAGTAGTAGCTAAATGTATGAGCTTGATTGAAGCCCTTGAAATCGAGTGGGACCCACCAATTGAAAAAGTTGCAGCCCACTTTTGTGCTATTTCCTACTTGCCTGCGACTGTACAAGGCATACTTGCCTTAAATTTGGTTGTCCATTTGCATGTTGGCCCAAATGGCATACTTGCCTTAAATTTGGTTTTTCCATTTGCATGTTGGCCCAAATGGCATACTTGCCTTAAATTTGGTTTTTTCCATTTGCATGTTGGCCCACGTTCATTTACATGTTGGCCAAAATATAACCAAATTTACAAAGCTATGTCAACAGCTCTATTCCAACTTTGGGATGAGCTTGGTATCTATGAAATAAAATATTGATTTCCAAATCTTGTCCAAATTTTGATTTTTTTTGTTGTTGAAATGTTCACACAAAAAAAAAGTAACATAACATGAACAAACATTAAAGTAAAATATTTAACCAAAAAAAAAAACCACGTAAATCAAATTATATCATAAAAAAATATAGAGCCCGTCATGAATATAGAGCCTCTTTCTCTCTCTCAAGGCTATACCTTTTACCTTTTTTTATTAGAAAGACTTTTTCATCTGCCAGCCAAACGTCGCTTTTGGAGTGGCTGTTAGTGTCCCATGGAAACGTGCTTGTTTGTAATCCCGCGAGAGAGAGAGTGAAGCCGACATGCAACCATTAATGCTCAGATTTTATCACTCAGTTCTCCTCCGCCCCTGGTTTTAGTAAACCTTATACGCCCTTCATCCAACACGTGAATTGAGATATCGTGGTTTGGTTCTATAGGGGCCATGAACACTACTAGCATGCCGTTTGTCACAATGGCACTATTAGCCCATATATACTAATACTATTGTTATTAAGAAAATGCATCATCAAACTTTCGAAATGAATGAATTTTCAAACCCCTTTGCTAGCTAGATTAGGTAACTTCTGAATCCAACAGATCTCAAGATAGAAGCCTAAACAAACATGCTAGCCCAAATTATCCTAGATTTGGATGATGTCTATGTTTGCTAGCTCGGGATCCATTCACTTTGGCGTGCATATTAATTCACTAGTAAATAGTATATGTTGTAAAATATGTCTGATATTAGGCTCATTTTAAACATCTCCTTCGGATCTTATTAATGCTATATTTCTCATGATAATAATATTTCTACATTTCAACTTATATCAAAATAATTAGTACTAGTTAATATGAAAAAAAAACAAGGCATGATGAGGAAAGCAGTTTGTACAAAACTAGAGATGGAAGTTTAGGGTTAGCAAACATAGAGATCATCCAAATCTGTAAAGGATCACCTTGTATGCTTTTTTGACTGCTGACGTCATGATATGTATGAGTCGGTTTAAGAAATTTTCTTTATCTTTAATTTCATTTATTGAGGTGATTGATTGCTTTATTTTTTAGCTTAAATTTAATTATTGTAGTTCAAATTTGGTCAATCGCTTAAAACTAAAATCGAAATTCTAAAAGACCATTCCTTCCTTGTCGTGCGTGCGTGTTGTCTTATTTAATCATTAAAATTGTGCTCAATTTTCATATGCGGCAATTCCTTCCTTTAAGATCTCTTCTTTAGCTGGGGCAAGAATCCGTACGAATTGAACGAACTTTCAAAAGGGTACCTGTCCCTGTTGTAAGAGTCACTTCCTTAAAATGCGGGCCTCTTGTCTTATTTGGTCTGAGGTGATGTCAGTGTTTCAAACTCATTGCTATATCATGGGAAGGTGAGAAAAACAACTTTCTTGATCAGGTTTTTA